GATAGATAGATAGATAGACAGATAGATAGATAGATAGATAAATAGATATATAGACAGACAAACAAATAGATATGTTGGATATGATATATTAGATAAGTAAATAGGTAGGCAGACAGACAAACAAACAGATAGACAGATACTCAGAAAGATAGATTAGATTAGATTAGATTAGGTTAGATTTAGATTTAGATTAAGATTTAGATTTAGGATTTAGATTTAGGATTTAGATTTAGGATTTAGATTTAGGATTTAGATTTAGGATTTAGAATTAGGATTTAGAATTAGGATTTAGATTTAGGATTTAGAATTAGGATTTAGAATTAGGATTTAGGATTAGGATTTAGGAATTAGAATTAGGATTTAGAATTAGGATTTAGAATTAGGATTTAGAATTAGGATTTAGCATTAGGATTTAGCATTAGGATTTAGAATTAGGATTTAGAATTAGGATTTAGAATTAGGATTTAGAATTAGGATTTAGCATTAGGATTTAGCATTAGGATTTAGAATTAGGATTTAGAATTAGGATTTAGAATTAGGATTTAGAATTGGGATTTAGAATTGGGATTTAGAATTAGGATTTAGAATTAGGATTTAGAATTAGGATTTAGAATTAGGATTTAGAATTAGGATTTAGAATTAGGATTTAGAATTAGGATTTAGAATTAGGATTTAGGATTTAGAATTAGGATTTAGAATTAGGATTTAGAATTAGGATTTAGGATTAGGATTTAGGATTAGGATTTAGAATTAGGATTTAGAATTAGGATTTAGAATTAGGATTTAGAATTAGGATTTAGAATTAGGATTTAGAATTAGGATTTAGGATTTAGAATTAGGATTTAGAATTAGGATTTAGAACTAGGATTTAGAACTAGGATTTAGAACTAGGATTTAGAACTAGGATTTAGAATTAGGATTTAGAATTAGGATTTAGAATTAGGATTTAGAATTAGGATTTAGAATTAGGATTTAAAATTAGGATCTAGAATTAGGATTTAGAATTAGGATTTAGAATTAGGATTTAGAATTAGGATTTAGAATTAGGATTTAGAATTAGGATTTAGAATTAGGATTTAGAATTAGGATTTAGAATTAGGATTTAGGATTTAGAATTAGGATTTAGAATTAGGATTTAGCATTAGGATTTAGCATTAGGATTTAGCATTAGGATTTAGCATTAGGATTTAGCATTAGGATTTAGCATTAGGATTTAGCATTAGGATTTAGAATTTAGAATTAGAATTTAGAATTAGGATTTAGAACTAGGATTTAGCATTAGGATTTAGCATTAGGATTTAGCATTAGGATTTAGCATTAGGATTTAGAATTAGGATTTAGAATTAGGATTTAGAACTAGGATTTAGAACTAGGATTTAGAACTAGGATTTAGAACTAGGATTTAGAACTAGGATTTAGAATTAGGATTTAGAATTAGGGATTTAGAATTAGGATTTAGAATTAGGATTTAGAATTAGGGATTAGGATTAGGATCTAAGACACTGTGTGACAGAGATATTCCTTCCTTGGGTTGATATCTTTGTTTGCTTCAACCCACCCGCCCAATGGTCCCCAGTCATATTTGCTTTCATCCCTTCCTCTTGTTCCTCCTCCTTTCGTGCGGCTGTTCCCTCCGTGCTCCCTTCCACTCTCGTGCGCCTGCTGCCGGTCTTTGTGCTTCTGCAAAGGCCCTCAAAGGGCAGAAATTTGCTTCCAAAAGGCTCCTGGCCAGGAGTTGGCCCAAAAGAGCCGTTTCCCAATGATCCCTGAAGGCGCTTTTAATTGCCGGCCGGCAAGCCGCCAAAGTCCCAAAATCTGGCTTCCAAAAGGCTCCTGGCCAGGATTTGGCCCAAAACGGCCGTTTCCCAAGGATCCCAGAAGGCGCCTTTAATTGTTGGCCGGCAAGCCGCCAAAATCCCAAAATCTGGCTCCAAAAGGCTCTTGGCCAGGATTTGGCCCAAAAGGGCCGTTTCCCAATGATCCCAGAAGGCGCTTTTAATTGCCGGCCCCAAGGCCTTCAAATGGCAGAAAATTGGTTCCAAAAGGCTCCTGGCCAGGATTTGGCCCAAAACGGCCGTTTCCCAAGGATCCCAGAAGGGGAGTTTAATAGCCGGCCGAGGGGCCGCCAAATGCCAGAACTTTGCCTCCAAAAGGCTCCTGGCCAGGATCTGGCCCAAAACGGCCGTTTCCCAAGGATCCCAGAAGAGAAATTCAATAGCCGGCCGAGGGGCCGCCAAATGCCAGAAATTTGCCTCCAAAAGGCTGCTGGCCAGGATTTGGCCCAAAACGGCCGTTTCCCAAGGATCCCAGAAGGGGTTTTTAATAGCCGGCCGAGGGGCCGCCAGAACGCTCCCAGAAGGCACCCAGAAGCTTCCAGAGTCTCCCAGACCAGAGGCTCCCAGAAGGCTCCCAGAAGCTCGAAGGCACCCAAAAGCTCCCAGATTGCGTTTAGAAGCTTTCAGAAGGCTCCCAGAAGGCCCAGAAGATTCCCACAAGGTTCCCAGAGGCTCCCAGAAAGCTCCCAGAAGGCTCCCAGAAGCCACCAGAAGCTCCCACAAAGCTCTCAGAAGCTCCCAGAAAGCTCCCAGAAGGCTCCTAGAAGCTCCCAGAAGGCCCAGAAGGTTCCCAGAAGCTCCCAGAAAGCTTCCAGAAGGCGTTTAGAAGAGGTTGCCAGAGGCTCCCAGAAAGCTCCCAGAAAGCTCCCAGAAGCCACCAGAAGCTCCCACAAAGCTCCCAGAAGCTCCCGGAAAGCTCCCAGAAGGCTCCTAGAAGCTCCCAGAAGGCCCAGAAGGCTCCCAGAAGCTCAAAATCAAGCATTGCGAAGCTAAAATCAAACATTTTGAAGCTAAAAGGAAGCATTTTGAAGCTAAAAGGAAGCATGTTGAAGCTAAAAGGAAGCATGTTGAAGCTAAAAGGAAGCATTTTGAAGCTAAAATGAAACATTTTGATACTGAAATGAAGCATTTTGAAGCTAGAATGAAAGATTTTGAAGCTAAAATGAAGCATTTTGAAGCTAAAATGAAGCATTTTGAAGGACCAGGGATTCAGACAGGGTCAGGAGGGACTTCAGGGGTATTAGACCCTAAATATACATACTGATATAACTTGTTTAGATTTAGGATTTAGGATTTAGAATTAGGATTTAGAATTAGGATTTAGAATTAGGATTTGGAATTAGGATTTAGAATTGGGATTTAGAATTAAGATTTAGAATTAGGATTTAGAATTAGGATTTAGAATTAGGATTTAGAATTGGGATTTAGAATTAGGGATTAGAATTAGGATTTAGGATTAGGATTTAGAATTAGGATTTAGAATTAGGATTTAGAATTAGGATTTAGATTTAGGATTTAGGATTTAGAATTCGGATTTAGAATTCGGATTTAGAATTCGGATTTAGGATTTAGAATTAGGATTTAGAATTAGGGATTTAGAATTAGGATTTAGAATTAGGATTTAGGATGTAGAATTAGGATTTAGGGATTAGAATTAGGGATTAGAATTAGGGATTAGGATTAGGGATTAGGATTAGGGATCCGACACGAAGTGGCGCCATGACCAAAACCCGAGCTTCAATAAAACTCGAATACGCCAAGACTTCTCTTTCTCTTCTTAGTCGTCCACGCCCTAAGCCTTCAACGCGGCGCGCCCTAAGCCTTCAACACGGCGCGCCCTAAGCCTTCAACCTCGGCGCGCCCTAAGGCTTCAACCTCCTAGCGCCTCAAATTGGCGCGCCCTGGTCCCTCAAATTGGCGCGCCCTGGTCCGTCAATTTGGCGCGCCCTGGTCCCTCAAATTGGCCCGCTCTGGTCCTTCAAACTGGCGCGCCCTGGCCCTTCAAACGCGCCCTGGTCCTTCAAATTGGCGCGCCCTGGTCCTTGAAACTGGCACGCCCTGGTCCTTAAACCTGGCGCCCTGGTGCTTCAACCTGGCGCGTCCTGGTGGTTCAACCTGGCGCGCCCTGGTGCTTCAAGCTGGCGCGCCCTGGTCCTGACATTCTGGCCCAGAGCCCTGCCCAGATTCAGGCCCAAAATTGCCAAAATTGAGGGCCAGAGCCTTGCCCAAATTTAGGCCCAAAAATAGCAAAATTGAGACCAAAAGCCCTGCCGAAATTTAGACCCAAAATTGCCAAATTTGAGGTCCAAAGCCCTGCCCAATTTAGGCCTAAAATTGCCAAAATCGACGCCCAGAGCCCTAACCCAATTTAGGCCAAAAATTGCCAAATTCGAGGCCCAGAGCCCTGCCCAAATTTAAGCCCAAAATTGCCAAATTTGAGGCCCAGAGCCTTACCCAAATTTGGACCCAAAATGCAAATTGAGGCCCAGAGCCCTACCTCAATTTAGCCCAAAATTGCCGAAATTGAGGCCCAGAGCCGCAAGGGACCGCCAAGGACCCCAAGGGATTCTGCAGCGTAGCTGACACTGGAGCGATTCAACAGAGATCAATGGCCAACAGCTGTCAAAAGGGATGGAATGGATCAACTGGAAATCACAAGGTCACACAAGACCTAACAACGAAAAGCACCCATGGCACTCGGCAGCTCAAACGCTGCTGTTTTCACAGGATCGCCGAAGGCTCAAGGCCTAGGGAGGTTTGGGCCGACACATCGGCAACCGCACGTAGATACCTGGGCGAATGGACCAATGGAAAGGATCAGTTCTGTTGCACCGATCCAAAATTCTTCTTGGTCCATGAGCTCTCAAGTCAACAGTTTAAAGCTGGACTGAGCTCAAAAAAAAACATGCAAATCAGCTGGCAAACTTCTCTGTGGCTTTCTTCATCTGTGTGAGAGCATCCTTGCCTGCTCTCTTGTTCTTTCGTGCACTTGTCTCAAAGCCTGGGTTATATTGAAGCATCCAAACACCTGTGCGCATGAACTGAAGTAAACTTTTGCGACACTCTTGGATTTTCTTCGTCAGAGCATCTGCAAGGAGCCAATCACTAGCAAGCCAAATCAACCATGCTTTTGTGTCTGCAAACGATTGTTTCAGTTGAAAAGCTTGTATGGCTGATCTCACGTTTGACAAACCCAAATATGGACCTTCTTGCAGAGTCACTGCATCAAAACCACCTTTTGAGTCTGTGGCCACAACACCAGGGACTGCAGAAACTTCTTGCTCAGCAAAAGCTAAAAGATCAAGACCCTTTTCAGCGCCAGCACCATTCAGTTCAGCCCAAAGCAAACGAGTTCGAAAATTGACATCCTCAGCTTCCACCATCGCTTGAATCTCAGCATCATTGGAGGAAATTGCTACTCGGCGCAATTTCCAAGTACGCCATGAAACCATCACCAGACGGCCGGGAGAACCATCAAGGAGTTCCGGTCCGCCTAGAAAATTAATCAAACCACCTGTGGAAGAGCCATCAGGTCTGTTGTTGTGTGCCTGATCACCCATTGTCACCACCACCATTTGTTGCCAATGGTTCACAGAGGGGATTCGATCAAAACGGAGACGGTGAGGATGCTTGCGAGTCTCGCGGATGACCTGCTGAATCTCTTGAGCCACTGTCATCTTTGGCTCACGTGCCAATTCAGACAACAAGAGATTGCATCTTGCGCAGATTTGAGGTTGAGTCTGCACGGCCAACCACTGCAAAGCACCTAAAGCTGAGCGACACTTGCCAATCTCTGACTTGGTGAGGACTGTCGCCGCATTCTTGAAACGGACTGGATCAATCTCCACATCAGCGAGGTTCTCCACATAAGAGTCCTGGTCAACCATGATGTAGTTACCTTGGCTACCAGTCCTGTGATGGATGTCGGAGCCCACATAGCGGTAAGCGCCAACTTTGGAACTACCCCACTGATACTCACGGTCAATGGCTGCCTTGATTTTCTGCCACTTGGGATTGGTCTCATCACCGGATCTGTTGAAATCGTCAACATGACCAGCCATGTACCCAATAGTGCGGAAGCGATCCAATTGGTTCACCGCATGCGGGTTTTCCTCTACCCATATCCAGGCACATGGATCGCCAAGGACTTTGTGAGCTCCAAGTCTTCGCAGTCTACGGTCTATGTCAAGCCATAGTCCACGAGGAGCTGTAGTTGAACCATAAAAATCTTTGAGGATTCGCATGATGCCGCCCTCAGAGACGCCAAGTGCAGCACGAAGTTCACGCACTCCTGATGTCCATATGCGGTTCTGCTCCTGGTTCTTCTCGGTCTGGAGAAAAGCCGTTGAAAGATCCATGCCTTCGATTGGCCACTGGTTCTGCACGGAGAGCTGGAAGGTCAGGTGTCTGGTCAAAGTTGATTGAACAGGTGCAGAACTTCGGAACTCAGGATTGAGGAGATCTGGGTGCTGATACCCTAACAAGACGATGCGGGCTTTCGCCTTGCGATCGCCCGAAGGGGTGAACAAAGTGCCAGCATTCTCGTGAGCATCTTGCTGAGAAGCTTGCCGTTCATCTGGTGGAGTGTCTTTCCATGTCAACACCCACCGGCACTTCATTACACGGCCAGAGTTCTTGCCCTCCTCCTCTTCCTCCTTGGAGATGCACTTTCTCACGGCCTCGGACTTGAGAAAAGATGCCACCTCTTTGTCCTTTGCACGGTCAAACAACTTCTTGAAGTCATCAGTGAGTCGCTCATAGCGAACTTCACAATCACGCATTTGTTGCACCAAGTAAAAGTTTGGCGCCTGGAGAAACTTCTTGAGTTTTCTGTGGCTTGAGAAATCCAACTCCATTTCCATGATATACCCAAACTCAGCTTCTTGGAGAGCAGCATGAAGATCAAGGGTGAGAGCGTTATCATCATCAGTCCGGGGTTTCTTGACACTATCACCAGTGACAATATCATCGCTATCAACAGCTGAGTGAGGACGCATAGGTCTCATGGATGAGGACGCCAAGGAGGATCTTTTGGAGGAGGCTTCGCGTGAGGAAACTTCTGACTCAAGGAGATCAGTTTTTCGCTTCACACCTGGGTCATTGAGAGAGTTGCCCAAGTCGTCTTCAAAAGTGTCATCAGGCACTTCTGGTAAGAAGTCAGTCTCTTCATACTCATTGACTGGTGGCAAAGCGGGAAGGCGCATTGCAGCACCCTTCAGCGCCTGAGCAGCTTTGTCATTGCCCTGCTTATCCGTTTTGCCGTACAGTCGGCATGAAGGCAACCATGTGGATTTATCTGGTTGAGCTGGTAGATCAGGAGCTTCTACATCATCAGCGCCTGGCTCATCGTCCAGCATGTCCACATAATCTCTTCGTGGGAGAAAATCAGTGATTGATTTCCACGACATCTCTTCGCCACCATGTTGAATTTCATGAAGAGCTTCTTCCTGTGAGGTTAGTGGTCTCACAGAGTGAACACTGCAACGGTGAGCTCGGCCGCCAAGAACAACCCATACCACATGGCGGCGGTCACCACCACTCTGGGAAGGCAATAGCTCTTGAAACAGAACCCTTCCAGGTCCCACCCAGTGAGGTTTGATGGTCTTGGTGAAGCCGCTGCGCTTTCCTTTGGCTGCTTCATGTGGAAGGGACTTTCGCCAGACTTTCACCAGTGTTGCAGGTTCAAAGTTCTGGAGGGGCTGTCGGGGACATGAGTTCTTCAGCCGCACAAGTATGTTGTTGGCGCGGACTTGCCGTGCCAAATTCTCAGCTTTGCGTCTGCAAGACAGCAACTTCTCAAATTCACTCAGTGGGTGAGCTTGTTGAAGTTGGAGATGAGTAGTGATGTCTTCATCAGTCCACTGAAAAGAGTGACCGTATGCCCACTGAAAGGGAGAAAAACCATGTGCGTTCTCCGTACTATTCAACGCCGCTGTGCTAAGGGCCAGACATAGTTCCAAGCTCAGAGTGCCGTCAGAGATGAAGATCTTGTCGGCCAAAAGCTTGGTTTCTTGGACTGCTCGTTCAGCAATTCCGTGAGCCCATGCCTCCTTCTCCACAGGCGGGCTCAGCCACAAATTGTTGGTGTGGCAAAACTCCCTGAAGGCCGCTGAGCACAGCGTATTGGCGTTGTCAGGAACCACCACCAGCGGTTTCGGTTTTTCCGCCAACCAGCCGCGACCAAAAGCTTCGATGACCATCTTGGCATTCTCGTTCCCTTGCTGATTGATGTCATAGACCATAAGAGGAACTGTGCTGCGAAACTTCGTTGCAGCATCAATCATCAATAGAAACTTCAGCTTCTTGCGCACGGACACGACATTCCACTCACCAACATCCATCATCACCATATGCCAGGCTTGAGGAAGTCGATTGGTTGATACTGGCGGAATCTTTCCGGAAGACGAACCCCCAGGTCTAGTCGCCTCGCATGCTGGGCATCGGAGACGAAGTGCTGCTTCAATCTGCCACTTTTCTTTGCCAGCTTCCCGCAAAATGCGAGCTAAATTCCTATTGCTAGGATGTCCTGAGGCCTTGTGAAACTTTTGAAGCTTGACATTCCACTCGGCAAGCTGCTCCGTGGATGGGATGATTTTGCCATCAGCTTCATGCTTCGACCACCGACCATGGCCATCTTGTTGCCAGCGTGACGAAGCCATTTGAGAGGGATTACTTGCCTTAGAGCTCTGCATGGATTGAGGCCGAAGATCTCCACCAGAGCGTTCATCTTGAGCAGGAGGTAGGACCATTTGTCCATCATCATCAGCCAAATCGGCCGGAATTGCTGGTGCATCTTCAGGAGCAAGCGATGTGGGTGAGTACCCCTCATCAGGAGGAACTTCAGCGATGTCATCAGCCATCTCGGCTGGATTCATCTCCCACAGTTGCTGTTCAAAAGTCGAATTGGGGACGTTGGAGTCCACGGTCAGGAACAGGATGGATTGCCAACGTTCTGGTACAAGTTGAGATTTCCAAGTCTTGGCAATCGCGACAACCATCTTCCAGGGATAGTAGCTGGAACGAGCTGTATCAGGGCTCTCGATCTGGAGATGTTGATGATTACCAACACACGTCTTGGCCTTGTAAAGGGCATGAAAACGAGCACATGTAGTTTTGACCAACCAACGCTTGAGTAGAGGTTCGTGTTCATGACCTGGACGACCACTAGTCAACCCATACCGACAACCATCAATTCGGCAGGGAAGCCAGTCGCGATCAAGTCGCCACAGGGCGTCTTGTAGATCAAGGAGAACCTGTTCATACCATCCTTGGCAATTGGCAGGCCATTCCCAAAAAACATGTACCGTATGATCATCAATGACATTGCGCTCCAGCCATTTCTTGAGGTTCCTCAACACTTTACGCTCTTTGCGCCGCTTGGATTCCAAAAGTTCCACCCGCTCCGGAGTGTTATAGTTGAGGGAGGTCCAAGCACACCACAACGTGCACCGCATAGAAATCCAGAGCCTCTTCGGACTCTGAATCTTGTAGAGCTCGGTCATGGATTCAAAAGTGTGAGGACGGTTCAAATCGAACCCATTGGCCAGATTGATCCGCTGACATTTCAAACCTTCTTGGGTACATGCCTCAGAAAGCCAAGACTGAGGTGAGCAGCAAATCTCCCAAACATCAACCTGATGAGGCTCCACCACAAGGTCGTGGAAGTTGGTGAAGAGGCCAAGCATCATCAATTGGAGCACCTTCACCGCCGCCTTGCCCACCTTGATCGGGACATTCTCGATCACGGTTGAACCTCGGATTGGCTCTGCATCGCTTCGGCAGCACGCTGCTCCAAGGCAATCCGCTCCTCGGCTGAGAGCTGGCTCAGGAGATCCTGAGGTGTCACCACTGGAACTGATGCCACACTCATCTGAGACACCGTGGGTGACTTGGCTCGGGCCTTTGGTGGAGTCACATGTTGCCAGCTTGGGCTCGACGTGAGCTGCTGGGGACCTGGGATCTGCTCCTCCTCGGAATTGTGCATTGATCTCCTCGGAGGTGTGAACATCTGGTGGCGTGTGGGAGATTTCGGAACTGGGGTCATCTCTGGAGCACCCAGCACCATCTGGTAGTAGCGCTCGTCGCTCTCGATCTTCTCCACAGCCACCTTCATGAGTTTGTAGTGGGGCTTCACACCCTTGAGATCTTTCTGAACCATGCTGAGAGCCTTCGCCACATAGTGAGGATCGATGTGCTCGACATTGTGAGTCAGCGAGCCCATCCTTGGAACATACTGCGTCCGTAGGTTGCACACGGCGCAGTGGGTCCATTGACCATACCTGTTTGATCCTCTCACGGAGGCGTTGTGACTCCCGAAACATGGCCAGCATTCGCCACATCTGGGGTCTCTCGGATCTGCTGGAAGAGCTCGGCTGTGATCCAACTCGGGAGCCTTGTCGGCAAGGTTGGTCTTCGGAGGCATCACTCCAAAGATTTCGATCACCAGCCGTGGATTCCTTCTGTTTTGAGCCGGCAGAACGTCGATGAACACACTGTTGAAAGAAGCAACGCCGGGCATCTGTGTTGTCAAGCAAAACATGTTGAGTTGAAAACAACTCTTCTCCTTGTGTCATGTAAAGTTCCAGAACATTTGCATCCGAGATAGCTCGTGAAGGAGTCCATGTTGAATCAGACGTGAAACCATGTGGCTTGTTGGTGAGAAAGGAAACCAAATCCAAAACAAAGTGACCCTTTGAACTAATTCGCAAACAGTTGGGATTTGCATCAGGCACATTGGACATCCAGGAGTATCCATCCACGAAATCAAGAACCAAGCCCACACCATTGACGCCTAAAAAGTCCATGCCGATCAAAATAGGAACCAACAGTGAATCATCGTACCAAGGTTCATGATATTCTGGAGGATTCGGGAGAGCAAAAACTGAAAATTTTCGCTGATGTCCAGATGCCCATGAGGAAATTGTGACTTGACACAAGGCTTGTCCCCACTTCCCTGAACCATACCGAAAACGGGGTTTCAAGGTTTGGTCAACAGTCAATGTTGCTTCTGGATCAACTTGGCGCAAACACTCAAAAACCCTGTGAATGCTGGCCTCGGGACCAGCAGAGGCTGTGGCACCGCTGTCGACCATGCCCTCGAAGGACTTGATGGCCTGGGATGCCGAAGGCGGTGGAGACCAAGTAGTGGCTGTCAGGGTCACATCCAGGGGCTCATGGTACTCAGGGGTTTCCATGAACTCAATGGGATAGAGCTCCATGCCATAAGCATTGACACCACTCGGACCAGGAGGACGGAACGAAAAACTTGATGACCCTTTTGAGGATTTGCCCTTAGATTTGCCAGCCCAAAACATCTCGTGATCCATGTAGTTGGAATACTTTGCCTTGCCTTTGCCTTTGCCTTTCACCATGGGAAACTGTTCCATGTAGGGATCACCATAAACAGCCATACCCATCTTGCCCTTATTGAAACCTTTGGACTTACCCTTGGGAGCACCACGATCTGGACAATCACGTGCAAGATGAAGGGGACTACCGCAGTTAAAACAACCCGTAGATGATGTTGATGATTTTCCCTTAATAGCTCCAAAACCTCGATCACGGCGCAAGGCCGCTGTAGCCTCCTGGGCTTTTTTCCATGTGAGACTCGCTTCAGAGGCTAGAGCTTCTGCCATGCGTTCTGACTGATACGCCTCTTTGATCTGCGGATCTTCCAGTTCTGAGGCATTCAAGTCAGGTGTTTCATGAGCATCATCATAGTTACCAGAAGGGGGAGAATCAGAAGGACCATTCCATGACGACCAATCATCATCCCACATCCAGTTAGCTTCATACCAACCATCATCATTATAATCATCCCATGACCAAAAAGAGGAATCGTGATCACCTTCCAACCAATGTGCATTAAACTGTGAAGGGGCATGTCGAGGATGTTGAATCAACTGATCATCCCAAAGCACTTGCAATGCACCTGAAATTGAATCAAAATCCAACTTGTTGTTTGTTGCAGAAAGAACATCACGAAACTCATCACGGGACAAAGTGGCTGCCTGTAACAAGCGCCATCCTCGCAGAACATCAAGCACAAATGAGTCAGCAGAGTTCATCCCATGCTCTGGAGCCACATTCGACTGAGGACTGAGATCCGGTTCAGAAACTAGAGGCACGCGCTGATAGCCATCTGTCGCTGCATCAGGTCGCTCACCAGTCTCAGTAGCATCAGCATCAGCTGAGGCTTCAGCTGCGGGTTCAGCACCCGCATCATGAGAATCACGCCAGTTTCGCCAGCGATTCCACTGGGCATCTTCTTCCTCCTGTCTCCTGAAGATTGCTTCCAAGCCAAAGTCTTGCAAGCTTGGATCAGTACCACTGCGTTCCTCACGAAGCCGGATCAAAGCTTCTTGGAACTCTTCGTAAGACAAGGTCTCTCGAACAAGGAATTCGGAAATTGTCTCATTCTGTCGTTTGCGAAACCCAAAATACTGCGACATAGTTGCTGCGGCATTCGGAAGACTTCGTCTGACCAAAGGACTTGCTGCTAACTTACGCAGGAAAATGAGTACACCACGATCATTATCCAGTTCTGATTGGGGCCATGACATTGCTAAAAGGCGGGCACTTCCGGAGAGCCGTGCAATTAGCCTGGTGGCCAAATGACGACGCTGTCCCACCTTTGTAGCTTGCACATACCACACCACCTCACGACAGTAACGCCGCCAACCTTTCGGATGACCATCCCACGTAGGGACTGCTGAGCTCTCTGATGACATCCGGCCAGCTACACCAAGGAGTTGCGCAGAGAAAACCAGTAGCTCCGCTGCCAGTGCAGCGTAGCTGACACTGGAGCGATTCAACAGAGATCAATGGCCAACAGCTGTCAAAAGGGATGGAATGGATCAACTGGAAATCACAAGGTCACACAAGACCTAACAACGAAAAGCACCCATGGCACTCGGCAGCTCAAACGCTGCTGTTTTCACAGGATCGCCGAAGGCTCAAGGCCTAGGGAGGTTTGGGCCGACACATCGGCAACCGCACGTAGATACCTGGGCGAATGGACCAATGGAAAGGATCAGTTCTGTTGCAGATTCCCAATGGACCCCAAGGGGCCCCCAAAGGACCCCAAGGGACCCCAAGAACCCTAAAATCAATTAATCCTAAATCCTTTAACCCTAAAATGTTTGAACCCTAATTCCTTTAACCCTAAAATCATTTAACCCTAAATCCTTTAACCCTAAAATCACTTAACCCTAAAAGCCTTTCACCCTAAAATCGTTTAACCCTAAAATCCTATAACCCTAAAACCCTTTAACCCTAAAATCCTGTCACCCTAAAATCCTGTAACCCTAAAATCCTGTAACCCTAAAATCCTTTAACCCTAAAACCCTTTAACCCTAAAACCCTTTTAACCGTAAAATCTTTAAACCCTAAAATCCTGTAGCCCTAAAATCCTTTAACCCTAAAGCCCTTTAACCCTAAAGCCCTTTAACCCTAAAACCCTTTAACCTTAATTCCTTTAACCCTAAAATCACTTAACCCTAAAAGCCTTTAACCCTAAAATCCTGTAACCCTAAAATCCTTTAACCCTAAAACCCTTTAACCCTAAAACCCTTTTAACCGTAAAATCTTTTAACCCTAAAATCCTGTAGCCCTAAAATCCTTTAACACTAAAGCCCTTTAACCCTAAAGCCCTTTAACCCTAAAACCCTTTAACCTTAATTCCTTTAACCCTAAAATCACTTAACCCTAAAAGCCTTTAACCCTAAAATCCTTTCACCCTAAAGCCCTTTAACCCTAAAACCCTTTAACCCTAGAATCCTGTAATCCTAAAATCCTGTAACCCTAAAATCCTTTAACCCTAAAATCCTTTAACCCTAAAACCCTTTTAACCGTAAAATCCTTTAACCCTAAAATCCTGTAGCCCTAAACTCCTTTAACCCTAAAGCCCTTTAACCCTAAAGCCCTTTAACCCTAAAACCCTTTAACCTTAAATCCTTTAACCCTAAAATCCAGAAGCTTGAAGGGGGAAGATTATATAGGAGGCTCAAACTTTAACCTTAAAACATCCCCGGCAATGCCGGAAGCCTTTAACCTTAACCTTCCAAACCCTACCCAGAAGCCTCAAACTTTAACCCTAAAACCTCCCTGGCAAGGGTGGAAGCCTCCAACCCTAACTTGCCAAACCCTATTCAGAAACTTCAAATTTTAACCCTAAAACCTCCCTGGCAAGGGGGGAAGCCTTAGGGTTTAGTTTTGGATGTTGCTGAACTTCGGATCACGAAGCCTTAAAATTTCGCCGCCGGAAGAGGATGTTGCAACCCATGAAATGATAGGGGGGCCACTTCGTGGCGCACAAGTGCCGCAAGGCCTAAAAGTTAGGATTAGGGATTAGGGATTAGGATTAGGGATTAGGGATTGGGATTAGGGATTAGGATTAGGGATTAGGATTAGGGATTAGGATTAGGGATTAGGATTAGGGATTAGGATTAGGGATTAGGGATTAGGATTAGGGATTAGGATTAGGGATTAGGATTAGGGATTAGGATTAGGATTAGGGATTAGGATTAGGGATTAGGATTAGGGATTAGGGATTAGGGATTAGGATTAGGATTAGATTAGGATTAGGGATTAGGGATTAGGATTAGGGATTAGAATTAGATTAGATTAGGATTAGATTAGATTAGATTAGGGATTAGGATTAGATTAGATTAGGATTAGATTAGATTAGGATTAGATTAGATTAGGATTAGGATTAGGATTAGGATTAGATTAGATTAGGATTAGATTAGGATTAGATTAGATTAGTTAAACAAAAAATAAAACAAATACAAAACACACAAAAAAAAACTTTTTCAAATCTATTTTGCACATAACTCTGATTTCCCAGACTTCCAAACCACCAACCCAAACCGCCATATAACGGCAGCCTTTCTTAGCCACGTAATTTTTCCAGGATTCTCTAGCCACGTATTTTTTTTTAGCCACGAAATAAAAACTAGCTGCGTAAAAGCTTTTTTTTTCCTCTCTTTTCCTCTCTTCTCTTTTTTTCTTGTTTTTCCTCTCTTTTCCTCTCTTTTCCTCTCTTCTCTTTTTTTTCTTGTTTTTCCTCTCTTTTCCTCTCTTTTCCTCTCTTCTCTTTTTTTTCCTTTTTTTCCTCTCTTTTCCTCTCTTCTCTTTTTTTTCTTTTTTTTCCTCTCTTTTCCTCTCTTCTCTTTTTTTTTTCCTCTCTTTTCCTCTCTTCTCTTTTTTTTCTTTTTTTGTTCCTCTCTTTTCCTCTCTTTTCCTCTCTTTTCCTCTCTTCACTTTTTTTTATTTTTTTTCCTCTCTTTTCCTCTCTTTTCCTCTCTTCTCTTTTTTTTCTTTTTTTTCCTCTCTTTTCCTCTCTTCTCTTTTTTTTCTTTTTTTCCTCTCTTTTCCTCTCTTCTCTTTTTTTTTCCTCTCTTTTCCTCTCTTCTCTTTTTTTCTTTTTTTTGTCCTCTCTTTTCCTCTCTTTTCCCTTCTTTTCCTCTCTTTTCCTTTCTTTTCCTCTCTTCTATTTTTTTTTCCTTTTTTTTCCTCTCTTTTCCTCTCTTCTCTTTTTTTTCTTTTTTTTTCCCTCTCTTTTCCTTTCTTTTCCTCTCTTCTCTTTTTTTCCCTCTCTTTTCCTTTCTTTTCCTCTCTTCTTTTTTCTCGGTACGAAACGATGATTTCTCGGTACGAAACGATGATTTCTCGGCACGAAACGATGATGTCTCGGTACGAAACGATGAATTCTCGGTACGAAACGATGATTCCTCGGTACGAAACGATGAATTCTCGGTACGAAACGATGATTCCTCGGTACGAAACGATGATTTCTCGGCATCATACTATGATTTCTTGTTTCTAAATTTTGAGGGGATTTTGGCTGCGAATTGCGCATTTTTGCAACATTTGCACTTTTTGCCACTTTTGGCAATTCGAAGCGATTTTTTGATTTTTTTGTTTCAGCTTTTTTTTCTTTTTACGTGGCTAAAATGTTGACTTTTCGTGGCTAGACTTATTTACGTGGCTAAAAAAAAACATTTCAGAGCTAAACTTTTTCTTTTTCGGGGCTAAAAATCGGGCCCGCCATATAAGTATAACCTGAACCATGATACCAAACTAAAAAAACCTATGACATGTTTCTTTTTCCTGGAAGACAAAAAACAACCATCTGAGGCTGAGCTCCGGGCTTAATTTTCTTTCGGCACACTGGGCACGGCTGCTTGAAAAGGCCTTGTAAGAAAAGGTTGCAAATTCTCCACAAATTTCGCCGCAAAGAGCCTCTGAGCATCTGACGCTGCCCACAAGTGAGACACGCAGCCATGTGGCCACACGGCACGAAAACCGTCAACTCCGTGGACTCCTTTTCCTCCATGCCTTGCATGGACCGGATGTGACGCGCTTTTTGAAGATGCTTCATACGATAACATGCATATGGTCATATGGTAAAGCAATGCCTCGGCTGGCAACCTGCTGATCTTTAAATAAAACGCCTAGCGCTTTCAGCCTTGCCTTTCACGTTTGACTCCAGATGCCAGCGCTGCTTTTTCACGGCAGCGTGTGGAGCAAATGGCCTTCAACTGTACAGTGAAGGATTGCAGCTGCTGTTCACAACACTTACAGAAGGCTGCAGTTGCTGCTTGGTTTGTCGTCTGGTGGCAATCCCAGCCCCAGGCGGCACTTGCGGATCTCGGCCTGGTAGGACTGGTAGATAGATGCTTCCTCTTGATCACGCTGCTCTACTGCCCAGAATTCTTGGGTGAAGGACCGTGCACGGCGCAGAGTAAAATATGCTGAACCAGCCAGAAACGCGGTCGTAAAGATTGCAGCAAGACCAAAGAAGGCCAAAACACAACACCCTGCGAACCAGGCCGACAACAACTTGGCTACAAGTTGCCAGGCTGGTGTGGTCAGCTGGCCGGCAATGAAGCTGCACGTCAGCAACAACAATCGGAATCGTCGTGAAAGTCTTTGACCATCGTTCTTTGCTCCGCAAATCAGTAGGTGACAGAGAAATACAGGGGCCAAGAAAGACAGAGCCCATACGAAGAGTTTGTAGCAGGTTTGGTAACTAACAACAATCAGTATTCGCAACGCCTCCAAGGTGACGAAATTTCTCGATACCTTTAGACAGCATACAAGGCCAAGAAACCACAAGGTACAGGCCAAGAATCTTCGTCGTTTGATGACACCTGTCCATACCTTCCTGCAATCCTGGATTTTGGAATTCATCTCCGCATGCAAGTCATTCATCTTTGTCTCCAGTGCTTGCTTTCTTCTAAATGCGACTTCACCTTGCCAGCGCCTCACCAATTGGTTCCTGTAAATCTTTGGAAGTAAAACTTCCCTGCGTATTGGGCGGATCGTGGATCGATTGTGAAAATCTTCAAACATAAAAGGACTTGTACGACTGTGACCTCTCGCAGGACTAGGACCAGGAGTTTGCCAAAAGTCTGCTGCCAGCATTGATGTCCAAACAGAATCTGTTTCGCAGGTCTCATGGATACTTCGATCTGTGCCAGAGAGGCGTCCGACATCTGCTGGGCTGCAAAAGCTCAGGATCACAGACACTACGACGTCTCTCCGTAGTCCAAGGCTTAGGGACAACGACCTGACCTGCACTCGGATGGTCGCGCTTAGAACCCCAGTGTGAACTGGTACCGGGACCTGGTGTCTCAAGGCAAATTGCACAGGGTCGTCACAGACATTGCTTTCTTGTGAAACTTGGGATCCCATGAATGGACCTAATGGAAATGCAAAACCATGAGTATCACAGTGCTTGCGAGAGTGATAGTTGGTGACCTAATCAATCTCAATCCTAAGTTGTGATCCGTGTGACTGCCGGAATAATACAGAAAAACATGGAAGAACCAACGGCTTGATTGCCTAATGCCTACGGGGATCCACAGAACATCTTTTGCCTGAGGCCGTTTTGGGCCAGAAACAGCTGCGAAGATCAGTCGTTGGAATTCCATTGCGCCGAATTTCAAGATGAGCTGCTGAGCTGCTGAGCTTCAAACAAATTGCACATGCACGGGTCCGCGGCTCCTTCAGCAGGCTCGCGTAGGCAGGAGACAAAACCATGCTACAGTATGATGACATTCACTATGTCATTTTATGTCATTTTTATGTCACTATGAGATGAATTAGCTTTGAATCCTCTTTCAACAGCAGCAAATCCGACTGTTTGAGAAAGAATAATGAAGCGTACTGGCATATATATATATATATACATATACATATATATATATATATACATATATATATATATATACATATATTGTCAAATGCACTCCATTCACATGTTCAGTATCCAGCAGATCATGCCTCCAGTCGCCAAGTCCGATTTTGCATGATGCATTGGCCCAAAGTGGGCGGGTTGAGGAGCGGAACGCTTGAGCCATAAAAGGAGCGAGGCGGCTCCCGGTGTGATATCAGATATCTATCCTGTGGTCAGGAATCCCCTTTGAAGGTGTGGTCACCTCGGTGCTTTTGGGTCGGGCCCGTTGCCAATCCATTTGAGATTGGTAGCGGAGCCCTGGCAATCAACAGGGCCGCTCCATAATGCCTGAAGCTGGGGCAGCAGAGGCATCGTCGAGTGGTGGTCAAAAAGATGTGCAGAACCAGTTGGCGCAGTTGGTGCCTACCTATGATCCCGGAGTGGATTCAGTGTAAACATGGAGTCAGAAGATTGAGCTCCTTTTGAGAGCATGGCCGGAGACCAAGTTGTCAGAATTGGCAACTCGGATTGTGATCAATACAAAGGGATCAGCTTTCCAGAAGTTGCAGTTACACCAAGCTGAACTGTTCACTGGCGATCGCAAGGGCATTGAACGTATTGTGTCCTTAGTTGGTGGATCGTTTGGTCAGGTGGATTTGGAGAAGAAGTTTGAGATTGCTGAGCGTGCTCTCTATCGATGTGTGCAGAAGGCAGATGAGACTGCCGACAGCTTCCTGGCAAGGTCTGACAATACATGGACTGAGTTGCTTGGGAAGAAGATGACACCGGCTGAATTGCAGGCCTACGTGATCTTGCGAGGCAGTCGACTTGCTGGAGATGACAAAAAACGAGTGCTAGTTGAGTCCGGTGCAGAGGATGATGGAACTTTGAAAATGATCAAGGTTCAAGCGGCAATCAGAATGCTTGGATCCACGTTTTTCCAAGACTATACCTATGGCAAGAAAGACAAGAACCAGAAAACGCATGATCACACAGCTTTTCTGGCCGAGGAACATGATGATGCAGCGGAAGACTGGCCTCGTAGCAACTATGATGATTGGGGTGATGATGATTTCGAACATCTGGCAGGTGAAGATGATGATGCTGCATTGGTTGTGCAGTTTGAGAATGCCATGCTCGATTCACTTCAAGAGGACAGGGAACTCTCAGCCTTTTTTTACTTCTTACCAAGAAGCCCGAAAACGGTTAGTTGAGAAGACCAAATCAAGAGGATACTGGGGAATTTCAAAAGGGAAAGGTGGTAAAAAAGGGTATCCCAAAGGAAAAGGGAAAGGATATCGTCCTAAGAGCTTAGCACAGAGAATCTCAGAGTCAGCATGCCGACGTTGTGGCCAAATCGGCCATTGGAAAAGTGAGTGTCCGTTGAACTCCAATGCCAGTGGAGACAGCAAGAATGTGATGCCAACCACCGCGGTAGTGGATCATGAAGTCGCAGCCGTGACGACCACCACATCCGCAGAGCCCAATGACGTTTTGTCGTCCTATGAACTGTTGAAGGATATTCCAGAATGGGCCGACCCATCAGTTTCTTTGCATGAGCTGGATTTTTGTTTGCATGTCACGACACATAAGTTTAAATTCGTGGTAATACCAAGTTTAGGATTGGTTTGAAGAAAAGATTGCAAAATCTCATGACCATGAAGCCCAGGTTCCAGAAAGCATCCGTGAGTGAACCTGAAGTAGTGTCCCGCATCCGTCCATCCGTGACCTCCGGTGTGAAGCAACCAGAGGAAAGTCCAAACCTGTTTTGCTCGTCTGGAACGATAGGGGTAGTGGATTTAGGAGCTTCACAGTCTGTCATCGGTTCAGAACAATTGCAAGAGCTACTTCAACAGCTCAAACCTGACATCCGCAAGAGCATCCGGAAACAGAAAGTTGATCTGGTGTTTCGTTTTGGCAATAACCAGACTTTGCAGAGCAGTGTTGCCTTAGTTTTCCCACTCCATAGTGAGTGGATCCGAGTAGCAGTTGTGCAAGGCAAGACACCTTTCCTGCTGAGCAGTAATTTTCTCCAAACCATTGGTGCTGTGATTGACACTCAGGAATGTACGTTGTGGAGTAAACTCCTTGGAAGGTATGTGGCTGTCACCAAGAATCCAAAGAATCTCATGCTCATGAACATCAATGATTTGTGGGAAACAGATTTTGCCGCCATGACTGTCACGTTAAATGCATCAACTCATGGAGACGACCGACCGGATGTCTCTTGCCAGCTGCCTGAATCCAAGACTTTTCCCGATCAACAGAACAAAGTAGCAGAGCAGCCGCAGGTGAGGTCTTTGAGGTGCAACCGCATCAGCATTTTGATGAAGATTTCCAAACACTCATTGTGCCACCTCGTGTTGATAGCTCGGTTGAAAACATGTGCATGGATAACAATGTTGTAGTCGGGTCCAAGCCTAGTCATCAGCAGTCTTGTGCAGCTTCCAGTACGTGCGGTAGACATGTCATTGCTCGATCAGTTTCAGATCTTCCGTGCCAAGAACGATGGAGAGAATCTCGAGAGCCTGACACTGGATCAATTAGCTGGCCAGAAAATCGACTTCAGAAAAGCCAAGATGAATCAGACCTACGAGGAGGCTTTCCAAGACCTGGAGTGGACCAACTTCATGGTGTCCCGATACGAGAAGAGCGACAAGCCAGCTCATCAGAAGTTCCTTCGCTATGTGAAGCTGCGAATCCAGTCAGGGCAGAACACTCCCCTGAAGAACAAAGGTGTCAAAACAGTCGACACCAAGATCAAGGTGAAGAGCCGAGGTGCGACATCACACATCGCGATGCCAGTGGGGGAGGAGGAGGACTCAGAGTGGGAAGAGATGTTCACCCACCAAGTAAGGCCCAAGGAAGAGATCTCAGCAGAGGTGGAGAGTCGCCTCAACCGCATGGAGGAAGCCCTGGCCCAAGTGATTTCTCATCTTCAACAGATTTCGACTCAAGGAGTACTGATTCAGGCCAAGGAAGAACTTCAGCCGTAGATCAACTGCAGACATCTGAAGAGTCAGCCAGAGAATTTGAGGCTATGGTCAGTGATGAATACTTTGCCGGTAGTTTAGATTATGATCATGCAGGTTTTCAACAACAGAAAAACTACCAAAGAGAGTGTCAACGTTTGATAGCCAAGTTTCGCAAAGAGCTAAGGGATGTACAGCATGTGATCAAACCTGGGAGACACAAAAGTACCTTGTTTGAAGTGATGTGTTCTCATGACAGCGAACTGACCCGTCAATGTCAGCAGCTTGGTTACAAGGCTCGTAGATTTGGTTTAGTCGAAGGTGACCTGAACACCACACATGCACGTCGAAAGTTATTTGCTCATCTAATTTCCGAAAGACCTGACCATTTGTGGTATTCACCTGAATGTGCCCCGTGGTGTTGATGGTCAACCATGAACATGTCCAAGTCGCTGGAGTCATTGACGCATGTTTTGGATGCACGTTGGCAGAAACTCTGGCAGGTGGCTCTCGGTGTTGTGCTTTTTGAACATCAAGTGACAAATGGCCAGCATTTTCACTTGGAACAGCCTGATGGTTCAGCAATGTTGAAATTGCCAACACTTGGTCCCGTGATCCATGTCGCATTGCCTTGTAAGTTTGACATGTGTATTGTAGGTGGTTTGGTTGACCCTCAATCGAAAATGCCTATTCGAAAGCGAATGGTTGTATGCACCACCTCTGCCGAAATGAGAAAAGCATTGGATCATCGAAAGTGCCCTGGAGAACATCCGCACTTTCCAGTTGCAGGTTCAACGAAGGTAGATGATCAGACGCTGCCTGTGTCAAAGTTCACGGAGAAGTATCCCAGAAAGTTTGCTCGTCAAGTTTGTAGGATCTTAGGACATCGTAATCAATATCACTCTCATGAAGCGTTAGCCAATGAAGTGTCGGACTCAGAAGAAGCTGAGAGCCATCCTACAAAGCGGCGACGACTTGGAGAGAAGAGCTCCCCATTGCAGATTGCCTTGCGTAGCACCACAGTGACATGGGAGAATGTCATGCAAGCTGCCGATTTGCAAGCTCCAAGAGTAGGCCCTTTAGTTGTTAACCATGGAGATTTGCTCACTGCACTAGGTACACTTTGTCCTGACCATGTCATTCATCATGTGGTACTTTGCAGAGGCACTGATCGCATGGTAGGTCCAAATCAGCATATGATCGCTGGAGAAGCTCCATGGAGACGCATGATCTGCATTCGTAGGAATTTTGAAGACATTTGTTTGGAACCAGAATGGGAAAAATGGGAGCGTTTGTCTCATCGACAGCTTCGTCGTAACACGACACCAGCGCGATGCAGTCTGACAATCTTTGCTCGACTCAAGTAATTATAAATCTTGGTCCGATGATCAGGATGATGAGAATGCAGCTGAAAACCAGGCTGTTGATCCAAACAGTTTGCCATCCGGAACTGTCAAGAGAACAGGTTCCTCTGAGGTTTTTGAAGAGTTTGTGGATCGACAGAAACGCTACCGTTCAGGCATGGCAGAAGAAGTACGAGGTTTTTCACCCTCAGTTCCACTGCAAGACACTAGCAATGTCAAAGTAGATGGGGAAACTCGTCAAATGATTGATCTTGTTTCGCAAAAGCATGGACCTAACATGATTGCACTGCCACAGTCGGATCAGTCATGGCTCCTCAAACTGCATCGCAACCTTGGACACCCGAGTAAACAAAAGATGGAATATGTTTGCAAACAGCTTGGATGTAATGCTGAGATCTTGCGTGCCATACCGGACATTCGTTGTTCCACTTGTCTGGAGAGCCGTGGACCAGAAATACCACGACCAGGTGCTGTGAAGGATGAACTTGATTTTGGAGACATAGTTGCCATGCATGGTGTCACTTGGAAGAACTCTCAAGGACAGCAATTCCATTTTTATCACATGATTGATCACAGCACTTCATTTCATGTAGCATATTGTTCTCCTTCCCATACAGCCGAAAGTGTAATTCGTGCGTTGGCAATGGGATGGATCATGTGGGCTGGACCTCCAGGCCAGCTTATCCTCGATGCAGCCGGTGAGTTTTGTGATGAAAAGATTCAAGAGTTTTCGCAGAAACATGACATTGGTTTGAAAGTGATTCCACCTGAAGCTCATTGGCAGAATGGTCGCTGTGAAAGACATGGGGGCATCTTGCAAGAAATGCTCACGAAGATGGATGTCGAAGAAGGAATCAACAGCTATGATCAGTTAGAACAAGCACTATCACTTGCCACACAAACCAAGAACCAATGGTCTCGACATCGTGGATATCCGCCCGAACTTCTTGTGTTTGGAAAAATGAAGAAACAGCCCGCGTCCATCACGAGTGATCCAACTTTAGCCTCACATGCTCTTGCCAGTTCTGAATGCGCCGAAGGCATCCGCTTTCGTGCTGAGTTAGCTGTCCGAGAAAGCGCAAGAAAGGCATTTGTACAGGTCGACAATGACCAAGCATGTCGTAGGGCAATTTTACAACGAACTCGGCCAAATCGGGGGAAGTACAACACTGGTGATTGGATCATGATGTGGCGTGAGAACAAACGATGGTTTGGTCCAATGAGGGTAATCCAACAGGATGCTGATCATTGTATTTGGGCTGTTTTTGGTAGTAGAATGTATCGTGCCTCCCCTGAACAAGTACGATCGTTGTCTGCCGTCGAGGAGATTCAACATAAGAAAGAAGCAGCAGTGGAGTCTCGCCCTGATGTAGTCCAAATTTCACTGAATCAGCCATTGGAAAGTCAACAGATTCCAAGTGCAGAGGCTCCAGCCGAAGAAGCTATCAGTGGTAGTCAGATTTCTCAGGGTGAATCACCAGAACCTGAGCCGTCAGTAGGTATTCCTTCAGTTGCCAACACTGAAGATTTAGAATTGGAACGTCAAATCAATGTGCCAGTGGGTATTCCTGTTCCAGCAGAAACTGATGACGATTTGGTTTGTGAAGTTTTACATGTCACCGAAAATCAATGTTGGGAGATACCAATTGACCTGGGTTTACATGAGATAAATCAATTACTCAACAAACCTGAAGAAGAACACTCAGCCTTTTTGGTGTCCGCTGCAAAGAAACAACGGAGCGAGGTAAAACCTAAAGACCTGTCCAATCAAGAGCGTGAGTTGTTTGAAAGTGCCAAGGCCAAAGAGATTCAATCCTACAGAAACAATACAGCGCATCTGCCGTGGCCAGATTACCCGTGAAAATGTTTTGAAGTGTCGCTGGCTGCTGACTTGGAAAGAAAATGTTGATGATCCTCACAAACCAGCCCGAGCTCCGAAAGCTCGTTTGATCGTGCTTGGCTATCAAGATCCACTCTTGTGCGAATTGGAAAGAGACAGTCCCACGTTGTCGAAATTGGCAAGGATGTTTATATTTCAATATGCAGCTAGTTGTGAATGGGAAATTGGAAGTTTCGACATACGTACTGCATTTCTCAGAAGTAGTGATGATCAACGACTGTTAGGATTGGAGCCCCCAATCGAGATGCGAAAACGTATGGGCCTGGCTGATCACGAAATTGTTCGACTCTTAAAAGGAGCATATGGCAGAGTTGATGCACAACTGTTATGGTTTAGAGAACTTCAGAAGGGTTTGACCGATTTGCAATTCACTGTAAGTCCTTTTGATAACTGTCTCTACATGCTTCAAGAGCAGGGTCGAGTTCTTGGATTGATCGGGGTTCACGTGGACGATGGATTATTTTGTGGCACACCTGAGTTTTACAAGAAGCTGGATTTGTTGGAGCAAAGGTATCCTTTTGGAAGTCGTCGTACCCGAGAGTTCACTTTCACTGGTTTACCTATCACTCAACATCAAGACTATTCCATTACAATTGATCAAACCAAGTATGTCAAGGAAATTGAACCTATTCGCATTTCTCAACAAAGACGACATGAACCTCAAGCACCAGTCCAAGAAGAAGAGAGACAACAACTACGTGGATTGATAGGTAGCCTGCAGTATGCCTCCACCAATACACGACCTGACTTAGGAAGTAGGTTATCGTTGTTGCAAAGTCATATCAATTCAGCTTGTGTAGAAACTCTCATGGATGGAAATCGAGCTCTTCAAGAAGCCAAGCAACATGCTGACACGTGTCTCAGAATCCAGCCAATTCCTCTAAGGGACATTCGTTTCCTTTCTTTCTCAGATGCCGCATTTGCTGCAGCCAAGAACACCTCATCCCACCAAGGTATGTTGCTCATGACTGCACACAAGTGTATAGCCGAAAATCAAAGTAGCGTGGTCAATCCAATACTTTGGTCATCGCGTAAGATTCAAAAGGTTGCTGTAAGCACTTTGTCAGCAGAAGCAATGGCTTTAGCCAGTGCAGTTGATGTCTTGGCATGGGCCAGACTTTTCTGGGCATGGTTAGTTGACCCCAAATGCCGTTGGCAATTGGGAGATCAAACATTGCTGAAACTGCCACCAGCTTTTACAGCTCTGAAAGATGATGATGATCAACCTGAGCCTAATGAATCACTATGCCGTGCCAGCCAATTGAACCAGAAAGTAAATCTGGCAACTAGCATAATCAGTACAGACTGCAAGTCGCTATATGATATAGTCAGTAGGACTGCTGCTCCGTCATGCCAAGAGTTCAGAACTGTGTTGCAAGCGAAACTCATTCGAGAACACTTAGCTGCTGGTGTGTTAGTGCGTTGGGTACCAACTGGAGCTCAAATGGCTGATAGTCTTACAAAGATCATGGATAGCACTGTACTCCGGGAGTGTCTTCGACTAGGGAGATACCGTTTGAACGATGAAGCGCAAGTGTTGAAAACCCGTGCTGACTCAAAAACTCGTCTTAAGTGGCTTCAGGGTGAGAAGTCGAATTCAGAGTTGCCTGAGAAAAGCCAAGACGTCTCTAGGCATATGCATGAAGAACCATAGGTGCCAACGCTGAAACTTCTTGACCTTGATGCATCCCAGTTTTTGCATGCTTTTCATACTGGAGCTATACAGACTGCTGTCTTTGAAACAAGACAGAGTCACTCGACGATGCTGAACTTACCACTTGTATTACATTGCGATGTGCATCTGGGTTGATGTGAGGGACAAGTGCATGAACATGATGAATGGCTGTCAATTTTTTTAAAAGACTGGGAATGTCAAATGCACTCCATTCACATGTTCAGTATCCAGCAGATCATGCCTCCAGTCGCCAAGTCCGATTTTGCATGATGCATTGGCCCAAAGTGGGCGGGTTGAGGAGCGGAACGCTTGAGCCATAAAAGGAGCGAGGCGGCTCCCGGTGTGATATCAGATATCTATCCTGTGGTCAGGAATCCCCTTTGAAGGTGTGGTCACCTCGGTGCTTTTGGGTCGGACCCGTTGCCAATCCATTTGGGATTCAACAGCAGCAAATCCGACTGTTTGAGAAAGAATAATGAAGCGTACTGGCATATATATATACATATATATGTACATGTATATATATATATAATTTTAATTATATATGGATTATATGTGTATATATATATGAATTATATATGATATGGATTAAATTATATATATATATAAGAGCACGGGGGACTGATACTGACATGTACTGATACGTAAGCCAAATGGATCCAAATCCAAATGGCCCATCTGAAGGCAAAGATGACAAAACAACAAAAACATGATGAGACCTATTAATTCTCTCATTTCTCTCAACTCCATCCAGTCCAACACAATCTTGCCCCGCTCTCCTGAGCTGGAGATTCTCTTCGAGGCTCATCTGGTACCGTCTCCAGATCAATCACAACCGCTTCCTGCGGATGAAACAAGCAACACACTGAGAATCAAACATTATCATTGACATAATCATACATAATCCAACATGCAGCCAGAAAATGTGACAGGTTTGACAGCCACAATTCTGAAGTATTCGTTCACTTTGTCCAATGTCCTGGCTCGTGGATTGAGGCGGATCACTCTGAGGTCGATCACCTTGACTCGGCATCTCACCCAGTGCACCTTGATTGGCTTCGTTGGCGTTGCTCTCGAGCCGATTTGAATTTGCTGTTGCAGTCCCAGCAGGGGTCCCAGGGGTCCCAGAAGTCCCAGGAGGTACCTGGACAGGACCAACAGGATTGGGCTCCACCTGAAGTTTGTCTTCAGCCAGTGAGTATTGGTGACAATGAACAGTAACCAGCCATCGAACCTGGGAGGTCTGGGAGGTCTGGGAGGGCTGAGAGCCCTGGTCACGCTGGTCCACGATCCCCACACATCCATTCAACTCTGGATGTGACGTCAATCCCCCAATTTTCACAGCCAGACCAGGCCGCACTGCCGTCACGGTGTGGCAAGTTTCGTTCACCAATGCGGTGCAGTGTCCACCGGTGGGCGGGTCTGAGGGCTCTGGTGCCCGACTAATCTCCCGGCATGCCTCTCTCTCCTCGATCTCATCTAGGAGTCCACTGGAAAGCAATTTGTCCAATTCCGCCTCCTCATCTGCAAAAGCATCAAAGGCATTGAAGGCATCGGATGGACATGGCCTGGTTGAAATAACATGTGTTTGGTGCAAAAATGCTTCCACCTCCGCTTCTGAAAAGGTGAAGTCCAAAGATCGAAGTCTGGCAATGAAGTCTTTGGCAGCGCCCGCCCCTCCCTTCAACCACCACCTCTTTGTTGGTTGGTCAAAGCTTACACCACCTTGCAGCTGCTTTACAGCCTGAACCATGTCATTAAAAATGATGCGACGTCTCTGTCGGACTTCCTCGTCATGATCGTAATCAGTTTTAATTTCTGCATGGAAATCCTGCTTGCTTTCATCCCTGCGAAGCAAGCACCGTGCCCACGGTGCCTTCGCAGGTGGTTGGGCCACCAAAATGCCCATGAGCGGCTTTCTCAGCCATACAAAAAACTGCTGCGCGCCCGTTGCCTTCTTGTGACAAGATGAAAATCATAAAACCTTCGTTAAAAATATATATATATATGTTTTTTCAAAAACCTTCATCCTAGAGACTTCGGATGTGTTAATTCTTGTCAGTCCGTTCTATGCATCATATGATTCGTTTGGACCGGAATGATTTTGTCGGTATATCTGGCTCCTTTTGATATCAAAAGGCTCAAACGGTTCAAAAGCCACCTCTATGGCCTCTATGTATAGCCATAGTCCCTTTTTGTACTGATAAACTGGAACTCCTCATTATTGGGTCTCCAAATCGACTTGTTTTGCCTCCATGCGCCTGCTCAACCTCAGCATTTCGGACTTTACAGGGAACCTCCACCTTGACACCCTTTCGGTATCTTTGATGCTGATGGCCGGGAGCAAAACAGGAGAGAAAGTTTGAACACTCAAGAGAAGTACAGAACAGTTGAACTCAGTTTGCCATGACGTGTAAAATCAAAGCAGGTCGAAAAGCATTGACACACGGAACATCACGACACATCCAGGCGCATCAGCGCACCATCAGGTGGTGCTGCAATGCCATCGAAGGTTGGAAGGTCCTGCAGAAACGTTCGAAAAATCTCTGCGGAATCCAGGCAGAACATGGCAACCTTCTGCTTCTTCACATCCAGGGAGCATCAAGCCCGCACGCCGCCATTTTTGAAACTGTGCGATCGAAACGTGGAACAAGCTGAAACCTGAAACGCAACCAAGGACGTGAGTCCTGTAACACCTGTGCTCTACACAAGGCCGACTTGTTCTTTGCAAGTCTACTTTTTTTCCCTGATTTTTCAAATGCGAAAATACCAATCTGCATCGAGTATCTTCGAATCAGCTTAGACCTTTCTGGCCTCTCACTCCGTCCCTGGCAAATCCATCGGCTGTTTCACTGTATTGCAGTACTATGTAGTACATTGTAGTATTATATGACAACCTAACACGACATTTGAAAAAAGCCAGCAGGCCGTAGGCTTCGGTCCACCTGTGAGCCTGCAAGACATATTTCATCATTGTCGGTTGCCATCGGTTGCCGATGGTTCAAAGTCTGAGCTTCAGACTCAGAGTGCTTGTTTGTACGAGTTGATCCAAAACCTGTGCGAGTTGGATAATGAGTTCGTTCATCGAAATGAAAACTGCCAAATGCAGAAAAGCCATGAAAGCCATGAAAAGCCTCAATCAAAATGTCCCTGGAAGAGACGAGCCCCTGAATCACGAAAATCCGTGCAAGTTCAGCGATTCTGAAACGAACCAAGAAGCAATATGAGATAATGCAAGCTTCAATTTGCAATCTTTGTCACTTTCCGAGAGCCGCACCACGATGCGAGCAATTTCATGTGAGGAGAGAAAAATCCTTTGGAGCCTTGGCCATATGGAAAAATGAAAAAGGTCCACAATCATGCAGCTACCAGGCAGCTACCGCATTCTTCTTTTAAATTCTCAGGTGCTTGCTTTGACGCCAGAAGTTGTCTGGCAAGAACATGTAAAGTCTCGTGACGATCACACGAAACCACCTGAGATCGCACATGACTTTGACAGCTGCAAAAAATGCTCGAGAGTCGACTCGAGAACACAAGCGTCTGAGGATTGGACGTTGAATCTTTGGACATTGAATCTTCCCAGACTCCGCTGGCGATCAAGCTTGGCAGAGTCAATGGTTACAACCTCATGAAACTTTCGAAGCGACTGTCCCAAAGAGTGGTGCAAACTACCTACAAAAAAGATCAAAAAAACGTAGTGGCAGTGGCGTAGTTTCTTGGTCGCAGCTGCTGGTAGGTCACAGGCGTGCTTTCGCCAAGCAAGGAACTCATCTATGCTGTACTCCAGCACATGATACCTGCACGATAACATACGATAGCTTTCACTTGACCCGATCTGCCCCTAACATCGCCTAACAATCTCCCATCATCTCTCATCTGAAGAAATCTGAAGACCAAGGGCACTGTTCAGTTTCAAGCACCAGCTTGAGGTCTGCAACGGCCACCACACCCACCGCCACCGCTCCACCCAAATCACCTGACAACTCTAACGAAGTCGCGGCACCTGGGCGACACAGTTAGACCAACTAGGTTTCACAATGTTTCACACATGTCTTCACACATATCTTCACACCCTCAAGATGAAAAGACATGCTATGCAACAAAAACCAACAAAACATTCCAAAGCTCCAGAAGTTCACTGGTAGAACCTCCGATCCAAATCACTCAGAATATCTGAGAATACTGCAAATGGTCAATCTTTCTGCATCCATGATGTGCCTGCAGAACAAGTGTTCTGGCTATCGGGCATGATCACTCTCAGCGAGAAGCTCACATTCAAGCAAGCCGGAGGTTCAAGGCGTGCAAAACTGTTTTGTCGTTGGGCACAGAGAGCGTCTGAGGCAGCATGAAAGAACAAAATGACCCACTTGCTCACTGTGAAGACTTGAATTTGAGAAGCATACATAGCGCAGCGCATTTGAATACAGTAAGCTATTATTGCATGCTATTGGACATTGCACACTCACCCAAAGTTGCGGCACTGCAGAGCATTTTGTTTCCGGACAATCTCGCATCACCCATGATGTGTGGCAAACCGCCAGGCGAAATGAATCAATGATAGATGAAGATGATACTGGTGGGTTTACCTTGTCAACTCTGCTCTATTTGTCCGGCTTTGAACAAGCCCAAGCTCTGATGTGGGAATACACTCCAGCCTGAAGCACAGCATTTCGCCGATCAAAAGTTCTTGCCTCCTCCAGGGATCAGTTTCTGTTAAACTGAGCGAAACTGCTGCAGACTTATGCAGACTCAGAGCAAAAAAATCAGGTGAAAGGCACTGACATTGAGATCGCCAAAGGTCAGTGGGATTGAAGGTTACACAAAAATTTAGGGGCTCCAAAATCAAGGGGAAGATTTAACATATCAAACTGGAAAAAAGCCCAACTTTCATGTCAAAACGCAAAATGATGGCTGGAATGCACAACAAGTCAAGATTGATTTCTGTCCCTCGACTTGAGGACTGCTGTGGGCACATCGAAGCCTCACCATTGCATATCTGCATCTGAGCTCATCCGCAATGAGGACGGCAAAGTTTTAAAGCTGAAGTCCACACACATAGCAAGCTTCAAGAAGTCGATGCAGGAGAACACTCGGATCAGTTCACCTTGCACCAATTTCAGAGAAACACTCAATTCCGAGGTGGAATGGCGACACGGCGACCTCACCCTCAAAAAACTCGCACGGGTGCACCGTTCATGTCCACCAGTGGGATGCGATGCATCTGCGCAGTAGTTTGCAAGGCACAGTTCGCTAAAATAGGCCAAAGGGGTCAGGATAGGGCCTCTTGGCTTAGCTGCTAGCTGGTACCAACTCTATCCATTTTTCAACCAGGATCAGTTCACCATTTGCTTTGCTCAGCTTCGAACCACTGCCCGACCCTCTCCTCGACCAAGCCTAAGAAGCATTGAATCTGCACAACAATTCTGCCATAGCCTGCTATATTCTGCCTTTTTGTTCCAGATATCCACGGGCCATGCTCTCCCAAAACACGCCGCAACCCAGCAGAATTTCAAGCCCGCGACATTTCCAAGATCTTCTTCAATGGTGTCATGACCGATGTAGGCCTGGACTTTGTAAATCAGTCAAAGGTGTGATGAATGCGGGATGCACGAATCAAATGAAGGACTCTTGGTATCTCTTGGTCAAGGACACGAAGGAGGAATATCCAGAGCAATTTGCAAGGACCTTCACTCGACATGCAATTGAATGCAGAAATGCATTGCAATGCAGAAGTAAACAGAGAAGTGCTGGCAAATCTGTCGAATCCAAGGCCCCTACCCCAACCTTGCAGAAGTGCTGTTACAAGATGTTACAAAGGCATGACAAGAACAGGATATACTTTGATATACTCTGCAAGACTGCTCCAAGCCATCTGCAAAACTAAGAGGCTGGCCGACATTCTACAAATCTGTGCGACTTGACAAGCTGCGATCCGTTGATCTTGGTTTCGATGGCTCGGCTCTTTTCCGAATCACTGAAGCATATTGTCAGTCTTACAGTTTCCTTGGGCGCTTGACGACCGTCAGCTTTCTTCACCTGGATATGCGTGCGGAATTCATACGGAGATATCCAATCTCAGGCAGACTGAGCTTCAGGCGATTTCATGACACAAATCCATGTAGTCGAAGAATTCCTGCCGACCTCAAAACATCCATTTTACGCAGACAAAGCTGGGTCACTGCATCCAAACATCAGAACTTAGTTGAATGCCACTGCGAAACTGGACTACCACCTTGGCTCCAGGGGCTGAAAAAGAAAGGTCCAAGGCTTAGGGCCCTAGGGCACAGCTTGACAAAGTCCTGTGCTGAGCAAGTCGCCCATCGGAAGTGGTTGCAAGTCATGCTGCGGACCACCTCTGAAACCTGGGCCAAGCGCACTGGAAGCCGAGAAGTCTCGGCACATGAACTGAGGCTAAAGGCAGGCTCGTCTTCCGGGAACACCATCTCCTTGCCGGTGCAGCAACAGCAACAGCAACCACAACAGCCAAATCCTTCCTTGCTTCCCGATCCTGAAGATTTCGTGCATCCAGCAGTGGCAGGAAGGCTGCGATGGGCTGGTTCAGGTCCCACCTGGGCCGTTCGATGGTAGCATGAGCATCTGTGAATCCAATCACTATCCAGTTGGGTAATGGCAAAAGCCTTGAACGCCCTTTCCCATGGTTGCCATGCACTGCAGTTCAAAACAACTGAGCTCGCAGCTTCTGATCCAGGCTGGGCTCTATCTTGACCTCTGCCTGGTGTCAAGTTGAGCAAAACATTGTACTGCAGACAGCGCTTTTGCTAGCTTGTAAGTTGTATACTCAGAGCCAAGAGTTACAAGCCTCTCCCAACCGGCTCACATCTTCGAACGCATCTTCAATCGGAGGAATGAGCGCCTGCAGCAAGCCAAAATGCCAAGCAATATCAAGCAATGCAGCAAGCTTTTGCTGTCGCGCATGGCGATGCATGCGCTGAATCTGCTGCCGAGGTGCTGCCAGGAACTCGCAGTAGCTGAGGGACTCCTCCTCTCCACAGAGAGCCTGGAGCAATTCTGTGCTGAGGAAAATGCCGAAGAAGCAGCCAAGCGCTGGCATAGCATGGTGCCACGGCGCACCTTCCACATCCCCACAGCCTCTTGCCTACCACACAAAGATCAGTGCAAACGACGGTGTTTCTTTGACTCAAACTGACAGAGCAAATTGATCTCTGTCCTGGCAGATGGAAAATCATCCTCCGATGTGACTACTGATAGGAAGGCCTCTCCAGGAGACAGGAAGCTGTCTGACTGTGCTTTGACAAACATCAGATTTGAACATCTTGTGCCATTGTGCCATCGAGCGCCTCCAGGTCGATGCTGCCACTCAGCTTCACTGCGTCGAAGAGGTCAAAGGTTGCACCTGCACGAGCTGCACAAGCTGCACAAGCTGCACAACGCACAGCAGGTTGCAAAAGGCCGCTGCCGCCACTGCTCTGAGGCTGAAACGGAGGGCGCAAAAGTCCTTCCAAGGTAACCGAGTTGGAGCTCGAGCCTTTGTGACATCTCATCGCCCCATCTCTCTCACTCCGATGTCTCTCTCGTGCTTCTCATACTTCTTGTGTTTCTGACAACTTCCTACTGGCCATGAAAACAGCTGGAAGTCTGAGTGTCCCAACCATTGCCAGCATTGAAGCCCTGGTTGTGGCTGAACTAGACCCATATGCGCGAAATCGTGAAATCACCTGCCGACTACAGAAGATTGCCGGCATTTCATGATATCTCTGCGGAACCGAGCATGTCAAATGCATCTTGATGCATTTTGATTCATTTTACATGTCGAAGCATCTTGATGTGTTTTGTTTTTTTGGATGCATTTGGTACGTTTAGGTTGGCCCTGTGCCTCGCTGATCGGAAGCGCATTTGGCTGCTGCTGAAACTGTTCGCGCGCTTCTTTCAGGTATGGATCCTGCAGTAGTGGCGCTCCACATCGGCGTGCGGATCAACCCATGCTCAAGACTCATATCCGACATATCCGGCATATCCGACACTTCGCTCAATGCACTGCCACTTCGCTCAATGCACTGCGCCAGTGATCCCTTGAGAGTTTTGCGGTCCGAACGCCTGGAGCGCTTCTGCAGCAGAGCACCTTGCGTTTGGGTCCTTCCGAAGCAACCGCCTCACCAAGGAATCGCCCCAAAATCAAAAATTGTGACATATAGGGACCAGAGACATATTTATATATATATATATATATATTAGTAAAAAACAATATGTTATATATTAAATTGAATATAATATTATATATGTGATAAAATATTATATTATGATATATTATATTAAATTATATTCTATTCTATTATATATAATATTAAATTATATTTTAATTTTTACTATATTATATCAAATTACATAGTATATATTATACTGTAATATAATATAATATAATATAATATATTATAATAAAATATTATACTATATTATATTATATTATATTATATAATAAAATATAATATAATTTAATTTAATTTAATATAATATAATATAATTTAATTTAATTTAATATAATATAATATAATTTAATTTAATATAATATAATATATGTTTTATTATATGAGGCTATACTTGATTATATTTTATTATGCTATATTATATGATATTATATGATATTAAATTATATTTTATTACTATATATTATCTTGTATTAATATATATTAATTGATATTATATTATATTATGTTATATTATATTAAATTATCTTATATTAATAAATTAATTGATATTATATTATATTGTGCTATATTATATTATATTTTATTTTATTATATTATATTATAATATATTATACTATTTTAGTTCACTATATCTTAAAGCAAATTATATTATATTAATTCATTGAATTTTTATATTATAATTTATTATATTATATTATATTAATCTATATTATAACTATGTTTTATTACATTAAATCATTTCATTTATATATATATATGTATACTACGTATAATGTCAACAAATCCATAGAAATCCATCGCGAACCGCTGACAGCTTCTCAATCTACAAACCCTTCCAAGCCGTTCCAAGCGCTTACAATGGCCTACAATGGCTTACAAGCCTCAGGAAGTCCCGAGAGTTCTCCGGTGCAAGTTGCAAGTGACGCAAAATGTCCTGACGCGAGGCCGCTACGACTTTCATTGTGTGCAATTGATGCTATGGAGTCGCTCCTCTTCTGTGACATCACGAATGTCCCGCAAAATCACCTGCACACCCAGAAAGAAAACATAAAGAAAACACACATATATAGAATTTATATAATATAAGACAATATATATTATATATACAATATATATTATATAGTATAATATATATTATATAGTATAATATATATTATATAGTATAATATATACAGTAGTCCCATGTAATCCCCAACCTGGTTTAGTCGGCTTTAACACTTCCACACAAGTCACAGCAGGGGCCTCTTCTGTGTAGCCATCGCATGTGCCCCTGCCCTTCTCGAAGACTGAAACTCCAGCTCCACCTGATGTGAAGCATGGTGCAGTACGCATCAGTAGAAAAACAACCACCAGCAGAACTCAAAGTTTCTGAGCCCGCAACCCAACATCTCCAAGAACACAACACCGAGGGACCATATGTCGCATGTTTCATTGTATGTTTCCTGGCAAGAAGTATGCTCAACAATAAGTTTCAACTAATGCTTCCCCTGCTGACTGTTGGTTTTAGCGGACCTCAGATGCAGCACTGCAGACCACCTGACACTTTCACAAGATGAATCTTCACAGTTTTCACCAACATGGCTCTCACATGTCACAGGCACCACGGTCAAAACATGGTATATGGAGCATGGTCATCCCACCACCAGTAGGAATTCCTTCTCATGGGTATATTATATCATATATTCGAAGGAAGTTTAGAAGTCAAACTTCCAACAATATGGACAGATGAAAAGCAGAGCAGGGCAGAGGCAGAGAGAAGAGAAAGATTAGAAGAGAGAAGAGAGAAGAGAAAGAGTCAGAAGAAAGAAGATGCAGATGCGCGAAAAGGTAGGAAAGTCGCGAAACACTGTGTTTTTCCAATGATTTGTGGCTCCGGAGGGTCGAAAAGTAGGCTCGCTAAAGCGGCGGGTGCGGAGCCAGCTAGCCAGAGGAGAGATGAAAAATTGCACGCCGTTGTGGCACATTTCCAAGTGAAAATGTACAAAACACACCATTCTCGGACCACTTTTGGAAGTTGAGATGTCAAAAAAGTGCACGCCGTTGTGGCGCGAAGCACATTTCGAAGTCAAAATGTACAAAACACACCATGCTCGGACCACTTTTGGAAGTTGCGATGTCGAAAAAGTGCACGCCGTTGTGGCGCGAAGCACATTTCGAAGTGAAAATGTACAAAACACCACATGTTCGCGCCACTTTCGGAGGTTCAGATGTCGTTTCGCGTGGCAGGCGCAAGGGATTGTGCACCTCTTCAAAAGTGAGAAAAACGTGAGGGTTTTGTCGCATTTCCAAAAACGATGGCAGGCATGGGACATTTGAAGAGGATCTGCAAAGATGCATTTTCCGTGGCAAGCGCAATACAAAAGACATGTTCATGAGAGATGTTAGGAGGTCAGGGCGCTGATTTCCTGAGAGGGGTTGCATTTTGGAGTATCAGATGTGCAGGTTTGCTAAGATGACTTTGCGTGACAGGTGCAGCACTTCGTATGACCTGGCATCAATTTTCCGTGGCAGGCGCAGTACTTTAGACAGGTGGACTGGAAAAAACGCAAAACGCATTGGTACGAGGCTGTCAGCTCTGCACTCAACTTTCCATTTTTGAAGGAAGTCTCGCAGAATTCTTTCGTTTTTGATGTCTTCAACTTCGAAAAATGAGGAAGTCTCGCGGAATTGCTTCGTTTCGGATGTTGTCAAGTTCAAAAAATGAAGACGTCTCGCAGAATTGTTTCGTTTTGGACGTTGTTATGTTCAAACATTAAGGAAATCTCGCAGAATTTCTTCGTTTTTGATCTTGCAGATAGATAGATAGATAGATAGATACATAGATAGATAGATAGATGGATAGATAGATAGATGGATGGATAGATAGATAGATCGATAGATCGATAGATCGATAGATCGATAGATCGACAGATCGATAGATCGCTAGATCGATAGATAGATAGATAGATCGACAGATCGACAGATCGATAGATCGATGATCGATAAATGGATGGATCGATCGATCAATCGATAGAAAGAAGGATTAACCGATAGATCGATAGATAGATAGATAGATAGGTAGATGGCTAGACAGATAGATAGATAGATAGATAGGTAGATGGCTAGACAGATAGATAGATAGATAGATAGATAGATACATAGATGGACAGATGGACAGATGGCCAGATAGACAGATAGACAGATAGACAGATAGACAGATAGAGAGATAGAGAGATAGAGAGATAGAGAGATAGAGAGATAGAGAGATAGAGAGATAGATAGATAGGTAGATCGATCGATAGATCGATAGATAGATAGATCGATCGATAAATCGATAGATCGATCGATAGATCGATAGATCGATAGATCGATAGATCGATATAGATCGATATAGATCGATAGATCGATAGATCGATAGATCGATAGATAGATCGATATAGATCGATAGATCGATCGATCGATCGATCGATAGATAGATAGATGGACAGATGGACAGATGGCCGGATGGCCAGATGGCCAGATGGCCAGATAGACAGATAGACAGATAGACAGATAGACAGATAGACAGATGGACAGATAGACAGATAGACAGATAGACAGATAGACAGATAGACAGATAGACAGATAGATAGACAGATAGATAGATAGATAGAGAGATAGATAGATAGATAGATAGGTAGATGGCTAGACAGATAGATAGATAGATAGATAGATAGATAGACAAATAGCTAGAAAACTAGACAGCTAGATAGATAGGTAGGTAGAGAGAGAGAGAGAGAGAGAGAGAGATCAAATCACCTTTCAGTCCATCAGTGGCTTCGCTCTGCCATCCCTGATTCACAACAACCAAGCTCTCCTATAGGCTTCCTATTTTTGAAACTTCCGCCACCGCCTTGTGCGGTACTACTGGTACCGAAGGAAGTTTAGAAGTCAAACTTCCGCCAACATGGACAAATGAAAAGCAGAGATGGGAAGAGTCAGAGAAGAGAAGAGAAGAGAAGAGAAGAGAAGAAGAGAAGAAGAAAGAAGAAAGAAGATCAACAAAGAGAAAGTCTCAGAAGAAAGAAGATCCAGGTGCACGAAAAGGTAGGAAAGCTGCGAAACAGTGTGTTTTTCCAATGATTTGTGGCTCTGGAAGGTCCAAAAGTAGGCTCGCTAAAGCGGCGGGTGCGGGGCCATCTGGCCACATGAGAGATGACAAGTTGCACGCCGTCGCGGCGTGAAGCACATTTCCAAGTCAAAATGTACAAAACACACCACGTGCAGAGCACTTTTGGAAGTTGAGATGTTGAAAAGTGCACGCCGTTGTGGCGCAAAGCACATTTCGAAGTCAAAAGTGCAAAAAACTGAGGGGTACGGAGCACTTTTGGATGTTCAGATGTCGTTTTGCGTGGCAAGCGCCAGGATTGTGCACCTTGTCAAAAGTGAGCAAAACATGAGGGTTTTGTAGCAGTTTCAAAAGGGATGGCAGGCGTGGGGCACTTGAAGAGGATCTGGAAAGATGGATTTCGCGTGACAGGCGCGGTACAAGAGACATGTGTTAGGGGATCAGGGCGGAGATTTCCTGAGAGGAGTTGCATTTTGGAGCATCAGATCGTCAGTTTTGGGAAGATGATTTTGCGTGACAGGTGCAGCACTTCGTATGACCTGGCATCACTTTTTGGTGGCAGGCGGTGTACTTTAGACAGGTGGAGAGGAAAAATCGGAAAACGCATTGGTAGGCTGCACTCAACGTTCCATTCTTGAAGGAAGTCTCGCAGAATTGTTTCGTTTTTGATCTTGCCAACTTGGAAAATTGAGGAAGTCTCAGAACTGCTTCGTTTTTGACGTTGTCAACTTCAAAAATTGAGGAAGTCTCACAGAATTGCTGCGTTTTTGACGTTGTCAAGCTCAAAAATCGAGGAAGTCTCGCAGAATCGCTTCGTTCTCAAGCTTGCAGATAGACAGATAGATGGATCAAAAACTACAGCTACCCCTACCACTACACTACAACTGCATCTACAACTACAAAGTAACTACAGCTACAACTACATTGCACTACACTACGCTAATTACAGTACACTACATTACAACTACAACTACAACGACAACTACAACAACAACAACAACAACAACAACAACAACAACAACAACCACGACGACGACACTACCACTACCACTACCACTACCACTACTACCACTACTACTACCACTACTACCACCACTACCACCACTACCACCACTACCACCACTACCACCACTACCACCACTACCACCACTACCACCACTACCACCACTACCACCACTACCACTACTACCACTACTACCACTACCACTACCACTACCACTACCACTACCACTACCACTCCCACTACCACTACCACTACTACTACTACTTCTTCTACTACTACTACTACTCCTGCTCCTGCTCCTGCTCCTGCTCCTGCTCCTGCTCCTGCTCCTGCTCCTGCTGCTGCTGCTACTGCTGCTACTGCTGCTACTGCTGCTACTGCTACTACTGCTGCTACTGCTACTGCTGCTGCTGCTGCTACTACTACTACTACTACGACTACGACTACGACTACGACTACGACTTTGACTACGACTACGACTTTGACTACGACTACGACTACGACTACGACCACCACCACCACCACCACTACTACTACTACAACTACTCAACACTACCTTACACTAATTACACTACACTAAAGTAAAACTACAACTACACGACGGGTGAGGTGACCACTGCAACCATTGCAACCACTCCAAAAAAAACAACTCCAACCACCTTTGAATTCGCTCTGCCATCCGTGATTCACAACAATTCACCTCTCGTATAGGTTTCCTGTTTTTGAAACTTCCGCCACCGCCTTGTGCGGTACTACTGGTATCAGATTTCTACATATATATATATACATATACATATACATATACATATACATATACATATATATATATATATATCATATATCTATGTCTATATCTATATCGATATCTATATATATATATATCTGTTAGTGGATGACCATCCAGCAATACGCGGAAATAGCTGTGCACAAGGTACAGCCAGACCTCCGGGGCCAGGTAGCCCAAGGTGCCCAGACAACCCTTCAGCTGGTCAAAGCCTGGCACGAAACTGCTCCAGCGGCACCGCTGCATGCAGCATGTTGCGCCTTCCCCAAGCATCAGCCGTTTCGCCTCAAGGCATTTCTGTTTTCCCGGACACATCCCATGGAAATGAAAGGAAAACATGGAAAAACGGCAAACTGTAGATATGGCTGCACATAAAACCTCTAAGTCAGCGACGGAAAAGCCAAAATCGATGAGTTTCAAGACCTTCCTCTCTGCTTCATAGACCCAATTGCGAGGCTTGATATCACGGTGGACGATGCCAGCACTGTGAATGTAGCTCAAGACTCTCAGCATTTGGACAGCGGCTTGCTTAAAGTCTTCTTCTGCAAACTCTTTATGAAGAGCATCTTGGAGTGTGCCTCCACTGCAGTATTGCATGATCAGACTCAGCTCTTCCTCATCCTCATAAACATCAAACAGCCTTGCAATATGCGGATGTTCCAAAGATAAGTAAATTATCGCTTCATTCTTCAGTTTTTCCAAATGGTCTGGCTTCATGGCTTTCAAATTAAAGCGCTTCACGCATCGAAGATTTTGAGGTCTTCCAAACTCATGCAGGCGTCGACATAGCACAACATCACCGCTGAAACCACGTCCAATGACTGCCGGCGGATCGGCGGTGTACTCGTAGTCACAGAGGAAATTCTTTTTCCAGTGAGTCAAACATGCCACCAACTCCAATGACAATTTCCGCTGACTCACCAAACCATTCACTTCTTCTGATATGATCGAAGTCTGCCGGTGGCATCGAATTTCCAGAGACTGGCCTGACCAGTCTTTGGAATTGTGGCCATATTTGACACTAAGCCGTTTCCGGTTGATGATCTTGCCTAGGTCCACAGGTTGATCACCTGAGATATTTTTTTCAACCAACGGCGTGCGAGCTCTCGCAGGCAAATCTCCAAGCTGATCCATCTTCAGTGCCAAACGCACAAGCTGCAAACGAAAACCGTTGTTGGATAACACAGTCCCACGTAGACTTTGTACATGTTCCAGTGCTTCTAGCAGACAGTATCCTTCTCTCTGCACTAGCCAACAAACCACCATACAAGCAGATCTGTTGTGCCCCGCCTGGCAGTTTACCAGCACCTTCCGGTTTTCATCTTGGCATTTCTCCAGAAAGCGCTCGCAGGATGGCCAGGACATGTCCACAATATCGAAGAAGAGCCGATCCTCAGAGTCTGCCTCCAAGTACTCCACATCGTGTTGCCCAAAAAGTGACACAAGATCCGTGCCCTCAGGCAGCAAAGCCTGTAGCTCCCACCAGCCTCAAATCGAAGCATTTTGAACCATACATAACCATACAGAAATCCATGAACATTCAATAAAATCCAATGAAACTTTCAGCTTCCAAGTGAGCCCCACACGTTTTTTGAACTCTGTCGACTCATGTCGACTCCCTCTGAGGCTATCATACATTATCCATCTACAAATGGGCTCCAGACCAATGAGGTTGAGCACAGCTCCGATTCCACGGCTGTCCAGGAGCTCCAGGTCCGTTGCATCAGCCAAATCACCAAGGAAGAGCCAGTCCAAAATCCTACAAAATTTAGAAAATACATCAACAGATATCAACAGAATCAACAGAATCAACATGTCAACATATACTATTAATATATATATATACTAAGATGATGATGTAAGTGATGTAATTGAATACAATTTAATGCTAGTGACTAGTGACAATCATACAGCCATAATCACTAACACTCACACACAGGCGTCACATGCAAATGTGAAATCTAAGTGCCGCAGGAAAGAAAAACGAATGTGCCAAAGTGGTTGTCCTTGCAGGTTGCTCGCCCGGCCTGCAAGACAACTGCAACGCAGGAATTCTTCAAGCCACGCTGAAATCAGAAAACTCTCATGAGGCCGGGGCTTCCAGAATCTCCAAGGAACTGTGTCCAGCACAGAAGACCTCACAAGCGAAGAATGAATTCGGTTGATAAAGGATGATTAAAGTATATGCGCCTATTCAGAAGGTGATTCAAATATCTGTCTTCGTTTTCCCTCAGCAAACACTTTTGCAAGTTATCGTATGATCAATAACTGCAAAAAGAAGCACCTGTACCTGAACCCTTTTTGCTGAAGGCAACACTACTTTCATGGCTTACCTGGAGGCTTACCTTGTGCCTCTTGTTTTTTGCAGTTCTACTTGAACCTTCCTCACCCTTCTTCTATATCTAAATGGAGCCTAGTTGGTCAAGACCGCATCCTGATCTTGAGGATGCGGCACTTTGTCAAGAGCCTGCCTTGGTACTGCGCAACAAACATAATCAAAAGACTAGCTGAAGCTGCTTGATTGAAGACTCAAGACTGTGAAGTGGTGCCATTCAACCAGACTCTTTGCCTGCACTAGATGAATCTAGAAGAAGTGGAACCGCTACGACGAAATTGACAAAGTTTTCTTCGTCTCTTCATGGGAAATGAGCTGCTTGCTGCTCTTGAGATGAAAGAGGCTGGAGTTTCATTTCATCTTCGGCTCGAACACAAGCACGACCTTAAAGAGCTGAAAAAAAAAGTATAGAGCACCCTGAGCACAGACTCCACTGATTTTCTTTTCCAGAAACCGGAAGTCTTGCGAGGGGAACCCAGCAACTCTCGACTTATTTGAGCAGCTCTGTGACTTCATAGTAACCTGTACCGCCTGTACCCCATCTTGCGGTAACGGCAATCAGGAGGATGAGTACATAATGGGCCCGTTCTGAGGTCCAATCACAGCAGTCGATCACCCGCACTCTTTGTGAGTTCCTGACAAAAAAAAACATTCCATGGACGAGAGTGACAAGAGGAAATGCCAGCATGCTGTGTTTCAGGATAACGATTTGAATGAAGAAGTTTAAGAAGTGTTTTGCAAACCTAAAAGACGTGTCTCCTACACATGGGACCATTCCACTCTTCGATTCGTGTACGGCGTGTGCGTCGTGTACGTCATGTACGCTGTCCTCTGTCCGTCGAGCACAGGATTTGCACTGGCCAAGAGGACCTGGGAATCGTGCCTGGCAAGATTCTGTCTTCTCTCAGCATTCTGCAACGCATGCAACACATTGCAACACCAATGTAGTCCATTGGTTTTAAAGGTCTGTGAAGACACCCACTCTAGAAATATCGAAAACCTGCTTGAGAGTAGATTCAGTGAACTGTTGTCTGACGACATCAGTGCGTTCCAAGCTGGCCTGGTTGTATCCCGAGTCTCAGTATGAGGTCGTCATTTCCCTTTGGGTTTGTTAGTTTGTTATGGTTTGTTGGCTTTGCCACTTTGGGGGTCCTTAAAAACATGACGAATGACAAATGACGAATGAAATCCACCTGCTTCCCTCTGGTCACCAACTTTGGCCTAGAGTTGTGGCCTCAGCAAAGTTGTGATCGACAAGTTCTCATTGGTCGAGGTTTCAGAGGTCTCAGCTTCCAACGTTTTACCGCAACTTCGTCTGTACCTAACAGAGCTTGACATACAAATGAAATCTTAGGAATCAAGAAAAAATCATGAAAATCAATGGATCTCAATGGATTTCAATTGCAAAGAAAAACATAGAAAACAAATGAAAACAAGTCAATCGCGCCAGGCCTTTGAGTCGCGTGGGCCACTGCAGACATGGCCTCACATGGAAACGAGGAACATTGGAAGCCTGGGGTCATGATACACAACCAATCACAACCACACCCTCGTTCAAGCTCAATACCAACTTGAGGCCGGGGGTGGATGACGAAAGCTAGCGGGGTAGGAGAAAGAAGGAAGGGAAGAGGTGAGTTGCGGAGGGACTGTCATCATCGTGTCGCGGCATTGTTCGTCCCAACGAGGATGCAACAATGATATATGATATATGATATATAACAATGATATATATGGGGGAGGGGGCAGGGGGGGGCCCTTTCGCGTGAAAAATCACGTGATGTCCTTGGGGAGCCCCGGAATACGTGCTAAAGCAAGAAGACTCTAGCGAGCTGACGCTAGCTTTCGTGATAATGCCAATAATTGCCAATAATGATAAAATGTAATTGAGTAACGATGATGATGATGATGATGATGATGATGAATGATGAATGGTGAATGGTGAATGGTGAATGGTGAATGGTGAATGGTGATGGTGATGATGATGATGATGACGACGACGACGATGACGATGACGATGATGATGATGATGATGATGATGATGATCGTGAAAAATCACGTGATGTCCTTGAGCAGCCCCCGGAATACTTGCTAAAGCAAGAAGACTCCAGCTAGCTGACGCTAGCTTTCGTGATTTTCTGAGGCTTCCACAAGAGTGAAAAAGGGTACAGAAAGAAGGAACCCATGACAACTCCACAGGCTGTGATGTATCGGATATTATATGTCTGTATATATATATATATATGGTTCTTAAATATGTAACCTGAAATCGACGTTCTGCTCCTTTCGTTTGCTAGGACCAGGACAACACTGGCTGTTGAAATTATCCTTTTTGATTTGTCTTGCATCTTATTGCCATCTTTTCTCTGCAAGCCCTTGAGCCAAGAAACTCAAAAGCAAACAGGGTATCATACTGTGCGATTGTCAGCTCCACTATTGTCGTATTTGTCATGGTCAAAACATGGTGTATGGGGTATGGTCATCCCACCATCATGAGGGACTTCTTACAATTCTTAGTATATATCAACCATTATTCATCGGGGGATGATTTGTTGCTTTTATGGCAAAGTATGAGAGCTCAGCACATGACAATGATTCACATCTTACAAAGGAGCTGAACAAATCTCTTTGATATTCATCTGAAACCAATCAGCATTCACACCCCGGTCCCTCGAAGTCGGCCCTGATGTCTCTAGCACTCGTTCCAACGACACCAATTGCCTGAAGGTCAACAGGTGATCTGACCAGCATGGAGCGAAAAAGAAAAGTTTGACAGAATATGATAGAATGCAGATTACTCATGCTGGTGCTTAAGCACGAGTGGATGAGTGAAACAAAGTGTAAGGTGTAAAGGAAAGGTTTGTTTTAACGTTTTTGGAATGCAAAGTTTTCATGGTCAATGGTTTCATATTTGACGCTGTGATAGCGTCAGTGCAGAGAGCGCCCTTGGACAGTTCGCACACAAAGACCAGATATGAAATAGTAACTAGCAGCTACCCATAGCTACCCATGGCTACCCATAGCTACCTTGTTGAATATGCAGACTGAAGAAAACCTTGCATAACTTCAATATGATATCTGGATGGAACGAGCACACAGCTGACAATAAGGCTAACACTTCTTCTGCGCAGCTGAGATGAGCTTCAGGGTCACGACAAATTCCTCCCAAGCCAGCCCTCGCTTCTGCCAGTCCGCGATGTCCCAAATTCGCTTCAGGATCTGGCGTGCAGTGATAGAGCCACAAAGGAGCAAGTCGTGCAATGTCAAATCATGTCAAATCATGTCAAATAATGTCATATGTTCATACTTCTATGGCAGCAAACAAGTTGGATGGTCTCGAGATACCTGCCTCACGCGGCAGCTGTGACTTGGAGAGAAAGTCAAAGGCTGCCTCTACCGTTCGACCAACACTTGTTCAACACTCGCCCACGTGATTGATTCTGTTCAGTTCTGTTCTGTTCTGACCAGTTCTGATCAGTTCAGCTTGCATTGTTTTCTTCAGAATCTGTTGATCAACATGCGCCTTCCCTCGGAGAATGTCTCCCTGAACACATGCTGATTGCCAGAGGACAGTGTAGTACCTGCAGACAAGAAGCATCAAATGTATCAAAATGCCCGACACACAGTCCATTCCAAGTATTCAAACATACTCAATCTAGGTCTTCCTGCAATTGGTCACTGTCACTGATGAGCAGAGCAGAGCGGAGCAGGGCGGAGAGTAGCCACAAACTTGCGAGGGCACTCCTTCTCCACATTACTGAGGGACTGTGCAGTTCGAGAGAATGCTTGACCATCCTGATGACAAACGGTTTCAAACGGATCAGGGAAGCTTGCTGCAAATCTAAAGGACCAATGGTCTCAACCGGAGCAGCCTGGACGAGGTTCTCCATCTGCCTAAGGAATATCTGAATGTCGCATGAAGAATCATGTTCCATCATGGTCCAATGTAGAATCGACATGATTTGTCACACGTACAATACATCCAGTGCCCCTGAGACACAAACGTTTCCTGGCTCGAGCGGCTCGGGGGCCTACAGCGCAACCATCAAGTGACTCCACGGCTCTTGGGAGTTTTGCGTATCGACCTTCAACGCCGTGCCGCCCCATTCGACATGCAGGCTGGAGCAGGCGTCGCCATCAAATACGAAGCAGACTGTGTAACAGACTACAAACATCTGCAAAAACATCTGCAAGAACATCTGCAAACAGAATCAAAAAATATTGTGAAATATCAAGAACAGCACAGCTCCAAAGACGGACTTGGTGCGAATGCCCTGATCAACTGCATTCAATAGCCACATAAGTCACATGACGCTTTGGATTCTGGGCTGAAAGTGGCCTTCGATCAAACAAACCTTTCTGCACTCTTTGGCCGAGACAGCTGCACAACTTTGATTTTGAAGACAGCGAACGTTGCTTCCAAACTCCTGCTAGACATCTGGCTAGACATGTTTTGGACACGCGGTTGGATCAACACCCTACAAGACCAAAGAAACGTGGGCTTGCAGCATCTTTCCACGCAGGACAGTCTGTACGTCTGTGTGCTTGAGCCTGGATAGGTGAATCTACACTTTGGTAATCCACACTTCTTTGAGACTCTACCGGTAAACGTAAAACAGCTTCCCAACTTCTTCGTCAGCGCCTTCCAAGGCTACCAAGCTACGGAGTTTCAGTATCACAAGTCATCACGGCGGATCGAAGAGCCAGAGCTTCTCCACAATTTCCAGGGGAAATATCGTGAATACATGTGAATATCACCTATTATCACCGAGAAATCTACATCACTGGCTGCCTTCTTTGAGTTCATACGTGCTGGGGGCAAAACTAGGCATTCTTGGGAGATTTGCAAGCCATCCTACAGGGTTATATAAATTGTTCAATCTCTGTCGCTTGCTTCTCTGATCCCTGATGATCCCTGTGTTGCTTCCAAGCCGCTGTCTCATCTCTTGTTTTTGGTCGAACCTTTCTCCTTCGACTCCTTCGAATCATTCGGCTGCGGCTTTGTCTCTGCCTCACCATCCTCCGGCTCATGAACACATGATGGCTACTGTGGAAGCAGCAAACCTGGCCTCTGGAAAGTCTGAGTCTGGCAAAGCCATAACCTCAACCAGAGGTTTACGGGGTTTATGGGCTTTTGGCAAGCTGTTCGGAATGCTGGAGAATTGCAGTTGGGGGCGAAGCGTTCCTCTGCCAGATGAACCTCTGATTGTCAGCTGCAAAGTGTCCAAAAGTGTCCAAACGGAGCAAAGAAAGGTCTCTGAGTCATTGTTGAACCGAGACTCCAGATGAGCGCAAAGAAACCCACAAGCCAAACCACATACCTTTGGCTGCACTCAACAACTGCAAGTTTCCTGGGCAAACATATTATATAATATAGTATAATATATATTATATATATTATATCTATATATATATATATATTTATTTATTTATCTATCTATCTATTATCTATTTATTTATTCAAATATCTTTACGCGTCACTTTGAATATTCACACATGCTTCACACGGCAGCTTTGCAATGTAACTCCCACCTACATGTCAATGTCCTTATCGGATAACACTAAGCTTGACCTTCTCGCCTTTGCAAACAGATTTGAGCGCAGATACTCTGTCCAATCAGAAGCTGATCCTTCAAAGCCCTGGCCGATAGCCCTGAGGCCGGAGGGTGACCGAAACCAATCCATGTGATCCGTCGTTCTTGTGCAAGGCGCTGGTGGTCACTGTGGGAATCCTATCTTCCAAATGTGCTACAACATGCCGTTGGAACTTGCAACTTTGGCTCCGACCAGATGTTCAGCGATCCTACTGGACGTTGAATGACCTGCCCATAACGGGAAAATGCAATGTCTCCGGTATCGTTGTTCTGCGATTCAAAGGAGTCGTCGCGCTCATGATCAACAAACAGCATACCGCAGGACGCCCGCAACAGTTCGAGAAATAAATAGGGACGCTTAAATTCAGCACAGCTGCCAAAGCCATGCAGAGCCGTGCAGAGCCATGCAGAGCCAAAGAAAAGCAAATGTCAAAACACGACAGAGGTGTCAAACATTCCAAAACACTTCGTGCCTGGCCATCCATTGTAGCCACAACGCGGGATCCAATAGTGATTTGGTCTGTGCCACGATCTTGAATGAATAATTTCATAAATTTCATCATCCTTTGTGCCTGTCACGTGTCTAGAACTGAAAGAGGGATTGGGGATACAAAGGCTGAAATGTGGCCTTGGGAATGTTGTGCCTGTTAATTTCTATTTTATAATGCATTGACGACACAGTCGGGCAATTAACTCGGAAACACCCATGCGTGCAAATCCGCAGAGCATCTCAAGACCAACATGTTCTGCAACCATGGTCCTCTGAGTCCAACAGCCTCATGTCATGGAAAAGTCACCACATATCAGACATATCACCTTTCGGTCACCTTTCACGAAGTCGTCACTTGTTGTGAGACTGATACGATGGGCTGACGTCCAAGTTCTCGACTTGCAGGACTAAGCTGCAAAAATGAAGAGTGAGGCTAAAAGAATCATATGGTCAAACCGTTTAAACATTGTTTAAACCGTTATTTCATCTTATTTCGTTAAAACATGTTTAAAGTTTAAACATTTTATAAACAAACATGTTTAAACCATTTTGAATTCATTGTGTCATTATTATGTCATTATTATGTCATTATTATGTCATTATTATGTCATTATTATGTCATTATTATGTCATTATTATGTCATTATTATGTCATTATTATGTCATTATTATGTCATTATTATTATGTCATTATTATGTCATATTATTGTCATTATTCTGTATTATGTCATTGTTGTGTCATTATTATGTCATTATTATGTCATTATTATGTCATTATTATTATTATGTCATTCATTATGTCATTATTATGTCATTATTATGTCATTATGTCATTTATGTCATTGTCATATGTTATGTCATTTGTCATTTATGTCATTATATGTTATGTCATTATTATGTCCTATATTATGTCATGTATTATTATTATGTCATTATTATATGTTATTATGTTTATTATGTCATTATATGTCATTATGTCATTATTATATTATGTGTATTATGTCATTATTATGTCCTTATTATGTCATTATTATGTCATTATTATGTCATTATTATGCCATTATTATGTCATTATTATGTCATTATTATGCCATTATTATGTCATTATTATGTCATTATTATGTCATTATTATGTCATTATTATGTCATTATTATGTCATTATTATGTCCTTATTATGTCATTATTATGTCATTATTATGTCATTATTATGTCATTAGTATGTCATTATTATGTCATTATTATGTCATTATTATGCCATTATTATGTCATTATTATGTCATTATTATGTCATTATTATGTCATTATTATGTCATTATTATGTCATTATTATGTCATTATTATGTCATTATTATGTCATTATTATGTCATTATTATGTCATTATTGTGTCATTATGCTGACTTTTATGGATACTCGGCTTGTCGGCTTGTTCGGTGGAATGTCTGCCCATCTCATGGCGGACAGTGCCGGTCCTTCGGACGGGCACTGACGGGCACTGCTTGTCCTTGTTTTTTCTGGCATCCAGAATTCGGAAAAGTCCATTTTAGCAGAAAATACCACAAATCATACAAAATATACAAATCACACTTCATTCATCTTCATTCAACTTCATTCAACTTCATTCTCTAATTTCTATAGAGGTGAAACATGCTAGATGGTCAGGGGAGGCAGGTCTCTGGCCTGCCCAAATCGTTTTGAAGGCATCCAAGGCATCCCTGAGTGCTCTGCGGTGGAGTGCTCTGCGCCTTTTTGGTCAGCGCCTTTCCTGTTGCCTCACACCGGCAACAAATGGAAACGAAACGAGTTTTCGAAAAAACCTTCAAAACATGACTCAGGATGACTTAGGGCTACAGACCGTCCATTCGTAGACTTGAAGGTCTTTCAAAGCCTGGAGCCACTGCGATTCCCAGCTTTTCCCAGGAGGGTCGACACTCAGAGCATCTCAGAGCTGTGTTATTGGTGGCTTTGAATCTAAGATGTTTAAAAACTATGCTAATTACGAAATCAAATTCTGGCGGACTTGTCTAGTGGTTCAGGCCGCAAGGAATGATATACTTTGGGAGCGTCTTGTCGCAAATCGCCTCTGCCATAGATTGATGTTGTGGAGTCACCCTTTCATCCTGAACAAATGTCACTCGCACATGTACATCTCTTCAAATTGCTTTGCGCAGACTTAGCAGCACATACGAGCGCGTGTGAATGTGTAGGAGAAGGAAACAGAGACACAGCGAGAGAGAGAGAGAGAGAGAGAGAGCGAGCGAGCGAGCGAGAGGGAGAGAGAGAGAGAGAGAGAGCAAGAATCTTCACTTAGATTCATCACATGCAGCACAATTGCTAGATAGTGATTGCACCTGAACGACTTTTCCAGCAAAAGGCAGCTGCAACGCAGCAAGGGTGTCTTGAACAGTCAGAATGGCAAGGAACGCTCCAATGTGAATCTATGGCAGTGTTGGCCACTATGTAGTGCTTGAGGGATGGTAGAAGTTTTGGGCGCGAACTCCCCAACGAGCAGAGCTTGTTTGAATGAACTTTCATGCTGCCCCGGAAGAAGGTTTGGACAACGTTCCAAGTCACCATTTCCTTGTAAAAATGCGACTAGACATTCTCCCAATGCAGCTTGCACGAGCAAGGAAATTGGGAGCATATGAGGACCTGACTAAACACGCCATGATTGAAACACGCCCCTAGCAGAGCTAACTGGAGCAAAGTAAAACACAGCCAAATTGGCACCAGAAATACGCTCGTGGCACAAAGCCGGCTTCAAGCGAGTTTCCAGCTTGTCTAGATACCAGCCACGTGACCATTGCACGGCCCTGCATTGTGGTACAAGTGTTCCTGAATTGATGGCTACCCTTCAGGAATCAAACATGCAAAGGAAAAGCCCAATTCGTAGCGGAACAACTGCAAAAACACTGTAAATGAATATATATATATATATTATATATATATATCTCTTTATATAGCTGGGGTGATGTGTATTTTCCAATGCCGTTAGTTCCTGCACGGTAGCCTTGTGGATGGGCACGTGGAAAATTCTGGCAGAGAGCTAGACAGAAATTCTGGTCACATCTGGGCACTGCTCCAAGCGCAGTTGGCGCAGAGAGCAATTCCCTGGTGACATGTTGACATGAAGACTAATGGAATCTCGCAGGCAGAGCAAGTTGCTGTGAGAGCAAATTGCTGGCCGTGCACAAAAAAATACGCGGTTGCAGCGGTTGCAATACGATCAATATAAAGAACCTTTTTGCTGCTTTTTCTTTAAGGTTCTTTCTTTGGAGTACTCAGCACATCTCAGAACATCTCAGAACATCTCACGTCGCACTACAAATCAAAGACAAGCCTGGCAGGGAGAATTTGATCGCCTCCCCGGCATCACAATGGCATCTGTCCAGTAGACACTATTCAAATGTATTCAAATGTATTGAAACGTATTCAGTATACATCAGTATACTAGGTCCTGGCATGTCCTGGCATGTCCTGGCTACTAGATCTACTAAGTCTACTAGGTCATCTGAACACCCTTAATGTGAGTCTTGAATCGTGAAGCCCGTGGAAGCTTTAAAGGTTGCAAGACCAGCAGCACACGCCTTTGGTAGGGTCCAAGACTGGGATTTTCTTGCCTTAGTCCGGCTACGGATCCACGGATCCATGGATGCTTGTTTGAGGCATGAAATCCTTTCGCGCCTGGGCAGCGCTTGTTGTGGTGGTTGAAATTCTGCAGATGCCTCCAAATTGGATTGGTATTCCGTCACTGACAATGCATTCATCTCCCCAGACAATAACACCTATGTAGCCAACGGGAAAAAATGATGGGAAAGCAAGTCATACATGAAGTCATGGATCAGCAATGCACATCAGCCCGAATGTGCAAAATTCCCCAAGGGTTATTGTAGATGCCATAGGATTCAATAGAGAAAAAGGGAAAAGCAGAGAGAGCGAGAAAGAGAGAGAGAGAGAGAGGCAACGAGTGCCAATACTTTGCATGAAGAGCCGCAGTGTCTTTTGAATGAGGCGAGGCATGCAATGTCATTTTGATTCCTTTCAACACATCCCACATTAACAATCGTGATCTGCGGAAGTTGCCCGTGAAGCTGTGAAGCCATGAATCCTGCCTCCCAGGCCAAGTGAAAGCGGTATTGATTCAATTGATCCGAAAGTGGGATTGGCGATGGTGCTTCTTCCCTTCCACGGTATCCAGGCACGTCGTGCTGCCAATACCAGGCGCCGGGGATGCCTGGAATGGGGCTGTTTGGGATGCCTTGGCCAACGGCGCCAACAGCGCCAACAGCGCCAACGGCGCCAACGGCGCCTTGCCGCGTGCCTTGCCGCGTGCTTTGCCGCGTGCTTTGCCTCCCAAGGAACTCCTCCTCAAGGCCAGAGTAACCGCTGCTGCCGTGGGAGAAGCTGTTTCTGCTATTTACCACCATGCCGTGGCCGATGGGATCATTCGCCGTGGCCGAAGAAGCCCTATCGGCGAACCAGGTCGCCCGCCCGGAAGAGCCTGCGAGAAAACGAATCTCGTGGGACAGAGATTTGCAAACCGAGTTGAACTGTTAGTCCGCAATGTGGGTGCAATGATTGATCGCAAGTGGCCCGACACAGGTTGTTTGATGCACAGAAATCCAACACCGCTTGAAACATTTCACTTACAAGATCGCGAACCAATACATGGATACCATCTCTTGTCGGATTTTCCGTTTCTTACATTTGAATTTTCAACACATTGAGGTATTGCCGCGTTTGGATTCAAAGCATCTCGAACATTACGCTCATGCTGCACATGGTCAGTGCCCCAGCTGGTCCTGAAGTACTCGATTGACATTCAATAACCTAGATGCAAAATGCAAAAATATGCAAAATAAAGAGGAAAGAAAAAGGAAAAAATCAGAGGAAAACATAGGAACAACCGTTGAACAACCTCCCAATTCGCAAAGAGTCAAACTTCAAATGCCCTGAGGTCCCCTGCGTCACCCCCCGACAATGCGCTACTTTCGCGGTCCTTGGTGACCAGCACGGCTTTAGGGATGGCTTTGCTGGGGTTTGATGATGATTTCCGAGTCCTAATTGGGGAATGCGAAAGGGGAATTTGACCTTAGATACTCTTTGGCCTCAGCAAGGTTTTGCGTGCGTGTGTTTGTGTGGATAATTGAAACTTATATCTTGTATCTATATAGCCTATTGTGAAATTTGCAGCTGCAACTTGACATGTTAGCCTTTCACCCTTTTGACCCGCTGCTGTTTCCAATTACAATGGTGGGATCTTGTAAGCCATAGCAGCGACTACGCTTGGCAACTCTTCTTGGAAAAGGGTTTGGACTTCGAGGGCCATAAGCCGATCTTGACATTGGTAGCGGAGCCGACCTCGAGCCCTACCTGAACCTTCTTTTTTGCTGCGCTTCTCTGGCCCTGTGCAGGCCTTGCTGCATCATTCTGTTCTGGCCCTGTGCAGGCCGCGCTGCTGCTCGCTGATCTGGCCCTGTGCAGGCCCTCGCTCGCTGGCATTGCGCCCTCGCTCTCTGCATTGCTCTGTTCTGGCCTTGTGCTGGCCCTTGCTGCTCTACCTGGCGATGCTCTGGTGTGATGGCAACTCAGCGAGCCTGGTGATCGACTTCCTGGCCTACTACCTGGTCTACATCCACTTCACTGCCGAATTAAAGCAATGTCGGATGAAACTGGATCGGCAAGTACCGCCGGGGTGGAAGCCACTACCACCAAGGACTCCTACATCCCGCTATTCAGCGGTGCGCCATCAGACTACAAAGAATGGAGGAGGCGTCTGAACATCTATGTGATGAAGATGCGGGTGGCCAAACTCACTGGGACTGCATGGAAGCTACTTGAGAACTTCCCCATTGAGGAGATCGAGAAGACTCGTGCCTTCAACAAGATGCTCAAGATCCTCGACAAGGCTTTTCAGTATGACAAGACGGTCCAGCTTCCGAATGACTTCGACAGATACTTCACTGGACTTCAGCGCCGACCTGCGAAAAGCCTCTTGGAATACACCACCGAGCACGACCACCTCTACAGCAAGCTGGCCGACCATGATGTGACGCTGCCATCAAAGGTCCAAGGATGGCACTTGCTACGCAGAGCTGGTTTGAGCCGGGAGCAGAAACAACTGGTGACGACACAAGCGCCCAACCTGGAGCGAAACAAGGTGCAGGAAGCCCTCTTTCTCATCTTGGGTCAGGACCACAAGACTGTAGCTGGTGGAGGTCATCATCCCCAACACCGCGGTTTTCGCAGCAAGGGACGTCGCTATGCCGTCTTCTATGAAGGTGACGATCACCAGATGATGGATGGCCCTTGACTACAGCTATGAGTGTGAGGAGAGGTACTATGAAGATGAGGCCCACTCCCAAGACCCTTCTCCAACAGCAGCTGACAGCTACTTTGATGAGACCTATGAGGACTTTGAAAATGATGCTGCATACTACCAGACCCTGGAGGACACGGCCCCGGCTGAGCAGACTGAAGAGTATGACTCGGCCTACGCCTCCTACATTGATGCCCGCAAGCGCTTCAATGAGATCAAGCTCAGCCGAGGGTATCTGCCAATTGTGGCACTGACTGATGGTGGCGGCGCTGCTTCTCCATCATCCTCCTTGTCTCCAATTCAATGTCCCCGGGCCGTGGCAAGGGCAAAAGCAAGACCAAGAAAGAACAGGGCAAGTGGAGCTCCACTTTGGTGAAGTACCCGCACAGGGGCAAGGGAAAAGAGCCCGATCCAAAAGGGCGAGCGAAAGCCAGCGGCAATCCGCCCACCTGCCTTTGATGTGGCCAAGTTGGTCACATGACCTACAACTGCCCTGTCCCGAAGACTGGTGGGGGTGCACCCAAGCGCAAGACGGCCCCTACAGAGAGCACTGTTGGTGATGTGGAGCATGGCCACGTGATCTTCACTGATGATCATGGATGTGAACGCCATGACTGCGCCATGCTGGATCCCGGTGCCAGTGCCTTCTTGTCTGGCTATGGTCCCTTTTTGTGCGCTACATGCTGAAGCTCAAGGAGACCGACTACGACATCACCGAGGTCAAGTTCATGCGGTGCAAGCGCACCTTCTACTTTGGCGGCGATGCCAGCTTGGAGTGCACTTGGACTGTGCGTTTGCCCCTCTGCATCGGCGGCAAGTATGGCTATATGTGCCTGCTGCCGGGCGAAACCCCGATGCTGCTTGGAAGGCCAATCATGGAATCCCTTGGATTGGTGCTGGACTGCCGCAGCCGCATGATCAAGCTGGATGACATGCCTTGGCAACACGCCGTGGCTGGAGCACACCGAGAGTATTTGATCTCCTCGCTCAATGAGTTTGACTCCAGCATGTGCCAGTTTCCACCGGCCTTGAAACTTGTTGTGCCCGCTGATGGAGGAGTCTCTGGAGAGCTCATGGACTTTGCGACCTTCAACAAAGAGGTCAAGCTCTTCGACTCCCGAGATAATGTTCAAGCTGCTGCCCAAGAAGAACTGCGTCCGATGCGACGCCATCTGCTCCAGACCTCCTTGAGAATTGAATGAGCTCCAGGCCTACATCACTGAAGAGCTGCACCAACCTGAACGCAAGCGAGTGCTCTGGGAAGTTTACTGTGGTGGAGCACGCGTCTCAGCTCTCGCAGAGGCAATGGGCATGGATGTTGAGATTTTCAGCTATGAGACTGGCTGGGATTTTGATCTGCAGGAGCACCAGGACCACTTCATTCACAGACTTCGCACTGAGATGCCTGACGAAATCTACCTGGCGCCGTCCTGCCATCTCTGGAGCCAGATGCAAAATCTCGCTGCAAGGACTAATGTCCAGCAGAACAAGCTCTACCTGAAGCGGAAGGAGCTCCATGGCTGCCATCTGATGTTTGTGGCACAGGTCTACAAGGAGCAGGTTGACAACGCTCGACACGCCCGCATCGAACAGCCTGAACGAGCCCTGAGCTGGCACACAACAGCCTTCAAGGACTTGCCTGGCCATTGGATTGTTTTCCATCAATGCATGTTTGGCTGCGCCTGTTTGGACCAAGATGGATGGTGGAAACTTGCGAAGAAGCCCACAGCCATCCTTTCAAGAAAGGTCTCCATGCAGGCTGCGTTGTCGAAGCAATGTGATGGGCAGCATGCTCATTGTCCCTTGGAAGGCTCGGCACCTGGACTTGGCCGTCGCACTTCCTACCTTGAGGACTACCAGCCTGGTCTTGCAGCCACGATTGCAGCTGCCATTTGTGCACCCGATCCTGCTTAACTCTGGGGCTATGGACTTGCAGTCTCTGAGCAGAAGGAGGTAACTGGATGTCTTGTCAAGCTCCAGACAGCTCTGAAGACCGAAGCAGTTCGCACAGTGCAGCGCTTACACAGAAACCTTGGACATCCAAAGCCCGAGGCCCTGTTGACTTACTTCAAAGCCGAGGAGCCAGTGATCAAGTCATTGAGGCAGCTCGCCACTTCCAATGCACTGCATGCCTGCGCTACAAGCGACCAAACCAAGTGGCACCTTTACCTTGCGACCTCAAGCCCACGAAGTTGGTGAACGCTTGCAGGCCGATGTGCTGTGGATCACATGCAACACCAGTGCCATGAAGTTCCCCGTTCTCAGTGTCATCGACCAGGCCACCGGCCACCAAGCACACTGCGGCGGCACTACTTCATGGAGAACGTAGCGACCATCTCATCCAAGGTCTAGAAAGAGCCTGGATTCGGCATTCTCGGCTTCCCCAATCCCTTTGCTCCGATGAAGGACGTGGTTGGGCTGGAGAAGAGATGAATGCATGGACCACCCAACACTCTGTGGAGCACATAGTGGCACATCGGCTGGCACTTGTGGAGCGCGCCGTGCCATTGAGATTTACATGGACGACATGAAGGTTTTTGGCCCCTCTGGCATTCGCCAAGCGCTGACCTACGTGGTGCCTCAACTCAATGACACCGTGAGTGTGGCCGGCTACACGCCTTCACAGTGGCTTCTTGGAAAGATGCCTCGACTGCCAGGTGGACTTGCCCAAGATGGACTCAGCCCTGCACACCTTGGAGACCACGATCAATTCGAACAACTTCTAAGAAGGCACTGATCACAGCTGACTTGGACGCCAGGCTCCGACGGGCTTTGCTGCCAAGACCGATTGGTCAAGATCCGTTGGCATGGCCCAGCCCGGATTGTGATATGGTCGACTAGTCCAAGGATGACAAGCCCGAGCTCTATTGGGCTGTCCTACAACAGATGCTCACCGCACCACGTGCGTGCTGACTTCACTGCAGCCGACACTCAATTGGCTGATGCTCAGGAAGCCCGACGAGAGGTGGCATCCTCACACGCTTCTTGGACCTCAACAAGGTCAACAAGCGACATCATCCAGATGACTTCAATGAAGATGAGATCGCCTCTGGATCTGAGCCAGATGAGGATGATGCTGTGATGACATGCAGCCTCCTGCAAGGCGACAGCGCACCACCTATGACATGGCCCCGCAACGAGAGCTTACCCTGGAGGAGATTGAAGAGCAGATGGATCAGTCCTGCGAGCCCAGCTTGGCTCCAACGTCTCCAACGGCCACGCCTGCTGAGCACCCTGAGTTCCCTGGTCAAGCACGACCTGCTGCTCTACCTGGACAAGCGGTGATCGCCATTGACGAGGCTGACCCCAACCAAGGGCCTCCGACTATGGCAACAGCTCCAAGTACGCCAGCTGATGCAGTACGTTGCACCTCCAGCTGATTCCTTCGGTGTGACTTCATCCAACTTGCACCTCTACGAGCCTGCCACAGCCCCTCACTTCAGACAACGTCGACAGCAAATGGATCAACAGGAAACACTGCAGTTTGGCCGCTTTGGACCAATGCGACGTCGGGCAGCCCAACGACAAGCTCCATATGATTCGACTGCCCCTGCTGCTGACCACATCCAGGTCAACATGACCCTGCTTCCGAACTCTTTGGCCAAGCCTTCACAGTCTCTAACATTGGTGGTGACGACTTGCCAGAAGGTTGGAGTGTCGATGAAGAAGGCTACTTCCAGCTGGACACAACGAACTACCACGACTACTGGGAGATTCGTGCTGGGTGCCTCATGAGACACCATCTACAACCTCGACATCGACCTCACGACATCACCAAGGCAAAAGATTGCCCGTTTGAGCTGACGCAGTTGGAATGCGATTCCACAACGGCGTCAGGCAGATCACGACTGACCGCTTTGACACTGTGGTCCCCACTTGCAGGGCATCCTGGACTGGCATGACGGTCTACAGATCAATGGCGCCACAAGGAAGGAGCTGGCCATGCACGCCACTGCCCCAGCAAAGAAAGTGGCACGACAGGCAAAGCATGCGGCCATCAAGAAGAAGTCAACTTCCGAGCTCAACGAGCCTGCGGAATGGTCGCACCGAACTGTCAAGAAGAAGAAGAAGAAGAAGCTTGCCGACCGAATTGCAAGCAGAGATGAGTTCTCCAAGCCTCTGGATCCAGTTCCTGAAAAGATTGAATTCAACCAGGAGGAGAACACCATCCCAATTGAAACCTACGTGGAACATCAACAACTTGAGCTGCGTCATGACCATGACGTGAACATCAACAACCTTGTGCCGATTCCGGACACGTCGGTTGACATCGTCCCTATACGACCAGGAGACACAGATTGAGTACGGCTGGGTGATTTGGTGCCTGCAGTTGCTCTGGCATTTGCTGCTCTTGCTTGTTCCACTTGAAGGTCTACGCCGACTTCCTGGTGCACACGCCCAATCTCTGGGTGACATGCCTGCAGCCAACGCATGCCCCGCAGTTGAGATTGTCCCCGACGAGGGCAGTCAGTCCTACATCTGGGACATCGTCATTGCCCTGGCCTTCATCATCTTCGCTGCTGCGTGCTATGGCAGAGAGATCAAGAAGCTCCAATCGCAAGTGCGAAACCTGGAGCAGAGCTTCTGGCACAAGGACCAGCAGCTGCGAGCCTTGGATCGAAAGCGCATGACCCTGATTCGTCGAATTGGGCGACTTCGCGGTTTTGTGGATAAGTCTCGCTGCGCGAGCTCGAGTGGAAGTGATGAACCATGCCCACAACGACTGCGTGGTGGGACGGCAGATTTTCCTCGCTGCCTGGCTGTGTGTGGCATGTGGACGATCAATGTCCACAGCTCTCAAGGAGCGCTGTACTGGAGCGGCACGCTTGTCAAGCCTGCTCCTCATACTACATCACTCCCTACCGCTACAATGACAACAACTCAACGTTGCATCAGGATCTGAACAACTACCTGGCCCAGTTGGAAGATCTCTCTGACGAGGAACGCTGCAACCCGGACCCTATCGAGGCCGTGCCAGATGTTGCTTCGAGCCAATCGAGCTCAGGGGTGAGTGCGATTGACAAATGTCAACTAGCACCTTTTCCCCCGTGTGAAGTTTGCAGCTGCAACTTGAGATGTTAGCCTTTCACCCTTTTGACCCGCTGCTGTTTCCAATCACAGTGGTGGGATCTTGTAAGCCATAGCGGCGACTGCGCTTGGCAACTCTTCTTGGAAAAGGGTTGCGGTGCCTTCTGGGAACATTGTGGTGGGTTTGGACTTCGAGGGCCATAACCCGATCTTGACACCTATTCATATGTAATGTGTCTATTGTGTATGCACATAACCTAGCAACCTTCCAACTGATCAGGAGTAGTGGTGTGGGTGTGGGAATTGGATGCATCATGATGCATCAGAGGAAACGTCATCTATGTTTCACAGAGTGGACAGTGGCTCTCAGATACTCCCGGCACTTCAAACGTAAATTCCGAGGACTGCTCTAATGCGAATTTATTCTTATGGTGTGCTGTTTTTGCCGTTTTTGCCACTGGACCTCTGCCGGCGAGATTCGCTAGAGTTAGAGGTAGAGCGCTGATCCTTCTGATCCTTCTGCTCAGTCTGTATGCGCGTCATCAAAACCTGCGCTTCTGCCAGCCTTGGAATGCATATGCCCTTCTGTACAGACTTGGTATGAATAATCTTGGAATACCTTCTTGGATAATGCTGAAGAGTCTGAGGCTTGTACATATCATCAGTCACATTCCGCATGACCAAACTTGAAACATCCTGCGGCCCAGTCTGTAAAACAGGTTCAGGAAGATGACATTGCTCAAGAAACGTCACACCTGGAATACACACTTGAACGCAGCCATGCTTTGAACAGATTTGAACAGGTTAAGTGTTTGAACAAGTTTGAAGAAGTTTAAACAGTGAACTCCGATCTCAGTTCTGTTCTCCTTGACTCGGTGGCCGCCCTGGAAGACTGCTATTCCATGCTTATGTACGAGCGGAGCGTCCCCAGATGCGAGCACAAAGGCAAGGTTAGGACCTCGTAGATTCGTACGGATGGTTGAGCAATGCTGAGCCAGTGAACAAACCATAGAAGAGACAGACTATGAGGACTATGGCACAGACTCTCGCAAACTGAGATCCAGACCTAGACCCTGCACATATGCCCTCTTTACCATTCGGAAAGTATGTGGACTTCTTGCCTCGCGCTTCATTGGATGTTCCATTTTGATGGTACTGCAAGAGACTGGTCGTTGCACAGTTGGAGGCCATGTTGGAAATCTTCACACTGTACTTCTCAATTCCAAGTGGGTCTGGCCTGGTAAAGTTGTTCAAAAGCGGTCCTGAAGTTTGAATGCATTTGCACCTCATAAGGAGGATCATGAGAATTATGCATGTGCTCCGGCAACTCTGACTTTGCAACGAAAATTCGACATGGCCAGGACTTTCCCGCAGCACAAGGTTTTAATGTCACACTGTCCTTGCCCCCTCGGGATCGCTGTAGTTGACCTCAAACATCACGGAGCTAAGAAGCCACATGGGTTAACCCACATGGATCCACATGGAGCCTAGAGGCCTAGAGACAAGGTCTTCCCCCGTTCCCACGCGCATGCGAGCAAGGCACAAATGCGAGACCCAAGTTGGTGGAGCGTTTATTTCCAACCGGCACATATACAAGATCGTAGTTGCTTGTAACATTGCGAAGCCTCAATGCAAAGCAACTGGAACAGATTGGAACAGACTGGAACTGTTTCTTCTTCGTCTTCTTCGTCTTCTTCGTTCCTGTGGTCCAATCACTCAACAGCTCAGGCCCCAGCAGCTTCAAGAAACCATCTAGATTGATGCTCCGCACAAGCCCCCTGGGCAGCCAAAATTACGCAAAATCATTTTGTGCCTTAAGTGCAGCTCAAACTCTTTGCAGCTCCACCTGAGCATAATAGTCGTGTCTCCTTCTTGTAGGCCTTTGGGACACTCCTGCACATTGACATCACATTCACATCACGTTTAAGCCTAAGTTTAAGCATGTCACAAGTCAGGCCACCTTGAAACTATAAACCCTGCCCATTCAAATCAGCTTGCAACCTCAAGAACCAGCCTGATACTCAAAGTGACTCAGAGTCCCCGACTTTCCTGGACCAAATTCCCAAACTCTCGCAGCTTTTAAGCATCCAGCAATTCAAGACACAAGACCTGTTGAAACTTTTCAGGTCCAATGCCGCAATGTCAATGCCCCCACGCAGATTTTCTCATGGGGATACCGGCACCTGAGCCTTCGGAGGATGCCATGGTGCTCAGGGCTTCAAAATTTTGAAAACGAGGCTATCTCCGCATGTCAAATGTTTTCTATGTTTTCTGAAATGTTGATATATTGTAAGAGCTTCAGCGCTGAATTGTTGAAAAAAAAGTGCTGAAAATGTTGCGCAAATATGTGCGAAAGAGGCTCTCTTCTCTGATCTGTGAACACGAATGTTGCAGAATGTCAAACATGCAAAGTGCTTATGTAAGTGATAGACCGCGCACGCAACCAGACTTTCTCAGTGAGGCAAATGCGGACAATGTTAAGGTTTAAGTTTGGAAGCCACTCAAGCCCACCTGTTGCATAGCTGGCAACTTGAAGAACATAAAGTCTATGTCTACTGTCTTGTGCCTAACAAGGGGCGGTCAGTCGGAGATGCTGTTCCAGATCACTTTGGAGATGGATTTGGATAGACTACGAATGGATTGTGGCTGTGGTCGGTGCGCCAAGACATTGTGCAGTTCCAACTTCTTCTTCAACTGCTGTTCCCTGCAGATTGGTTTTGCAGGGCCGTTGATGCCATGGATTGTTGCGCATTTCAGTGATGGCTGGCTCAGGCAAAAATGTTGGTCATGGCCTGTAAGTCATGATTTCCTCCAAGATTTCCGTCACCACATCACTGGGGTGCTGCTCCAACACCTCACAACTTAGCAGCAATTCAACAAGCAGAAACACTGTAACACCATGAATGGCTGAATGGGCAATGGAAGTAATGTATCCTGGACAAGAAATCCGAAAGTCAAACAAATGCTTTGACATGGCTCCATAATGCTCCTTATCCGCTGCGCGGGGCAACACACGGAATAACTAAGAAGAAAATACGCAAGTCACTTTCACAGAATGCGAATTTCATTACATAGACATAAACAGTACTGGCAAGCACTTGTTCTGGAATGTTCCGGAATGTTCTGGAACTTGCACCTCCAGGAAGGACCGCGCAAGCACCTAAGACAGCCATCATACCAAGCTTCGAGGTCCCAAGCGTTGTGACAGCCCTCTGGTGATGGTGGGAAGGTCAGAAGTGGACAGTGCCATGTATGGTCCACACCAGCTGCGCAGCTGCAAGGTTTTTTCGCACCGGCTATGTGAGGTCGATGGTATGTACGTCATTGCCTCAGAGTACCAAACTCAAAACTGCCTTCACTGCCTGATCAACTTCCTTTAACTACTATAATACTTGCTCTCATTTGCTCCCTCAACATCTCTCAACCAAGCTTCCTTCGATTGTGCGTTTGCAACCTCGCGGGGCAGGTTCCTCAAGCCAAAGCCTCTCAAGGTTGGCTTTGGAAGTCATCCAGTCTCTTGGACGCTTGAAGTGCCCAGAAATCGGCAGTTTCCAGTAACTTTGTTTACATGTGCAAATATCGTTCACCATGTTTTAACTTTCAACATCTTTTAACCATAGCTTCCCACCCCCATTTTTATCTTCCAGCTCTGACGTCCTCGGCGAAGGCCAAAAAGGTTCTGGCGACGTGGCGCAAGCACTCAAATGCCTCAAGTGGGATACAGCAGCCAAAAGGTTTGAACAGAATAGATAGATGCATCAATGCTTCTTGTTGGGAATCGATTTCATGCTTCCTTTTATTGGATTGAATGCAAGCAGTCAGTGTACCTTCTACACTCCATCATATGTATTAATAGGTCCCTTGCTGATTCTTCAAACTGCGAAACTCAAGCACCTGTGTTAAGATGCCATGTAGCTTTAGCTGTTCTGGAGATGTCTGTGCCGCTATCTTCCCTCCAAGTGTGTGCAGGCCTTTTCAACTGAGCAAAGCCACGGCCAAAGTCTGCACCACAACCTTGTCTCGCTGCTCCACGAGCAAAAAGGTTCGAGAGGCACTCAATCGATGTCAGGACAGCTCGCTTTTGAACTGCTTGGGTCCTTGCGATGGCAGCACAGAGAACGTTTCTTCATATCCTCTTCCAGTTTCTTCAGAGACCTGCCGAAGAAGAAGGCACACAGAACGTCAGACCGACCATAGCGACGAATCCAGACAAAACATCTGGATGTTCTCAATGCAACATGTCAACACATCTTGCCTATCGGCGAAGACACCATCTTGAAGAGCGCGGATGACACTGTCTAACGACACCTCAATAGAGTCCAATCAGCGGTAGAGTTCCTACAAGAAGCAGTAACAAGCTGTAGCAAGCATCAAGAAGTCAGGCGAGCTGCTAGAAAAGGTGGAAGAAAGGAGCCTTAGCTTCAAACAGACACTCGAGACACTTGACAGGGCCACCTGTGAGAGGCTTTTGACGGTCCTTTTCTGGACAAGGGCAAAGGGCTGCAAAGGCAATTTAGACTTGCGGTTCCACATGCCTTTCTCTGGCTGTCTCACTCATCCAGCAGTGCTTTCAAACAAGGGTGTATCTTCCACAAATATATGACAAGGAGAGGTGTGCAAAAGGGTGCATATTTTTTTGGATATGTTGTTTTTTTGTTCAGTCTGGAGCGAGCTAACTAGGGTTGCTTTAGGGTTGGCTTAGGGTCATTTACGACTGGTTTAGGGTTGGTTTAGGCTTTATTTAGGGTTGGTTTAGGGTTGGTTTAAGTTTTACTTAGAGTTGGTATTGGTTTAGGGTTGATCCAGAGTTATTTAGGGATGGTTTAGGGTTTATTTTGGGGTTGGTTTAGGGTTTATTTAGGGTATTTAGGGTTGGTATAGGGTTTAGTTAGGGTTGGTTTATGGTTAGTTTAGGGTCATTTAGGTTTGGTTTAGGGTTGGTTTAGGGTTTATTTAGGGTTCGTTTAGGGTTTATTTAGGGTTGGTTTACGGTTTATTTAGGGTTGGTTTAGGGTTGGTTTAGGGTTTATTCAGTGTTGGTTTAGGGTTGGTTTATATAATGTTATTCAGTTTAGGGTTGGTTTAAGGTTTATTTAGGGTGGGTTATGTCGGGTTGGTTTAGGGTTTCTTTAGGGTTGGTTCAAGGTTTACTTAAGGTTTATTTAGGGTTGGTTTAGGGTCTATTTAAAGTCTGTTGAGGGTTGGATTGAGGTACATGTAGGGATACAAGATGTGTATAGATAGATCGATCGATCGATCGATAGATAGATAGATAGATAGATAAATGGATAGATAGGTTAGATTAGATTGGATTAGATTAGACCAGACTAGATTCGATTAGGTTAGATTAGGTTAGATAGATAGATGGGTAAAGCATGGTAAAGCCACAAAAGCCACACACCCACAAAAGCCGCAGAAGTCACAGAAGCCACAGAAGCCACAAAAGCCACAAAGCCACAAAGCCAGGCTGTAAAACAAAAAAACATAGCCCTCCTGTGCAAAATCATCATGAATTCAGTTGAGCTGCTGAAGTGCTTCGCATTCCTCGCATTCATATCTGGACACGTGCACATTGCTGGACATATAGCGTCGCTACAAAATACATGAGGTCACTGTGAAGTGTTTTGTAAACCAAGCATCTTCATGCATGGAGAGTTCAAGTCCAACGTCATGACGTGCACGTGCAGCTGCTTGAGTGAGGGAACAGAGTGAACACCGTGGATCCATCCTCAGCTGATCAGCTCATCTGTTCGATGCTCTCGTTCCAACGACGGAATGCGTGGAGTCAAATGAAGCCTCTGCGAAACCCCTGCGGCTCATTCCATTTTGCCAAACTGCCAACTCCAGGATCACCAGGTCTACCCTCGACCTGCTGCAGCAACCATGCCACATACGATGACAAGCGCCTAGCTCCAGGTGGCTTGACAAGACTGAAAGATACTGAAAAAAATACTGTTTCAGTATCTCCACATGTCTCCACTCACTTGCCAATTGCTTCTCAACTTTCAGGCCCAAGTTGGCAAAAGCTTTCTTCATTTGAACAAGAAGAATAGTCTGCGCATCCCGCCAAGCTACATGAGCATTGGCAGATGCTCACGCGTCAACTTTTCCAGAGCTGCCACACGTGCACGAGGTAAAACAAGAAGATGTACTGCCGCCTGCTCTCACGAAGTCTGACGCTGGAAGGTAACAAATGCGTATGACTACAAGGCTAAATGTGTTTACGACCGCAGCAAGAAGAGCCTTTGGGTAGCCATCATGAATCGTCACAAACTCCTGGCAAGACCAATCAGCAATGATCCGAAACACGTTCACTTTCAACACTTTGCTTGAGCAAAAGTTCAGCACGCAGTTCTTGAAATGCCCCTTGTTTGCACCTCTGTCTGATGAACCACGTGTGGATCCAAGGTCTTATCTCCTGCTTCTATTCGATCCAGGGCCTGAATCTGCGAAAGCTGCTTTAGTCAAATCACTCTTCACATCTCTTTATATACATCTCTTTACGATCTTGCAATTAGTGTGGCAGTTACTGCTGACATCTACAGATTCTACAGACTACTCTTGTGAATTCTTATGACCTTGTACGACTCATGTCCAATGCTGCTGTGTACACAGCACGGTGAGCGCCTGCTCCAGGACAAGAGTCCAATTTCCGCGGCAGTTCAAAGGGCCGGCATTCGGAACGAGCGCTTTGAGGGAGGCTCCATCCAAAGTTCTTGAGAGGGCAGCATCTGCATCTGCATTTGCAGCCCCCATATCCTGCAGTTTCATGCAAAACTTATGCAAAATGCAACAAGCTTTCAAAATGCAAGGCCTGCAGAATTCTGAAACAATCAGCTCAACACCATCGTCTTTGTAGAGGCCCAAGGAGAATGTCCAGAAGCGCCCTGGCGGGCACGGCTCGGTACCAAGTTTCTTTGCCATTTACAATCATTTTACAATCATTTTAATCATTTTACAAATATTTACACATGTTGTTTTTGGAGCACTCTTTGAGCCCCTCCTGCGTAGACCGCCACAAATACGGCAAGAGGCTGCTTAAGTCTCATGAAACATTGCAAGGGCTTCCGGGGCGGCCCACTTTGGGGCGCTACAATTGTGCAAGTGAGATGCTGCAGCGAAATCAGATAACGTTTGCAAGTAAATTCAAAACATAGTCACACCTCAGAGAAACCTATGGGGCTAGCACCGCTCTGCAGGCCACTGCCCCCTTTGCTTTAGCTGTCGCCTGAAGTTCTGTCATTTCGCCATTTCATGACATTTCAGTCATGTTCGCACCGGTCTGCTACTCTGCTCATGACATCCTGCCTGGCGGAAGGGCAGCTTTCGAAGCGCCGCGAGTTCGCCGAACCTCAGAAGCTCTGTACTCGTCTTAGACTCCAAGCATAGCAGGCTGTCCATGCTGTTCCTAAGCTTGAGATGTGAACGTTTCACCCTGCTGTAGTAACATGATGAAGTTGCCTTCCTGCACAGAATCACAAGGTCATAGAACAACGCAAACCTTTGACAACCGTTGACAAGGCATGACCGGCCTTCCAGATCTCTACCTGACCCTTCACAATGAAATACACGAAGCTTTTCCCAGTCTGGAAGACTTCACCATCCTCCGGACAATACACCAGGCAAACCAAAGCACCAGGTACACCCATTCAAAACGCACACTGTAAACGGAAAGCTAAAATATGCTAAAATCACAGCAGGACAGGATACAACAGGAATATGAACGCTCCTGGAGGATCACTTCACCATCCTTGAAGGTCGTGTCCACCTTCGCAGCAAACTGACAAGGAAAAGCATGTCACATCTATCATGCAGACCTTCAACTCTTCCGTACCATGTTACAAGCCTACTCAAAGCTCAAAACACCATCTGAATGTCTGCAAGTATTTCAGAAGGACTCTTGCAACTGTCTGCTACGGCATGGGATCGGTGATGATAGGGAGTGAGCTGGTGATGGTGACTGTCATGCTTTCACCAAAATCAACAGAGTAGGAACAGAAGGAGAGTCCCCTAACGATGACGGGGGTAATGAGGAATAAGAGCACTCCGACAAGTCACAAATGATGCTGCTGGTGGTGTCAGGTCTGGTTTAAAAAAAAGAAGTTTAGCCTAAAAAGATTACCTGTGTGAGCCCTTCTAGACTTCGAAATTCATTGAAGCCTAGATCAAGCTTCAAATATGCTGCTTGTTGTCTTTGTTTGAAGAAGTGAACCATTGGATCGCTACTCTCTAGCCGAGGAAGGCACCAGGCGATCGCTCAGGGCATGTACCAAAGGAATTGGAGCGTCCTGGAACTTGCAAAGACTCCAAATGTTCGCTACACATTCGCACGCGTCCACACCTGGAAGATAGGATTGATGGCAAACATGCTAGCATCTGCCTCAGTAATTCATGATTAGCAGTGTCAGGTCACAAATTCGTGCCGGCATGATCTTTACATCAACGTACGAATAGCACTCTTTCGGAGCTGCACATAGAGCGATTTCAAACTGTACAATTCTAGGTCGCTTCACACCATCAGTGTGGTGTGGCAAACATTGTCCCACAAATGGCATCGAAACGCCGAAAATTTGATCCGGAGATCTTTGCAAAGTCTTTGCTAAACTGAGATCTTGAACAGTACAGCTGCCAGGACCAGGGTGAAAACTAGAACCGCCAACGACTCAATCCACTCATCGGATGATGATAATGGCGCAGACCTTCAAAGGCAAGCTGCAAGCCAAAGGTCCGATTTCAGTATGGACTTCATTTGATTTCCACTGAAGCATAAACTGTGCCGAAATGAAACAGTTTGGTTATGATGCTGAGTTCAAGGCGACTTGGGATCAATTTTTGGTTGTCTCGGCACCATCAGCATGTATTCCTTGATCGAACGTGTGTACCAAAAAGTTTAGTTAATCAGCGATTCATCAGGCTCTATCACTTGTGTTCCAAGGCACGCGGCTGACATCCGTCTGAGGTAGTGAAGACAGTTCCAGGGAGTATCTTCGGGATGTTGGAGTAGCCTTACACAAAAGGCAACGCAACTTGTTACCAGCAAAACGTAGAGCAAGGCATGCGCACACAGCCATGCTGTGTTCCCTCGAAGGAGTGTAGGAGAGGAATATGCATAGCGCGGTATCCGTGCGATTACTTCATAAGCTGACACTCTAACATACTCTAACCAAAAGAATCTCAAAGGCAAAGTGGCTGATGATCGGCTGATGAACTGAGTGCTCTGCTGTCCCAAAACCGATTAACTCTCGGTCTCGCTTCTCTTCTTCCCTCAAGGATTCCAGCTCAGCCTCGCAGGCCTCACAATTTCACGCGAAGTAATATCACATCATCTACAGCGACAACAACTACTAAGCTACAACCAGTATGTCGTCGTCATGATCGTCATCGTTGTCATCCTCATCATCATCATCATCATCAATTAAATTCAATCATTATATAGGAAACCGCCGCACCTTTTGCTGTCTGCCTGGAAGTTCCATCAGCCTTCAGCCAGTATTTGTCGGCTGGAAGGGTTCTGCAAAACCACCCCTCAGAGGTGCCATAGGGCGGGATGGGCCGGGGGGCTTGAGCCCCAGCAACAGTGAAGTTGGTTACCTATTTTCAGGAAACCGCCGCACCTTTTGCTGTCTGCCTGGAAGTTCCATCAGCCTTCAGCCAGTATTTGTCGGCTGGAAGGGTTCTGCAAAACCACCATAGCTCCCACTCTTTCCGGCGGTCTTCGAAGGATCACCTGCACCTCTGAGGAGGAAAAACCAAGATGCTAGTGGGATGCCATGCTCCAGAAACGTCACGCACTGTTCCAAGGTTTCGGCATACCCACCAGCAAACAAAAGGATACGATCCCGTGCTCGCTTGTCCAGCTTTTCCAGGTAGGTCGTGACCAAAACCTCCTGGAGGTAAATTTCACAAGTCCGCATTGACATCCACCTTCCGCGCCTTCTCACCAGCTCTGGTGACTCCGTCTGGTGCAGGAGCCATGTTGCACCACCAGGCCTCAAACTGCCGAGGTCGAAAGGGCGGGAGTCACCATCCTTCTTTGTAGGCAGCCGCAGCGCTGTCAGGAGTTGTGTGAAGCGTTTTCTCAGGGTGGAGGCTGAGTAGGGCCAGAGTCTTGCCGATCTGTCAGCCTTGGCATACATGGCTGTCAAGAAAGCGACAACGTCCTCCTGGTCAATGCGAGCTGCCTGATGCTTCGCGGATCGGCCCCGTGTCTTTGGCTGCCGTATCACCAGTAAGGCAAAGGAGGTGCCAGGAGCTGAATCACAAGGCAGCACCAGCTCAGCTCTTGTCGCCGCAAGGATTTCTCCTATGCGGAGCACTCCTGTCCACCCAGTCAAGATGACAGAAGCTTCATAGGCCCACCCCCATGTCAGTGCAGCCGTGACCAAGGCTGCCATGATGGAGATGGGGAGAGCCGGATGATGCTGATGCGGTTCGTCCGCCAGCCAGCAGAAGGCAAGATCCCAAGCGCCATTGAGCTGCCGTCTGATGAGCGGTCGTTCCACAGCCACCGCATTAATTGTCTCTGCAAAAATCCCGTAGGCCTTTCCTGCAGCATACAATTCACGACCGTAGTCAACCAGCACGCCTGAAATCTTTTCGGGGTCTGCAGGCCTCGTCTCCATCAAATGCCGAAAGGAAATACCTTTCTCCTGCCAGAGCCATGCCTTGAAGCGGTCCAGATAGACCTTCCTCTTGTCTCGTGTCTGATCCCTCACAGCCCTCGTAGTGAGCAAAGCATTGCCTGCTCGATGCAGCATCCTGTCCTTGTCTGCACGTGAAGCTGGAGCTATCGGCATTGCTGCGGCTGCTGGTATCCAGAGGGGGATTACACAAAGGGCCGCAACAGCAAGGATGACATGGCTGAGGTTGGAGGCTCTAGGTCTAACCTTATGGGGGCCCCGTTTACTGCACCCACCCGACCCAAAGAGAGGGGGAACAGCACGGAACACACCAAGGACACAGAAAACCAGAAGAGGCCCGAGGATAAGTCCAACGCCGGGCATGAGCTCATCATCGCGAGCAAGCGGCCACCAACCACTGGTCCACCCAGACTGAGAAAACACAAAACCAGGGACCCAGCCGAAGTCAAAGCAAGTCCAAGACCAAACAGCTTTAGGCACACAAGAGCCGGCAACGGGCTGAAGTCCATAGGGGCAAGCAAGATGAGTCGAATCCAGTTGGCAGCAAAACGTCTGAGGCCACCCAGGTTGAGGCGCCGCAGGAGGTCAAGCGGAGCGCCAGCTTTGATGAGGGAGTGACGAAGTGGAGGCCGCAGAGGGTGGTCCCTGGTAGGGTCATCGGCCGTGTTGAGCCTGGTAGGGCAGTAAAACCATCCGGGGTACAGGTCAGAGGCAACACAGACAGCACCAGCACGCCGCATCAAAGGTTGCAAAGCTCTGGAAGGGGAACGACCTTTGGACAAAGCACCACGGCAAACAGCTGAGTCGACAAAATGACAGAATCGACATGATGAGCGCTTCTGCCCAACCGACACAAGGTTTGAGACCGCAGCAGATGTCTCCAGCACATTAATGTGACCAAGACGCTTCCAGAACCAGGCTCGGACAACGGACCACTTTGAACTGAGCATGACATCGTTTGCAAGGACAGTTTCATGGCCCTGCGTTTCTGGCTCCAGGTTACCCTCAGCTCTCTTCTTACGCAAAGCATCACGGAAGGCAGTAGCGACATGAAGTGCAAGGCCATCGACATAGGTGGCAGACGGCTTAGTCAGCGACCCCTGGATACGAACATGACTGTGACCACCACAACAACGCACGTCCAAAAATCCGGTGTCAAGGAGGTAACACAAGAACCTAAACTCCTTCCGGTGGGGGGAACCAAACATGCAGGAAGCAATGACTGCCTCGGCAAAGTCAAACTCCAGGAGGCTCTTCCAGTAGGAAAGCCAACACATCTTGCTCAGCCGGCTCTGTTCCAAACCGCAGGGGCAGCAGTACCTACGACCAACACGCATGAGAACCAAGGCTCGAAAAGCAAGCACATTTCCATGGAGGGTCTTTGGCAACGTCCTGTCAAATCCAAGAGGTTCTCTGTAAGACCGGACAGCAGGATGAGCGGCTGGGCTGAAGGTAGTGCAGGGAGGCTCAACCAGGAAGGCTTTGAATCGCCCTTCACGGATCATGTGAATGATCCAGTCCAACAGAGAGAGGGACGACAAGTCATAATGGCGGGAATCCGACAAATCCAAAGTAGGGGCACAGACAAAACCAAAAGAAGACATGGCATCAGTGACCTTACCAGCGCCTCCACAGATCTCGACAAAGTCAAAATACAAAAGTGGGGCTTTGAAGGGTCCCGCACAAAATCCATCACCGCTAAGGAGGGGCTCATCTTCATCAAACTCTCCAAGCTGTCTGAGCGCCGCACGAAAAGGGTTGTCAAGCTGCACATAAGGGCTTTTCAGGTCTGAGTCCAGCCACATGATCTCATGGAGTTTGGGGCAAATGCCAGCTTCAACGATGGCTCCTTTCCGATTCGATGCATCGCTGGCAAAACAAACATCCAAATAATCGACAGCTATGTTGGTCATCACAAGAGGGGCGATGGAAGACAGCAAGGCAAGCTCTTGAGAAACCTGCTTTGGCAAGGCATGGACATGACCCTCATTTTCCTGACACTTGGCACCGAAAAGGAACAACCCATCAACCAAGGAAGACCAAACCTTTCTGAACTGCAGGACGGACACCCAATTCCCAGCAAGCCTAGAGACAAGTCCAGAGGTCAAACCAGGCAAACATGCAGCGCGCAGAGAAACAGCGGACAATCCCACACGCTTGGCCAAAGGTGCAGCTACCGGCACAAAACCACGCCTGACGTTTGCACTGTCGGAAACAATCTCAGCGCCAGCAACTTTCACTGCAGGTGAGGCAACCACATCCTTTTCAGGAGATCCCAGGAGCTGATGCTTCTCGTAGACCTCTCTGGCTTTTGTAAGGGAAGTCCAGGCAAAACTGTCTTTGGGGCAAGTCGAAAGGCGATCAGAACACAAACAGAAATAGTCATCAATCACCAAGGCATCCCATTTGCATGTCACTGGGAAGTTTTTGTTTCCCTCGATGCGTGTCTCATCTGCCAAAAGTCCAGCCTCTTGCAACAAAACTTCATGACTACGCAAGGCAAACTCAACCCCAAGGTGGTCACCCTGAAACAACGACCGAAAGCATGGATACACCCTTGTGGGTAGGGCACAGGAGCTTCTCTTTTCAATCGGCTTTCCAAGGCGATCTCCAATGACATCACGGTGAGATGACTTCCTGGCACGACAAGATTCCACAAGACAGTCATGAGCCGAAGAGCCAACAAAGCTTTCAACATCATATGAAAAGGGCAACATGTTGGTTCGAGCACGCTCAGGGGTCACAGATGCCTGATGGTAAAAGTCTCGCCTGTCGGTTATGGAGCCTCTGATCCCATGAGTGAACCTAGGGATGCGAAGCATGGTCAACTGCCTTCCCTGTGGAAGAAACTTTGAGGGCCCATTGACATGATACTCGCACATGTTTGGCAGCCGGCGGTCACCAATCTGCCGATCCCTTTCTGCATCCTTAAAGGCATTAAAAACCCTAGAGAAGTAGCTCTCATGAAGGGGCGACGCTTCAAGGTGTAAGAGGCCACGAACATCCCAAAGTTTTGCAAGCTTCAAACATTCCACAGGATCCTCCGCAGAGAAGTTGGGAACCCCGTCAGATGGAACAGCAAGACCATGACACAGAAAAGCCGGTTCTTGGAAAGGAAGCCAAAGCACGCCACTCAAGAAAGACTCCATAGGCCATCTTCCTTCACCCACAAGCTTGAGACGGTCAGCATCCAAGGACCGATAGGGGAGGAGTTCAGGAAAGTCAGAGGCCGACAAAAGTCCAGGGTCGGGCTTTGCAGGGATGCTATCAGATTCCATGTACCCAGAAGCAAGCGCAGGGCACGACATGCAAAAGCTCTCAAGCTGAAACAACTGAGCGCCAAGCTCAGGGCCGGATCTGCCGGGGCAAACAGGGAACAAGGCCTGGGCATCACCACACGCAGACACCATAGTCCTCAACCTCCTAAAGACAGAAAGCTGTTCAGGGGTTGGGGACCTCCTCAACTCAGAAGCAGTAGGCCAACGACCCAGAAACATGAAATCCAGCACAAGAGTCCAAACATGGAGAAGTCGGTTCTTGGCTAAAGTCCAAAGGCGCTTCTTTGACAAATGAGGGCCGCCACCTCTGAAAGAGTCCAAGGATTCCAGAGGCAACGGGAAGACTGCGGAAGCCGTCTCGGGAGAACGGCGCAAGACAGCAAAAGAACGAGCAAGGCAATGGGAAAACTTTGTCCTTGTCTTCAAAATTAACCTCGGTAGGCAAAGTGCCCATCTGGAGAGGCTCATAGTGGCAACAAGTGGGTTTGACTCCGGCCCCACATTGTTGGAAAAATCCATGGATCCCCTGTCTTTGGCTACTCCTCGGCATCGGTCGCCACCTGCTGGTTTCCTTTTCCCCCAGCCTTTGACTTGCGTTTGGGCTGGGCCTTCTGCTTTGGCTGTGCTGGGCCGTCGGTGGAAGAAGAGCTGGCGAATTGCCCGGGCTTTGACTGGTTCGTCAACTCGAGGCGTTTGGAGGTGATGACATCCAGTTCTTTCAGGTAAGCCAGCGCCACCGTGACCCATTTTTGATCCGCTAAGGGACTGAACGCCCGGCTCTTCGCCAACATGCTGGCCTGTCTGTTTGCAAAGACGGCTGCAGGAGGTTCTTCTTGGAGGCATAGTAGATGAGCCAAGTCGAAGCGCCCTTGATCCATGGCAGCCTGATCCAACGTCACTGCCAGAAGTGCCGCCTGATCCCGGGCTGCTTGCAAGTTGGAGGTTTGCAAGGAGTCCATGATTGTCATCACCTGGTACTGCAAACATCCCAGGTCTCTCACCTTCCCATAGCCTCCGAATCGCTCCAGGTAGCGAGTTCCGCAAACTCCACGGTCCATCAGCTCCTGATAAGAGCCCTCCGCAGTCATAGTGGGGAACATCCGCCTTGACATCGAGGAGATCACTGAGGCAAAGAAGCTTCCTTTCTGAGCAGCAAGTTCTGCCTGAAGCCGGGCACGACCTTGGGCTCCTCGGGTGCCTGTTGATAAGCCTGCTGAACCAAGCTCTAACATGGGATCGCCATTGGTCTGTGCGATCTGAGCCACAAGTGCTGTCAAGGCCTGTGACTGGGCCAGCACAGCCTGCGCCAGAGGATCTGACGATGTAGATGGGCCGCCCTCTCCCTTGTCGACCTCCAACTCCGCCAACTCCTGAGGTTTGAACATTTGCGAGCTCAACAGTCCCGGGGCAGATGGTGCAAGTGTTCTTGGCGGTGAACCCAGCTGATGAGCTATGCTCTTCGGCGCAGTGACCTGGGGCACCAAGGAATCTGAGATAGGCCGGTGTAGAACTGCATGGGGCCCTTGTTGCAAAGCCGCTGGAGCAGACATCTTCCTTTCCAAGTCCAGTTGTCGAAGAGTCAAGGCCTCCAGATTCTTGGAGAAGCCGGCATTCATCTGCAGAAGCTGATCCATGGAGCTTGCCAGGGTTGCTACAGTAGGTCGCTTTCCTGAGTTTGAAGCCCGCTCTTGCCCGGCGCTGCTTTTCTGGCTCTTCGTGGGGGAGGAGTGTTGACAGAGCGATCCTCCTCCAGTGGCGCATCTTCCAAGTCCACAGCCTCCTCTTCTGCCAAGGAGAGATAAGCTGCTTGAGTGGAGGAGGCATTTGCTGATAGCCAGTCTCGAACCATGGTCAACAGCTGAGGCGGGTCTGGTATTGCAAAGGGCTGATCTGGGTCGAAGGTGAATGGATATGCTTCCTCTTGCCCAACTGTGCGAAGTGAATTCACCACCCCCTCGTCCAGATCGACTACAACGACCGTCAGAAGGGCTCCGGTGGGGGCTAAAGTTCCATGATCCATCACCTTTCCCTGGACACGAAGAACAGTGGATGGCCCTACAAGTCCAGGAGGGGGGTCCACATTTCCATTGGCCAAAACCTCTTCGGGCAGAAAACCAACAGGAACAGCGGCCAAAAATCCACCTGGCCGTTTTGACACGATGAGGACAGCAGCTTCGGGCTCTCCATCGTCGCTCAAGACATCTGGCCAATCCATCACATAGGGCTCGACATCGTGTTCCAGGGTCACCAGGGCCTCCAGACTCAAAGTGACGGCCTCTGCCATTGCGGCCTTCAGGGAGCAATGTCGTGCTCAATCTCCCCAGCTGACTGCAGGTAGATCTTAGCCTCAACCTCACTCGGGAAGGACTGGGAGATCGATGGAGAGTCCTGCAAGGACCCAATGCAGTTCCAGTACCCCGCAGAAGACTTGAAGATGGTGGCACGAAGAAGTCCAGGTGCCTGCAAGACAGCGTAGAACCTGTTCTTGAGGTCAATTGCTGGTGTCCTGTCAGGGCTTCCGATACGGGAGTCTCTGACGGCAGAGGCCCACTGGCCACAAGTCCAAGCTCGCTCCACTCTGGCTTTCCCTGACAAGGAAGATCCCACCAACCTGTTTCCCAAAGGCAGAAGGCTTGCGGGGCAGGGACGAAGGGACAGACGGACCTGGTCTCGGGTCTCCAATCCACGCACCCGAGAGGAACCAGGAGGAACAGACTCAGGCACACTAGACACCAGCTCAAACTCAGACGGCTCAGCACCCTTGGGAGAGAAAGCAGCGACGTGGCTAAGAAGTTGAGCGGCCAGGCCGGAGGAGGCAGCAGGTCCAGAGATGCACACCTTAAGTCCACAAGGGAGGGTCAAGGAAAGGTCAACTGTGGCGCTCTCTGTGGAAGGGACCCTGCTCATGCAGGTAGGAGGACAGAACCTTGGACCTTGACACCGCAGTAGGGGCACGAGCAGACGGGGCACACGAAGCAGGCCAGACCGAAAATCCAACACCCAAAAGCCACCAAATTCCAACCAAGGCAGTCAGGACACCGAGGAGCCAGCCAAGGAGGAAAAGGAAGAGGCACAGCCCAAGGGACGGGGGGGTGCAGTAAAAAGGGCAGCCCAGACCTCACAGGTTACTAGACAAGCCCTCAACAACCAATCCAAGCAGAGCACGGGGGGACATGGGCTTGAGCCCCAGCAACAGTGAAGTTGGTTACCTATAATAAGAATAAGACAAAGAAAATAACCAAATTTATCTATCAACCATAGTCTCTTTTGCCACGTACATGTCCAGTCCATGCGCTGAAAACATTTAATACCACTCCATCACTCCATCGACCTCATGCTTTCAATTTGCAAGGAATCGTCAAATCCACATCAGGCAAAGATGCGTTGGAGTTGCACAAAGGATCGGGTTGGGTGCACTGAAAACACACGAAAACCATCGAAAACCATCGAAAACCTACCAAACCATATCAAGCCTCCACATCAGCGCCTTGCCAGAAGCGTAATGCCACAGGCACAATCAATGTTTCAATCTCAACATGTGAGGAATGGGAAGTAAGATATAATATTATATGATATAATACTGGTTGAATCATGTTGGATGTCTCCATTGATGAAGTTTCTGAAATGTCCAAGTGGACTATCTCTTTTTCCCCATCACTAAATTCACTGTCCAAGTCTTCGAAGCTGGTCATCTCTCGTTTCTGACCTCCTCCTCGCACCAGCTGTGCCCCCCGGAGTCGTCGGAGCTCTAATTCTTTGCTCATGCGCTTGTCTCTGCTCTCGGTCGCACGGTTGGATTTCCAAATGATGAAGGCCTCAACGAGAATTAGGAGCATCAAGAAGCTTGTGTCATTGAAAGCTCGATTGTCTGGAATTCAAGCAGCCAAGCTGCATATGAAGAGAAAATAAGGAGAGCTGCAAACAGCGGCTGCCAGATCACCAACTGGTCAGATACCTTTGCTCAGCATCAAAGCCCGCGAGAGTCCATTTGTTACAATTCTGATCATTTCTGATGCATGCCATATCTCAGAAGTGTGACTCGTGCTCTCTGCTTTTGCTGTGCTTCTGGCTGGAGTGCGAGCAAACGCGGGAGGAAGGCTCCGAAGTTGCACTTGTCGACGCACATGCGACCGGACTGCCTTGACTCCACATTGCCGTGCCTTCAAATCCTGCCACCACCCTCTGTCACGTCACCCTGCCTTCAAATGAAAGCCAGCTGAAAAGCACGCCGCCTAAGCATCTAGATACTTCACAATGTGTCAGATGTGTCAGATGTGTCAGATGTGTCAGATATGTCAGGATGCAAATGCTTCGCAACTGCACGATGCACTGTGACTGCCACGAAAATAAGGCTCCAACCGAACTGGATGCGACCGCGATCAAGGCTCTGGAGCTGCGACCATGGGGCGGCACAAGCATCAGCCTGGAAAGCCCTAGAAAACCTCCATGATCTGACGCCCAAGTTTGGTATGACGGTATGACTCAGAACTTGTTCTTTACTTCGGATATTCTTGGTGAGCAAAAGCTTGTGCATTGTGTATTTGGGCTGCAATAGAGAAATGGTGCAAGCGGCATACCATCGTATTGCTGGCACGCAGTGCATCGACGCTGGATTTACAGATTCTGCGGTTGTTCAATATGGTGCAGCTTGAGCAAAAACCGAGAGAATGCAATGATATAGCACATAAAGCCGGTTCGGCCAGCGCGTTTAGGTGGGCATCTGTTCCATTCAGCAACTGCAACTTGAGTTGACCAAAAAAGACATTTAAAAAAGTCAAGGGTACCAGGGCTGCTGACGGAGTTGACATATGGTCCAAAGCCGATGGCACAGCCAGGCCTGGATGGCTTGAGTTCGAGTGCTTTCTTGTAGTGCTGCAAGGCACCAAACTTCAGAATCCAGGCACTATAGAATTGTATTTCCTAGCTTAGGGAAGTCTTCCACACATAAATGGAAAGCCAATCTCACAAAGCAAGCACTGAGCTGTTGACAATCGACCACAGAGGTCTTGCATGGCTGTGCCGCTAAGATCTTCCTTTCAGCTCCAGTGTATAAGGAATCCATGGAAATCCAATTCTTTAGTGACCTTCAGTGAGGCATTGGTCAAGTGTCAAAGGTTGATGTCCTGCGATGTCATGATGGACTCGTTGATTGATGTGAGGCGTGTCCTTGCAAGTTCCAACCTGACACGCCAAGTCACCGAAGCCATCGGCACTTGATGTCACTTCCACGGCCCTACCGGGTGAGGCAGGTAAGGCGCTTGCAGTCTGAGTCGAGCATCCGGGTACTTTGCCAAGATGGGGACCATCACCTGCACTGTCAGGCACACCACTAGCTGGTAACTACCTACAGGACCTACAGCAAACCACCATGGCTTCCCGGGACCTCAGGTGACGATGCAATGAACAATAACAAAACAATAACAAAACACACCAGCTTCAGCAGCTTCAGCCGTCTTTGCTCTGGTCTTTCCACAGTTTGACCTCTCAACTCCTGGCCTGACGAGAAAGCTTCATGCATTGACAAGCTGTGGCAGTCTGCACAGTCGCAGTCCGACGCTCAAGCCTGGCATGAAGCTGAAAGGTTGTCCACATATGACAATCTATGGATAGTGAAGAAGGAATCCCTGAGTTCAGTGGTGTCTCTGAAATGGAAATGATGCCACGACAACGCTTCCACTGCTTGAGGCTTCTTTTGCAGATGCCACACAGTTCTTCGACCAGAAGGTTGTCAGAAATTGTAGGTAGTTGGCTCTTGGCACATGTAGACACTCTGAACTAAGAGCTGATGTAGGCACCGTGTTTCTCCTCCATTTGGATGGCAATGCAGTGTTCAGCACTCTCTGTGAACACTACACCCACTGCCCCCTCCAGCTCACAGAAACAGTGCATGTAATTGCGCTGAAGAGGCAAGTCCAAAACACCAATCTCTCCAATCACGTCGTTTTCGATCCTCACAAGCCACGCTGAAGAACATGACAAGACATGACAAGACAACAATCTTCGCTTTGAAATGTCCTCCCCAAGAGCTGGCCACAAGAGTAAACTTCACAGGATCCACCTTGGAAACCGTTGGAATCCGTTGGAATCCGTTGGAATCCAGTACACTCAGAACACAGCTGATAAACTCAGACATTCAAAGCTGAGGTTGCTGTGTTTCATCATGTTTCATCATTGGTTGCATCAAGACAAAGCGGTGCTGTCAGATGCTCTTCCAGCTCCCCAGCTCCCCAGCTCCCTCGGGACAAGTGACGCAGGAGGATGTACATTTCCTCACAGTTGATATCGCCTTCCTGCCATCTCTGCCACTTCAAAACGACACATGATGCATTCTGGACTCCTGTGGACTCCTGTGGACTCCTGGACCAAAATGATGAAAGATGAAAGTTGATGAAAGCACTTGATATCGCTTATCACTGGCTCACCTTCATGAGGACTGTCCCAGGCTTGTACCAATATGTGGACCTTAGGAGCACGCAATGCCGCAAGGTGCCAGCTTTGGGGCTTTGAGTAGGCCAGGTGTCGAGCGTATTCATTGCAAGCTCTGCCACCTGAGCGAACAAGATGCATAAAGAGTGCAGACCGTGACTTGGAATCGAAAAGCATGGCCTGCTGTTGCCCATCCCTTTGTGCGAAAATCATGAAACCAGCTCAAGCAGCCAGAATTTACAGTGAGACAGACACATTCGGTAAAGAGAAAATTATCAAATTTGAAGCATTGCGGCATTGCGGTAAAAAAACTGAATAATGTCAGATGGTGATCAATTCTTGCAGCTTGGACTGTTCCTGAGCACCCAGCAAACTCGTGCATGGCATCACTAGGATCGGAGAAGAATGGCACTGATTTTAAGGCATCGCACTGAGTAGCCTGGATCAAGTTTCACGTTCGTTTCACGTTTGTTTCACGTTTGTTTCACGTTCGTTTCACGTTCATCATTTTCAGTTTTTCATGGCAATCTGTGAAGAAAAAAAGGTCGAGCTCTTAGATTTGAGGCCTGCTGCTCCAGATTGATGTCATCTTTCACATCAATCAACTTTCCTTCAAGTGAGGTTCTGGTATCATCTCCGGATTTTCAGAGCTTTGCAGTTTGAAATCAGGCCTAGTTCCATCAGTTTGTGCTTCATCTCTCTCTGAAACCTGCCCGACAAAGCAAAGGACCGCAACGACGCAGACAAAGCAGAGAACCGCGACGACACATCAAGGGTTGCTCATGATATGGCATAGCTATGGATGCTAGGGAGCTGGCTTTCGTTTCTCCCATGGGTATTTCCTGGCAGGAGCAAAAATCCACCACTTAAGAATCCAGAGCGACTGAAGATATCAGTACATCAGTTTACCAACAGCTGAATGCAGCCGGGTGACTCTAAAATGGAGTGAAAGCTAAATCTCGAAATGATGGCCACATCACACTTCCTGGGTGAAGTCAACGTGCAGGAGTTTGCCAGCAAAGAGGCGTTATCGATCCAGTCTATTTCCTCTCTGAGAAAATGACGATAGAGATCTGACCGAAGCAGTGCGGCGATTGTCGATGTTGAGCAGGGCAGTCTTGCAAGCAAGCTGAGCTAGACTTTTTATAGCTGCATGCAAGAGAATTTGTCTCGTTCTTGCATGTTTGTGGCTTTCTGCTATGTGACATCTTTGATCAGAAAATGGGGATATGGGAAGAAGTCTGTTCAGCACTTCCGCTGTGAATCCGAAGCGTTCATATTCAGAAGGAAAACCACTCGGTGGCATCGGATCTGTTCCTCAAACCATTGTCTGGCTCCAGTCTTTTTTTCAGCAATGCATTTTTGTCTCTTCTATTGCCCGATTCCCCTTCACTCGATGGAACCTTAACAGCAACGAGAAGTCAGCCAGTCGTCGAAATGACGAGCTGAAAATGGACCAAATCACACAAGATCACCCTCTCAGGCTCCAAAAAACAACGGATGCTGAAGCCAAAAGGGCCAACGTTTCATACACAGAACATTTTGAAAAGAGCCGTGCGTCCTCTTGGGATCTCCAGCATGTGGCACGACGTGGCACGACGTGGCACGACGTGGCACAATTGTTTCTCGGACAAGGTGCAGGATCGTTTTTGCGAAGGAGCTTGAGTAGCTCGAGGGGACAAAGTAAGGTGCCTCGCTGGCAACTATCATGTCCTTAGAGCCACAAGAAAACAAACTAAAACAACTGCAAGTTCAGTCTCAGATTTTGACATCACAAGTTCTCACTGTGTGTGAAGAAGCATAGGGTTCCTTTCAGGACCCAAGTTTCTTGCTATCGATGCGCTCACCTTCTATATAGCATTAGTATTCGTAGAAGGCAGGCAAACCAAGGTTCGATAAGAGCTCTTTGCCATGGAGCGAAGGAAGGGTCCTGCGCAAACACATACACATACACACCTACCTACATACATACATACATACCTAGGTAGGTACGTAGGTAGGTAGAGGTCAGGTAGGTCAGGTAGGTCAGCTAGGTCAGGTAGGTCAGGTAGGTCAGGTAGGTCAGGTAGGTCAGGTAGGTCAGGTAGGTCAGGTAGGTATGCATGTATGCATGTATGCATGTATGCATGTATGCATGTATGCATGTATGCATGTGTGCATGTATGCATGTGTGCATGTATGCATGTAGGTAGGTAGGTAGGTAGGTATGTAGGTATGTAGGTATGCATGGATGTAGGGATGTAGGGATGTAGGCATGTAGGTATGTAGGTATGTAGGCATGTAGGTATGTACGTGTAGGGATTTAGGCATGTAGGTATGTAGGCATGTAGGCATGTAGGCAGGCAGGCAGGCAGGCAGGTAGGTAGGTAGGTATGTAGGTATGCATGGATGTGTGTATGTAGGTATGTAGGTATGCATGGATGTATGTATGTAGGTATGTAGGTATGCATGGATGTATGTATCTATGTATCTATGTATCTATGTGTATACACTTAAATGAATTTCCTTCATAGTTGTGACCTGTCTCCAATGAGTCAATAAGGCGCAAGAATGATGCTCCCTATGCCCTATTCTGTTGGTCCTGGAACTGAGACACGGGGAGCGCAAGCTCCTTCGCCAAGACCGCTAAATCCTCAGGCTCCTTCGGCCCAAGAATGAGAAAATGTGCAGATATTGTTTATTGCTATAAATTATAAATTGCTATAAATGACCTGTAAAACTGCGTTGGTTTGCCACTGTGCTTCCCAGCTCAACCCAGATCCTGACAGTTGGAAGAGAGAAAAATACGCTCCGGCTTGAAGTCGTACTTCTTCAAGATGTTATGTACATCCTCCACCAATTCAGCTGAGTCCTTGTGCATACTGGTTCCTCAAGCTGACAGTCGAACACTTTATGCGCATGGGTCGCTACCAAAGAGAGATGCTGCTAAAGAATGCTAAAGAGGGATGAAGTAAAAAGAAGTATAAGGTGGAGCAGCTTCTGGTTTCGAAGAGGATGAAACCCGAGATGGACTGCATGGCATTGCATGGCAAGGCTCCATGGCGCCAGTGAACTGCAAGGAAGGAGGCTGGTAATGTTTCCATGAATGAGCGTGCTGCTTTGACAAGCCTCAGATTTAAACAGTTCAAACTTTAGTTCAAACAAATAAAATGTCCCAACTCTGCCTGATGTGGCTGGTAGTCACTGTAGTCATTGAAGCTTGACATTGACCGAGGCACGACTGATTGAATGCCATGTGGAAGGGCCACTGAGTTTGATTGCACTCTCCTTCGTAGACACTGAGATCGGAGAAAACTGAGAAAACTGAGAAAACACGTTTCTTGCATTGGTCAAACATGGTCAAACGATCGTTGATCTATTTCAAGCATTCTGCAAACACGATGCTTCGGGCTCTGAATCCAACAGGCCAATAAATCAAAGGGGCTTGGAGGGAGGACCTCCATTCCTTGGACAGGCTTCGCTCAAAGGAATCCCTTCATATCCCTTCACAACATTTCACAACTATAAAATATTATGAAATATCAAAATGCTAAGATGCCGTGGAACATCGTGGAACATCGTGGAACATCGTGGAACATCCAATTGGATGGAACATATGGAACTAATCCAAGGTTCTGTAGCCAGGCAGCTCTTGGTTGTTCCGGGTGTTCAATGCCTCACACTCAAAGCAAGAACCACACGTCACAATGCGCTGCAAAGAAGAGTGAACGAGGTGAGTGTACAGTGTACAGCTGCGACCAAGCTGCAATGACCTGGCAGGAGGGTGTGCAGCTAACAAAGCCATGATTCATTGTGACAACTGTGAAACACATAATGCACTTGATGGATCTTAATGGATATGATATACGCTTATATACGCTTAAACGATTTGAACAAGTTGTTTAACAATCATGTGAGCGTGTCTTTACGATCAGCATTGTGCTTAAAGCATGGGAAGCTGTCACAAACCAGCCTAAGATTGTAAGTTCCCGCAACACCATCATCCAAGCCTGTGCTTTGCTTCTCATGAATGGTTCCATCATTTCCCGCGTCTCCAAGCCTGACACCAAGATTTCACTACAATGATGCATTGGCAACTCAAGTGTTCAACCTGCCAGTTTCTGGTAGCTAAGGTTGTTGCAGCGAAGCTTGCTGTACTTCCAGACATCCCCGAAGATCTCCAACGAGCCGGCAGATGTGAGCGTCTCCCCGGATGAACATTCAATGCCTAGATCGAAAGGTCTGCTCTATGCATCGATTGGCATCCTTTATTCATCGCCTTTAAAGCATATACCGTTCATGTCAAGCGTCTGGATCCATGCATCGACCCTCTTTCAGTTTGCGTATCATTCCTGTGGGCCAAATTGTGAGTAGCATCGTTATTGGCATGCCATATTATCTTAATATTCTTAATTGAAAAAAAACAAGAAGAAAAAAGAATTGAGTTCTCAGAGGACTCAGGGGCACACTATGTCGATTCTTCGCCTCTCTTGGAGACATGTAGAGCAAACGAATGGTCGCATTCATTCGCTGCCGAAACGCAGCATAGGTGATCCAAGTATTGTAGGACTCGAACCTCATTGCGGTGACCCGGCGGTGTATGCTGACAAGTAAAGACCACCAAGCTCCAAGCGCACTTGGTTCGTACAAATTCTCGAACGGCTCAAAGTGCGCTTTCTCATCCTGAAGCAAAGATCTCAAAGTAGAACATAGTCACAGTATGTCACAGTAAACTTCAGTAAACCAATGTTAAACCACCAGGGATTCCCAGGGTATCTCAGGATCTTTGCAACCTCCACCCTCCTGGTACTGATCACCATCTGTGTCGGGAACCCAGAAAGGAGGCCTTCGCATGACCATTCGCATGACCAGCTCATGGACAGCTCTGTCATGTTCTCTCTGATCAAAGCTCTGGGGCGTCAACAGCACTAAAGTACGGCTCAGCCTCGGATTTACATCATAAAACATCGGCAAGAACAAGATGAACAAGGGAGCCCACTGGATTGATCTGGATTGCTTAAAAAGCAGCAAATAGCCTGATAAGCAACGAGACAATGCCTCAAAGGCTCGAATGCGCAAGCTTCAGAGCCGTTTGAAACCAAAGTAGACGTTGGTCACCCAGTCCGTTCCTGCGAGGAAAGGACGCTGCAAACTGCTCACAACTGTTCGTTTCCGTGGCCATGTCCTGTAGTTGAAGCTTGGAAAGAGATAACGTTGCTCGCGACGTTCATTCTGGCAGTTTCCAGAAGCATCGCATACCTCAATCTGGCTGAAAAAATCCGGCAAAGAGCTAAGGACGACAAATGTTTCGTATGGTTCTACACTTCTACCCTCCAAATCAGGGATGCTCTTGCTTTACCAATCCTTATGACCTGCCATTGCAATACAAGGTGCACTTGAGCTCAGGTCCGCTTTGTCGGAGTGACATCCAAGAAAAAGCAAGAAAGGCAGTGCTTGATGAAACCTTGCCAGCGAGGTCGTGTCACAATGTCACAAATGTCAGCCAAGCTGACTCTCTGTGGCTGCATTCAGTCTGACAGAAAGACCCGAGGGTGTAGCATATGTGTCCGATTCCATCAAGAGGACTCAAGGAGTAGAAATAAGATGAAATAAGCTTTTCTGACTATGCTAGGTACAGATGGTGTAGACTGTAGAACAAATTCATGGCAGAACATCTGAGAGTCCATGACTGACTGTCTTTCGTTTCGCAGCTTGTATCTTCTTTTGAAGCAGTACTCAAAAAGAGTTTGAGCCAAAACACTGTTCAGACTGCAGTACTTTCAAGAAGTGAGGCAAGGTGGTAAAGAATGGTAGAGAATGGTAAAGACCCACAACCATAACATGGTGTGTAGTGGATCACAGCTGGCCTCTCCAATGATGGAGCCATCCTTGAGCTTGCAGATGTACCTTCCACCGGCAGTCACCTGCCAAAACACGCGCATTCTGAGGATTCGTCTTAAACTTCCCCGTTTGCCTCCACAATGCCATTGAAGAGAACAAACCTGGGTAGGAAAGTGCTTGCAGTTCTGCTTCCAGGGAAGATCCATGCCGAAGTGCTGACTCAAGTGCTGACTCAAGCGCTGACTCAAAGGTGCGCATCCCTTTTTGCTTCTCAAGCCAGAAGAAATCCGTAATCTTTTCAAAACCTGCCCAAACTATGTGGGACTACCATTGCAAGGGTGTTTTACACCTGCAAAAGAAAGTTGCCAGTCTCCTGGAAACCGGCCCAGTGTGCATCAAACGACTTGATGCCACTCACCGCAGCGACCCCACTCTTTCTATGACTGGGCCACTAGTACTGCACCAATTTCAGACGCTGCTCAGAAGTCAAGCCTTTTTCTTCGAGGAAATCGGCTAAATCATATTTGTTGTCGGCCACTTCATTGAGGTCAGTAGCCCCCATCTCCTCACACCAATCATTGGCTGCTGCAAGGAAATCCTCAAGGTCTCGAGTGGTCATCCACAACTTCAGGCCAGGTACTGCCTCAGTCGCTTCCTCTTTTTGTTCGACAACACCCAAAGATTCCCATTCCTCTTCCTCTTGTTCTTCAATTGGAACTGCTGTAAAACCAAGATTTCTCATGGATGGCGGCAGAAAAACTTTGCCACTCTCCGTTCGCCTACTGCGGCACCACACGGTCTCAGCACCCAACTCATGGCCTTGCGAAATCAAACATCTCAACAACATTTCCTCAGCATATAAACCTTGATCCATACAATCATCTCCTAAGCAAAGATCAATCATCAATTTCTTCCTGTTGCTGTTGTAAAACCACAGGGAAATGGCCGAACCTTTGTCCGTGCCCAGCAAAGATGTACACTGCAATTTCTGGAGCCTGTCAGCATCTGACGGCATCGGATCATCGTCCTTCCGTCTCCGAAACTTTGAGGTCCGTTTCAGTTGCTCTACCAGAGCCTTGAAGCCCAGGACAGTGCCGTTCATGTTCGCCACATCGTTGATGGTGGTATTCACACCATAGCCCAAGTGGCGCCTTGCCTCATTTGCTGTCTTCCAGCGATTGGCCAGGAAATATGCACGAGGCAGATCTTCAGTGAGCTGGAGCTGCTGAAAATCATCTAGCTGCTCCTTCTGAGCTTTCACATCATCTGTGATGTCAACTCGATAGAAAGGCCATTTTTCCAGTGGAGGCACCTTAGGAAGAGGCCTGAATCCATCTTCGTCTATGCCGTCTGACAGGTTGAAAGAAATCTGGCCCCTCAACTCCAGGATCAGACGTTCTCGCTGAGCATCCGTCAAATGGGACGTATCTTCTGGCATTTGTGCATGACAAACCCAATTTCCATCGGGGTCCCTAGATTCATAGCCTCTCTTGCTAAAGCGATATGTGCCAACATCGGTTTCTGGCACCCATTCCGGGACCTTGCCATACTTGACCAAAATATACTTTTGTCCATCAATCCATTTCTCAAGTGCTTGAGAGGGAGGATAGAGCTCTTCATAAGGCGTGTCACTCACGCCACTGTCCATGCTGTCCATGTCGCTTTCAGCTCTTTCACCTTCCACAGAGGCTGTTGCTCTGGTAGACGTGCCACGTGCACCACGTGCACGTCCAACGTCCTGTCGTAGCCTCTGGATGTGTCGCGTCGTAATGACGGCAAGAGCCGATGGGGCAATCTTCCAAACATGGGATGTGGCATCATCTAGTGCCACAGTCTTGCCACGGATTGGATGGATTCGTGGCAATGCACATCCTCCCAAAGGTATTAGCTTCGGGGGTCCGCTGGCTAGCATCTCTAGCTCAAGAATTAAATGAAGAACATTGCAGCAAGATCTGAGCCAATTCAAGGCAGACATGACAAAATGGAGAAACCACACCTCAAAAGATGTTTGTTTAATTTGTTTATCCGTACCTCTCAGCTTGAACAATTTAGTAAAACACACAGAATGTGTCAGTGGAAGAGTGCAGCATCAACGCTCTCTCCGGATCAGAACGCTGGCAGTTCTCCAAGCGCTTTGCATTGAGTCGCCCTTCATCCCCTCTTCCATGAGATAGCGGTTCACTGGATATTCCTGGCTCTCAGATACTGGAATAATCCTGCATAAGGCATGAACCCAGAGTGAGTTGGTACAACTGTAAATCCACACATGTAAAGCACCATAAGATTCTAAACTGCAAAGAAGACACCCTCCGAGTGCAGGCCACGATCAGGTCACGTATGAACCTCAGAAGTGGTTAGCGAGGAAACCGTAAGAAGAATTCAAAATGCCCGAGGCACCAGGGAGGACGCTACTAAGATTTTACCAGGATGGTACCAGGATGGCATGAGTATCTGGTATCAACAGTCGAATCAAAAGTGACGACGTGTGCAAATTTCTGTGTGCAACCTAGGCACTCCTCATGCGTGTCCCGAAAGACTTTGCTTCTGGACAACAACTCCTCGACGCATGCTACATCTTTCACGTCTTTAACATTCTTCAACTCTACATTCACATGAGTTGCATGAGACTGTAGATATCTGTAGATTGAATACGTGTGCAAGCAGCACGCTTGGCATGCAAATGAAGTTTTCTGCGATATAACAGCAAGAGCGTCCAGCATGGATTTCGCGAACAGGGGATCGATGTCCCTCTGCTCAGAAACATAGCGCTTGCCGACCTGAAGAAGATGCAAAGCTTTGACACAGTCTGATAAACTTGAAGTGACACAGGCATGCAGGTCAAAAAACTGGCCTGCACAAGCATTCTGAACTATAAAGTCAGAAAGGCGTCCACATCCATGTTCTAAGGCTGTACTGAGCAGTTTCCCATGTTTGGTGGTTTGGTACATGAGAATGTGCCAAGCTGTGTGGTCGGTGATTATGCTCGCGATGCAGACCTGCATGCGTTGTTCTCAATGTTCCTGATCAATTCTTGTCTCCATGCTCTAGTGTAGCTGAAGCCAGAAAATGAAAGCTCCGGCGCGCAAAGTGTATGGTAGTCGTTCCCATGGCATAGTCTCTAGGACTGTAGCACAGGATGGTTCACTTAAAAGACTTAGACTTAAAACATACAAAGTGGGTCACTGTGCCAAATGGATCTCAGAGCAGATCCAAATGGCAAGTATCAAATGTTGGGGCTTGCATGGGATTGCAATGGACCTTGAACTGTGCGGGATCCCGATGCTAAAACTTGGAATAGAAAGGGAAGGACCTGGGAAGGGCATACCCGCATGTTAGCGAGACACCCTTGGTGTCAAAATATCCATGAAGGCTGGCCCTGCTGCCTCACTGGTTTGAATTGGCCTTTGAAAAAATCTTACCTTCCAAAAGCTTCCTGATGTGGTTTGCTTGCCACAACAGCACCTACAGTAGTCAGGTGGTATCCTTTCCAGCCTGATAAACCATCACAGAGCCTGGAAAATCCACTGCAAATCCACTTCCTATGGCACGCACGGATTTGCAACTGGCCAGGAGCTCAGCCAATGGTCCTTGTGGACAAAGTTGTACAATTCACAATATGTTGCACAACCCTGCCATAGGGCCATGGCTCCTGATCTCCCCCCAGGCTGCATCTTTTCTAAGCGAAACGATCAGAGGCTGCTGGGCTCAAATGCCTCAGTGGCCTTCAGCTAAGGACTCCCAAGAAACTCTAAACACTAAACGCACCGCGAAGGCGATGCTACGAACTGGAAGAACTTTGAGAACTCTAAACATGCAAGGCCTTCAGGAATCTCAATGGCTAATTTTGGCATAATGTGTGTATATATATATTATGGCAGTTTTGGCGGCATATGGCCGATGATGTCTTCATAATGGCTATGCTACCTCTTGACTTCGTTCTTGTAAAACTCCTCACCTAAGTTCAAACTATTCCCGAAGTCATTTGCGCACCCTACGTGAACGGACAGATTCAAGAAAGTCCTTTTGACTCACAATACATTTGCGGCTCCTCAAGCTGTGGATGAAGGCATTGAAATCTTTCGATCCTTTGCTCAACACTTCTGAATTGCCAACGCAGATGAGGCCATACTTGGCCCTTGTAATGGCCACATTCAGCACCCGGAAGTTCTTCAGAATGCCTAGGCTTTCCTCGTACATCTCCTCAGCACCAAATGGCAGACTTGAAAACAAGCGTCCCAATCCCCACCTGCCCAGCGCCGGGCTCAGTGAACGGTTCGATCTGCAATCAAAGCTGCTGCATCCATATGTGTCTCTTCAACTCTATCCAACTTAGCAGGTTTAGCAGACTTAGAAAACTTAGCGGCATCCCCAAACGAACATGGCCCACCCTCGAATCCTGCAGCGCGACGGAGTCCCCGGGTGTCTTTGCCACGGAGGTGACTACGTCCTGGTCCGCGTCAATGCTCCTCACGAAGCTCACGATGATGTACTCCCGCTCCGAGCCCTGAAGAGCGTGCACGGTGCCCACCAAAATGGATGCAGACATAGAACCAATTTCTCGGTCTCGCTCCAACCTGCAAAAAAATGGAGTGCTTGAATGTAATTTGGTCGCTCAAAGACACTCTTTGCTTGGGCTGCTTGCCCAGTCATCAAACAATCTATAACACTGGACAAGATGGATTCAAATGGCACATTTTATGTTCTGTACAACCTGCCATGCTTGCCATACATTCACAGTCTTCTGAACCTTTTGATTGGAGCTCGGGCCAACCCCCTCCTATGACTTTGACTGATCACAGCGTTTCCAAAAGCTATGGGGATGCAATGACTTAAATCGAGATGCTGGAACTTATGCCGCTTGTGGGCACGCAAACTTAGCCCAACGAACATGAAGCTCAGCCAAAACAGGCCCTGCGCGCTATTGGAGCTATCACCCTGCCTGGCACGAATCTCATGCTGTTGGGCCTTGTAAGGAGTGATCACTGCGATGTCTCGTGGTGCACAGTTCTGTCGAAGCAGGGCTGCACATGCAGCGACCACAGCTCGAGCCTCTCCCTCGTTTTTCAAGGAAACCTGAAGGGGTGGCCAACGAAAACGAGTTTGTGCAAGAGCCGGGTTCTGCAGACAAGTGCTCAGAACAAATAAGGGACTGCTCGGCAAGCGACATGAACATAGGTGGTGTTGCACACCACTTCAGCCATTTCAAACATGTTTCATAAAAACAGCAAGTGCACCAACAAGTGGAGAGAAAATCAATCAACGTGACACTGCATCCAATTCTCGAGAACACAAAATGATTTTGCTGCTCACACCATCTTACGCTAGTAAGGTGAGGTGAGCCAGGTGAGGGTTCCATTCCTAGGCAACACGGCACCAGTGTAATGATTTCTGTATCTGCAACTCAAGTTGGTTTGCCAGTCATACACAGCCAGGCTCAAAAAAAATGGAGGATGTTAATCCAGATCGTTGAGCATCTGCAATTTACTATCTAACATATCTGTACATATCTATACATATCCAACATGTCGCCTTAGATATGAACCCCCAGAAAAGCCATGAAAGCCGCGGGTTCCAGGCCTTGCTCTCCATCAAGGCCGCATCACAGGCACGAGTTTCTGGCGAGACACCCATGGACTGCGGCGTTTGGCAATCGATGAAACGCCGATGATCCTGTCTCAAGAAATCTCAATAGCAGATATAGCAAGTGAGCATCAATTCATTGCTTGTTTCATTGGTGTGCGTGCGCATCTACAGTAAGTGCTCATGTCGGACTGTACATTGCTGAAGGAGTGATATACAATTCCCATCAATTTCCTGACATGAGTTTCTGCACAAATAATTTGGGCACCATCCCGGCCGGTTCCTTCTTCTGGGGCCAGATGCAATTCAGTTTCGGGCGATGTGTAAACGACACCTGATCTTCCAGCATCGACTCGTAAAACTGCGAGGAGGGAAAGCTCCGGATGGATGGATGCATGCGGTACCTCAGCCCATGACGGGTGCGAACACATCCCTGACATATCTGACATATCCCCTTCTGCTTGGGTTGAATATGAATGATATGATTTAATGTTTGACAAACTAAGTCCTTGGACCCGTTCGGACTCAGCAAACTGAATCAACTCTATATATGTTTGCAAGAAATGAACATTCACCAAAACCAGGTCTATGGTCTGTGGTATTTGCGGAATGCCCCAAAGGCTAACTTTCCAGATATATTTCCAGTAGAGGGTTGCTTCAGCTTGTTTACCACCACAAACTACCATGTACAAGAAACAATAATAACTGCAAGTTCCTCTCGCACATCACAGACAGCATTGTTTCATTCTTCTGCATCTAGGTTTGAAAATGTGTGAAATCAAAACGAGGTCATCTCCCCTTCATCCCGAACCATGGATCAACTGTCACCTTCGGGAAGCCTTCGGGGCCGATCACAGATCAATCGCCATGTGCACCCAAAGTTGCTGCATGTTGAGCATGGTGCTCGCTGATGAGCGCCGAGGGTTTTGGTAGATCCTCTCCAGAAATGGGGTTTCCAAAGCACTGACATAAGGGGCACATAAGTTGTTCTCTGTCACCACAGGGCCTGGCAGGGTCCAGCTTCTGGCAGCACAGAAGTACAAGGGTGTAAGGCAACCACTGGCTCACCCCAGGGAGAATTTTGATCCAGACTTCAAAGTTGTGAGGACATGGTATCTATACGGTATACGTTTTTATACTGCATCGAGACTTGAACAACCCAAAGACTCTTGAAGTATCAAGTCGAACCTGACCATCCTGAAATATCCTGAAATATCCTGAAATATCCTGAAATATCCTGAAATATCCTCAACCAGGCCTAGCTGTTTGTGATCTCCCACCACGATGACGCGGCAGCTGGCTGATGTGGCCGGTAGGACGATGTCCGGTTCGCTGGCCTGCGCCGCTTCATCGATGACGATGCTGTCAAAGCTCACTGGGCGAAGCACGTGAGGCGGGTTGCCCTTCACCAGAGCGTTGTGGAGATAAGCCTCAGCAAGTTATGCTGCAAGTTATGCTGCAATTATGCTCAATGATGACTCATCAAGTTACTCACCCAAGGCCGTTTGGATGACCTAACTGAATTATAGCCCATGCCCATGTGGATGTGGATGTGTGGTCCCTCAGCTATGCCCGATTTCCAACAAAATCTCACCAACTTGAGATTTTTCTTGCCGGAATGACTCAACAACTCCTCAATTTGGGAGAACAACTTCAGCTTCAGCTTGGAAGCTGTCGTACAGGTGCTGACAACGATTCGGCTATCGCGGAGGACTTGCACCTCTACCTCTTCGTAGCATCTGTCAAAGGCTTCCTGACTCTGCGATAGAAAAGACTTCACCTCAGCCAAACTTGCAAAATGATCTGATGCAAAGGACAAGTGTGCCACCACTGTTGTACCTTTCAATTCTCAACCATCTGCAGTTGGCTTCGCAAACCTAAGAACTCAGTTACAAATCAGGTCTATTGGCACAAGCCTCCGGAGACCATGGACAGCCTTCCTCAACCAAATCTAAAGCCTCTTGGACTTGATACAGAAAGTATCTAATTGTCAACTTAGTAATTAGCAATAAGATGCACACTAGTCATTAGTCAATATAAGTCCAAGCTATGCACAGAATTGTTGCAAACAAAATCGGAAGATTTTGCACCAAAGGTAGCCATTTTCACCAATATCTTTCCGGCCTTGGGCGATTCGCTCGCCTTCCAGTGCAGTGCATGCTCTTCGAGGTGTGGCTGAATCCAAAAGCTGCGCTCGCAGTTTGTCGTCCTCAGATTCCACAAGTCATGGCCTGTTACTCATAATATATATGTATATATATTATTATATATATATATACATACCTACATACAAACATTGCATTACGTTACGTTGCGTTACATTACGTTACGTTACGTTACATTACATTGCATTACATACAGACATACATACGTACTTATATGATCATATATGTACGTAATTTTAATTATATGTACAATGTATATGTCATTTTGCATGCTAACATTTGCCCTGCCTGAAACTTCATGAAACTTATGCTTTTCCTGAATAAGAAAATGTTCCAAGCAAAGTCAAAGGATCCCACCCTTGTACATGCTTCCATGATATCTTTCAATGAACCTGGAATATACTCTGGTCACGTAGTGGGGCGGTGTACCGGCACTCAGCAATCGATCTAGAATGTGGTCCGCTGCGTTGTTGGATGGCGCGCAGACCAAGATTCGGCCTTCCCCTCAGCTAGAATAGGTTGACTTTGCACATTGACACAATTCACAACCCAACAAGCTACCTGGAGCAGCTACCTGGTGATCCAAATACATGAAACTCATGAAACTGACTCTCATGTTAAACAGAAGGTATTATTTTTTCATGATTTTTCATGTTTCGTCTGTTTTTTATCCCAATCTGCCTCGCTTCCGCTGTCTTGAGGCGGACACAAGAGCTGCCACACACTGCACCAGGAAGGACGTCTTGCCAGTCCCTGGCAGTCCTTGAACCATCGAGAAGGCCCGCTGCAAGCCTCGTTGAACCGCCAGCTCTTGCCTCTCGTTCATGTCGTTGCTGCAGGCCGAGTGCATGGCAGACTTCACCTGGTGACCAGAGCTAAGATAGGCACATGTTGGCACAGGATGACAGAACTCTCAAGTAGCATAGACGGCATAGACTGTCTAAAGATGTTTGAACCATCCACATCCATCCACTACAATCAGTACAATCCACGACAGGAACAAGTTAGAAGTTGTTGTTCATGAAAAATGTCGGAGGGCACGCTTTTATTCTTTTTTTGTATGCAGAATATTGCAGAATTATGCACGAACAACTCGTGTATCTGCACCTCTTCGATGCTAACCAATGGCCGCATCTCCATCTCCCTTTTCACCTCCTTGGAGCTTCTGGGGATGGTCAAGCGCATGCCCCGCAATGGGGATCTTTGCATGTCTTCAAGCAGTTGGATGCTTTTCTTCTCATTGGGATGAATCATAATGAAGTGCAGACTCCATGTGGAGGTACCATCCAAGCTGAAGTCCTGCCGTTGCCATGCCAGCTCAGCGATTTTTGACAACTCCACCTCCACAATAAAACCCTTCTTGTCATCTTCCCGTGTCTGTTTTGCCGCTTTGATCTGCAGCAGGGTACCCTGCAATCTGGCACAGCGGCTTCCACGATCCAAGCTCAAGACTGCCAAATCTCCTTCACAAACCCATCGGTACTCAGAGAGCTTCACATCAATGTGGCATTCAAAGTGCCAAGCGTCGCTGGTGCGAAACCATTTCAAGTCGTTTGCTGCAGTGGCTGGGGTGTACGCATCACTGGACACAGCCGCAGCGTGGACCTAACAGGGTTGCATGTTTGAGTGCTTGGCCAGGGGTATGAATCGGTAAGAAAAGCTAGCCTGGCTTTCACTGATAACTGGTCATTGATGCTGCTGCCATTTGCCTGGAAGTCTATACTAGAGTACTAAAGGAAATTGAAAGAGAACTCGTCTGTCTTTATGGGAACAGCCGCTGATTCAAACCGATTACACCTGGCTCTACCCGCTGCACCTGGCACATTTTGATGCGCGACCACACCTGTGGTGACAAGGCAAGGAGTCCAAAATGGGCCAGTCCTGCTTTGTTTGAAATTCATGGCTTGGTGTATTGTGACAAAATGACGCAAAATCATGCAAAATCGACAACCACTACACTCACTACACTCACTACACTCACTACACTCACTACACTCACTACACTCACTACACTCACTACACTCACTACACTCACTGCCCCACCTTTGCATAGGTCTCCACCTTGCGATCCAGCAGGTGCCAATCGGCGAGGTCCGGCCATGAGGAGAAAGATTCTGGAAAACTCTTGAGGCCCGTGAGAAAAGTGAAGTCCTACAATCCAGAACGATGATTCGTTATAAGTAAGTGCGACTGAAAGCTAGAGCTACATAATGGCGGCTCAGTTTGCAAGAGGATTGGTGTGAAGACAGTTGCTTTTGCGATTTGACTGTTGAAAGTCTCTACAAAACATACAATGTACCATCATGTATCCATGGAGTGAAATGCGGGCCACAGTCGGCCGTCCTTCTCCCCATGAAATCTGATTTCCCAAACCACGATGGAGTTGGAGCTGGCATGGTGCGGGATGGGCTGCGAGTAGTTGCGAGAGATCACACAAGTCATGGGCTGGGTGGACCACGAATGAATGCGCAAGGTGTCGACGTGATCCCTGTCAGGATTTGACATCAAGAACACCAAATCAAAAGTTCAGTTGGGAAGGTGCAAAGGGATCATAGATCCTGAATTGTCCACAGTTGTTCAACCAGGGTTTGTTGACTCTGCCTGCCATTTTGCATGGTGAGCTTTAGCGAATGGGTGGCGGCATCATACTCCGAGACACAGGTTGAACTACACAAAGAGCTCACTGGCACTGGCAAGTCCTGGGACACATGGGACACTTGAGTGATGCTCAGATGTTCGGCAGGCTTATCCTACCCCACTGCTTCCCTATTCTGCGTGCTAAGGCTCCAAAGTGTGAGTCGTTTCGGAGGGTACCAAGATATGGATGTACTTTGGGCTGACCCCTCCAATCACTGCATCCAAGACCTGCTGGCCACTCCCAGACAGCTCTCGCATCCTGCAGTGCTCCACTTGGTCCCAAGATGTCCCAAGGTTCACAGATCCGATCATCCATGTTCTTCTTTTTTAACAAATGTCCAAGAACCTGTTTTGTGCTCTTGAGACATGCAGATAGTAGGTCTTATGTATTCTGTGCTGTTTAAACATCTATCTTGATGTCTTAGCCGCTTAGCCTATTTTATGAACAGAAACATCGCCAACCGCCAGTTTCACTGTTTTATTGTCAATGTGCCCACGCACCCCTATGCCCACACTCGATGTATGGGGAGCATGTCATACGAGGCGTGCCCAATGTGGCTGAATGTCATTGAAATGCGGATCATTTATGCGGATCATTTTCCTTTCAAAGTGGTGAATGCGTGGATCAATCGGAGATTGTGAGAACAAATTTTGCTTCAGTGGAACTGTCCGCTCAAATCAGTGTTCATGAGGATCAGGGTCTGAGCCTCACTAGTATCATACCTCACCCGCTTCAGCTATGAGGTTGTAATGTTAGACGTAATGTTACTACCCAAAAAGGAAACCTCACGTTGTAGGTCTTTGTATTGGGAGCTGTCATGTCAGGACTATACTTGCTCCAAGAATCTTGGAGATAGTCCGAAAGATGTGCAGCCCAAAGCTTTCTGCTGCCATCCTGCAATTGGTCCGAGCAATGGCCTCGTCCAAGTCCCTCTGAGAGAGCAACAGGTGAGGATAAGAAACTCTACATCCAAGCTGACACTTGAAAGCTCTCATGCCCAGGATGTCAATGTAGCGATTCAAAGGCGATGTAACCTGAGTTTTGCGGTTGGTGAAACCACACATTCCCATGCAATATAGCCACAAATGTAGATGAATTGCGAAGTTCCCAAAGTTTCTATGCATTGAAATCACAGACTGAGCATGTCGCATGAAATCGCGGCTCCGGATGCCACCAGTCGCCTTGGTCTCTGGAATTTTCGCTGCACATTTGGACCACGTCATAGTAAGGCGCTGGAAGGGCAGCATGCAAACGCCGAAGAAAGGAAGCGCGGCAAGCATGCCTCTGCGCATTTGTGAGCCCAGGTTGCTGCAAGATTTCTTCCAGCGATCGCATGGCATCCTCAGTGGAAACGAAGCCTGTTGGAACACTGGTGGTGGGTGGTCTTAAAGCCTTACAAAGACTCATGGCATCCAAATCCATCCAAATCCATCCAAATCCTCTGTGCCGAGCATCAGCTATCTGGATCTCCTTGTGTTGTTCGCTCTGATTAAGGCGAAGCAAGCCTGCGAACACCTTCTTTGTGCTGGGGCCGGCACGGCCGTGAACATATCTCACTGTCAGTTGTGGATTGGGGTCCTTCAAGAGTTGGTTCCATGCAGGTGTGCCCAAAGTCGCTCCAACAAATTGATCGACCACAAACATACAGCCCTGCACCAGCTGCTCTGCCGCCAAAAGTGGGCCTGGAATAGCAAGGGCCTCATCTGCGCGTGCCAGAACAGGATCGGATGAGATGCAGTATGGAACTCATAGAACTGGAGACGAATCATTCTGATTTATGATATACAGATACACAGATATACATCAAACTGGTTCAACTTCAGCCCAATTGACCCAACAGAAACTAAGCAATGTAGCTGCAATTTGAAACGACTTTAATACTGCCCCACCCCAGCCCGATAGCAAGTGGATTTCTCCCTTTTTCCTCGCTGGTACTTTTTTCAGCACGCGGGAATGCACGTGCGTCATTTCAGCCTCCTTTTCCTAGCGTAGAACCATTAAGAACGCAGAGCCCACTTTAGAATTGGAAGCGCAAAGCACTCCAGAATCTCTTTGTTAGTTTATTGCTGCAAAAGCAGAAACATAACTCGCTTTCCCTATAGAACCAGCCCACAAGAAAAAGTAAATTGGCTCAACTCAGAACTTTGAAGGCTTGGCTTTGCAACGTCATTTAGTAATGATCCAATCAAACTGCCCGTGGCTCCCAGAACTTCAGACCCTGAAACCCCCAGAACCTGCCACACGCCATTCTGGAAACGTTCCCCTGAAACCTTCGCCTGAAACCTTCTGGAACAATTGCATATCTGTGCATCGGTTAGGAGTCAGGAGTGTTGCTTTCTGTCCGACCCACCAATAACTCGGGAGTTGTTTTTCAATCTTTGCCCACGGAATCTTTTGCCACTGAAAGTGGTACGGCAAAGATGAAGCATCACTCAAATTGTCCAAAGGTAGAGCTCATTCCCAACAGCAACGCTTGTTCCCCACAGCAGTCACTGTTGGGTTTCAATCCCTGGGTCTGGGAGTGGTGCACCATTTTGTGGCGGCTCTGAAAACCGGAACGAAACCGGAACCCTGGAACCCTAGAACCTGCTGTTGGGTTGCAAAGCTGGGTTGTTTCAGAAGATTGTGTCGCCAGTGCTTAGTACAACTTCAACAGCTGGGGCCTTCCACAACCTTCCAACATGTGGAACCCTCACCTGGAACAGCCCAGAGTCCAACAAGCCCGCACCGTTACCCGCATGCAATTATAGCTTTGGCATCAAAAGTATCTGCCAGAGTTTCGGAGAAACGAGAAAAGTCGGAGGATCTCAATATCTCAATAAGTCCTTCAAAGATACATCCTGATATTGTGATCATCTGTGGTGAATCTCCAACACACAGGCAAGCATCGACCAGTAAGTGTGTCCAGGTAGATCCGCTTCCTCTTGCAATGTCACCTCTTGGAGATTGGACCACAAGGCCACTTAGGTGTCGGAGCATTTGACCAACAGCACCTCCCCCCTCAGAAAGAATCAGGCTTCCAGCCTGCCGCAGGCACCGGATTACATTTCGATCCAGTTTGGACTCATTCCACGGAAGAACGAAATTCCGAACTACAGAATGCTACAAAAAAAATGGATTTACAGAACATACTACTGTGCTTGAATAGCACCTGGAATCTCTCTCTGTGTATCACACTCGCCCCATACTGGCCTCGTGCGGGGTTAGAATGTAGTGGCAACGGACGGTCATTTCACGCACCAGCGACACATTGAGCTTGCCATGAGTAGCCTGGATCATACGGACTGTGTGGGACGAAATTTACATCAGATGATCATCATGTACATTGAATGTACATCCTTAAAAGAACAACTGTCTTCAAAAACAGCCGTGGCTTTCCGCCTGGATGGTAAAGGTCACCGCGGGCCTTTCCACTCCGGCCTTGAACGTCAGCTCTTCCTACGGCTGGACAATGCTGGACAGCCATATCAGACTTCAAAATGTCGGAATGTTCAAGCCCTGTTTTATGCAAATTTCGGGGCCTCAATGTTGGGCGGGAACAAGGGTAAGTTCGCATCCAAAGGCTTGTCGAAATGATCCAGAAACCACACTCCCACTGACCGCTGCCGCAGTAGGTTTTCTAGCTTGTCCATCCCCAAGACGTTCAGATATGCCTGATCGGCAAAAGTCTAAGACAGTCCGCCCGCTGAATCAGGAATAGTTTGGAGCAAACTCCAGCAAAAAACGAGCGTATGCTGCAATAGTAAGCTTGTCTTCAGAAAGAAAACAAATGACCCTCAGCTGACTGCTGTCCTTTCTCATCCAACTGTCTTTGCAACGAATTCTAATCGGGAATACGGGTGTTTCACTGGCTCGTTATGCAACTGTTTCGTCTGCCATGGCATGCAGAGCATGTTTTTGGCAAAAATGGTGCCAAAAGACACGGACACATAATGACACATATGATATGATATTCTGTAGGAGCCTTCCCTGAGTAAGATCTTCCGGTCATCTGCCGGCCTGCTGAAAAATGTTTGACCTTCAATTACTCAAAGGTCTGTTGACAACAGTAAGACAAATAGAAACTGGAAACATCCGGAAACTAATCAAAGGCAGGAGGCATTCACATCCAGCACATGCACGTAAAACTCAGTTGGGCCGCAAGACATCACCATGCCGATGGGAAGACCTGGATGTTGAATGCCCACCGTCAGACCATTGTTTTGGAACATTCTCCTGCGATCAGACCGTGTCTTTGGATCTTGTGGCATTCACCAAACAACTGTGATGTTGTTACAACATGTTACAACCCCCCCTGTTCAGACAGAACTGGACAACATATCATGTCCGTTTAGAGCTTGGTTTGAATGGAAGAAACCAGCTACAAAAGCACACAGAAGACCAGGCCAATCACCAGACCTCTTGCCAATTGTTGCAATGGAGCCAGATGTTTTGATCCGAATTCAGAAATGGCCACAGTCGCAGAAAGACCACAGATGTTTTCTCAAAATCTGTTCCTTGCTGGCTGTCGGAAGTCTGTCACTGCAAGTTCACTTCTCGGATCACCACGCGTCCAGTCACAGAAATTCAGAGAGATCCTTGGCGCAGAAAATTAGGCTGGAGTTGTTGCACCAGCCAACCCATTGGTTTAAATCGACCACCACTGGGCTTTTGGGCTTTTGCTAGTTCCACATCTTGTGACATCCGTGCAGTCATCCATGTTCACCTTTTTACAATGAAAACATGGAAGCCAATGCAGGCAAGAATCTGGACTGGCTCGAGAATGGACATGTCTGATTGGCGCGAGCCCATCTTCAAGCCTTCCAAATACTGCCCTCTCGGGGGCCGATCGCCACTCCAATCATGCACTTCAACCTCTCAGTTTGTCGAGGCAGCACAAATCCATGAAAACTGCCCGACACACATGGCACCAAGGAACGTTCTCAACAAACAAGTTTCGGAGTGGGGTGAAATGTGAGTCTTGACGTTTTGAGTTGCAAACCGATGGCCCGCCACACACCCGCCTCAGTTTTCTTGATGCAAAACCAGAAAGCTTGTTGCCTGGCACATCCGAGCCGCAACGTGCAAATCATGGCCGCTTGGCAATCCCGCAGCCGTGTTCCATGGCACGTGGATGGCTGGAAAAGTGCCATTGATTGGCTTGAACGCCACCTTGGGCTAGGTTCGGAAGGATACGTCCCGGTCCTCTCCGTCTCCACCAAATATTTCGTTCATCGACCAAAAGCCAAAATATTAGGACCAGTAGCAACTGTTCATTTCTAGCCAAAGGAAAAGTAACTTTGAAATCCAAGCCAGAGCCACGCAGTTCGGATTGTTCACAACTTTCTGCCTCACGCACACGAAGAGCTTCTGCCTGGGGACACCAAATTCCAGCGCGTGAACGATGCGTCCAAAGAGTTCCATCCTGGCACCATCGGGCACTTCGAACATCCAACATGGACACTTCGAACAATCTTCGAACACTTTGAAAAACTGGATCTAAGGCACCATCCATCACCATCCATCACCATCCATCACCATTCTCCACCGATCTAAGGCCACAGTTTTACAATCGCTTAAAAGCAACGTGAGGCTGCGCTTGTTAGTGCTGCTGGTGCCATATTATCTGCGGTCTGTGTCGTGGTCGCAGAGGGTGTTGCTACAGTTGGATGTATTGCTGTGCTTGTTGGTATCCAGACTTGTTGGGGTCATGATTCCAATCCCAATTGTCGAAAATTATCTGCTCTGTGCGACAACACTTCGAATCCTATTTCTTTTTTGGTATCTTTTTATGTCTGCAATGCTTCCAATACCATTGGTGCGCATGTTTCTAATCATCTTCTGTGGACTTGCGTGATTCTAATCACTTTCTAGTGACTAGTGATCTCTGATAATAGACTATACTTCGAAGAGGCCAAAAAAAAAAAACAAGTATACCCAGTCATGCGCGGTTGCTTGCACTTACAACTGCAAGAGAAGGACAAGCAGCTGCAGTCAGTCCTTTTCACATCCAATGGTCGTCGGCCAGATTGTTGGTGATTGCGCCCCCAAATGCTGGCCTCAGCTCTGTTTCTTTCGAGGTCAAGTGGCAGTTCAAGTGAACTCTCTGCAGCTCACAGAGCTAAGGTTGTGACATCCAAGATCCGGACATAGCATCTGTCGAAGTTCCAAGTGGGACCGCGGTTTTTGCCACACCAAATCTTCACTTTGCAGCCATGCAGCTCTGCAGGGCCACGATGAACAATGACCTCTCCAGAACCTGAGGATCAGGATGCAGGTCCAACCCGGGTCCAACCCATTGGGCCCTCAACAGATCATGATGAGGCAAGCAAAATGGCAACGATGGCAACACTCTTGATGCATCTTACAACATCCATGTGCACAGATGCACCAATTCCATATAAAAGGATGACATGTTGAATGACCGTACACTATGTCACTGTGAACATGCATTTGTACATTACACAGAAATGATGGATATGGCGATGCTCACAAACATTGGCTGTCTCAATTGGTGGACTTCTGCTTCGGAAACTATGCTTTCGAAACTATGCTTCGGCAACTATGATTCGGAAACTCTGCTTCGACAGCTATGCTTCGGCAACCAAGCACGGTAAACTATGCTTCGGTAAGCATGCTTCTGAAACCATGCTTCCGAAACTATGTCTGGGCAACCATGTTTTGGCGACTAAGAAAAGGAAACTATGCTATCGGAAATGAAGGAAGTTATCGACAACCAGGAAAACAAATCAAACTACATAGAAAATGAATGTCACACCCCATGCTCAACCACTACTATTGCATGTAGGGCTTTGGGGGGAAGTTTTAAAAATGACTTGGATCAGAACTCTTGGAAGGACCAGGCTGTAAAGTGAGGACTACTATTGCTTGTAGGGCTTTGGGGGGGAGGGTTTTTGAAATAACTTTGAATCGTGACAAGAACTCTTGGAAGGACAAAGATGAGAATTGAGGAATGCTATTGCATGTAGGGCTTTGGGTGGGGGAGGTTTAAAAAATGACTTGGAATCGTGATCAGAACTCTTGGAAGGACCAGGCTGTGAATTGAGAACTTTGAGTCGCGGTTGCTGAAGCGAAAACAGTGTTGGTTGCTGAGCTGTAGTTGCTGAGCCGTGGTTGCTGAATCGAAACAGGGGTTGCTGAGGCGTAGTTGCTGAGACGGTCAATAGACCCCTCAGACATTGAGAGCTTGCATGTCAAAAAAGTGTGAGAGGCTTGCTTGAACATGGATTGTGTCAACTTGTTTCTGCAGTTGTTTATCTCATAACTTCTTGGTTATCCACTATTGGACTATGTTGAATCCTCTGCCAGGCCACATTTCGAGGAGTCTCTACCGCTGGACCGAAAGGTCCCAAAGACAACAAGGCCTGTGAGCTGCCCCAAGTTGTCCAAGACAGTGGGCCTCGCGGAAAAGCCACGGGGGGTAGCCTCAATTTATGGCCAGTTTCATGATGAACCTCGATCAACCAATGGATTTGAGGTTAATAAATGCATTTAATCCCATTTAGCCTAAATCATTTAGCTGTTCAATCTGCGGCTAGATCTACAGTTTCCTGCATTCTACATTGTGAAGCCTGAAGTTCCTTATTCTCTTCTCACAAAGATATTACTTGGGGGAACAGAACCTCGGACAGCTTACGTTGGGGACTCAGTAGCCTGCTGCTTTCCCTATTCTCATTTAGTGTTTGTCTGGTACTTGAGTCTGCTGCACATCCATGTTAAAACTCACTCGCCACAATCGAGAGTCTGTCTTGCCAACCGGTCTTCCCAGTCATTGGGTGCAGCAGCGCAGGATGACTCCATGTCATTCGATGGTGGGATCGAGAGCTCTGAGTCAAATGCACTGTCACTGTCACTGGCCTCACCAGGGCCTGAGACTCCGTTCAGGTCTTCCAACAGCCCTTCCAAGCGTGGTGACTGAGTGAATTGCTGACCTCTGCAGGGTTGAAGTGCTACACTTGTAGGACTAAGATCATTTTGTGGGTTCTGGTTTCCATCCCTCAATCCATCCATCTCCAAAACTTAAGACAAGCCCTTCAATGGAGTTTGGCATCTTCGTCTCAAACTGGATTTCCAAAGAAATCAACAACTTGCGAACGCGGCACCTGACCAACCGTGCTTCTCTAGAACACCGCGAAGAGCTTCAGTTTCAACTGCAGCAAGCATTTCTTCGAGCCTTGGCTGCCACGGCGCAGCCTTCGCAGCCTTCGCAGCCTTTGCTTGTCCCAAGGCTTCTTGCGTCGCTTGGAGAGCCTGGTCGAAGGCTTCAGCCTCCGAGTCAAGCTCATGCCATGGCAAAGCATTTGTGCCGGCATACATTCCGTCACCATCTCTCAGCTGTGGGACTGAAATGATTTCCTGCGTGCCGGGAAGTTCTCCTCCAGAAGACTGATTTGCAATTGCACCAGGGCCGTGCTCCACAGTCTGACACCCCATTGCTGGGAGACGCGGTCGCCATTTCTGGTGTTCGCAACTTTGAGAGTGCTGATCCGTGGGTAGTACAGGCGCATGTAACATCAGACACTTGCTGCAAAGCCTGTCTGCACCCACCCACTCAGTATGATCTGATGCGCGCCCGTTGTAGCGAACATACACGGGCGCTCGGGCTCTCTCCTTCTCATCCGAGACTTGCAAGACCGTACAAGCAAAGGACTTGCTGGACTTGCTGCTGGCCGAATCTTCTAAGACACTCACTTCCGTGCCTGGTTTGATGTTGGAAAAGTCAGGCACTTTCAGGCGATCCAGCGGAAACCAATCTACTTGGCACTGACTCTGGCCAGTTTTGTCTCTGGAACTGTAAAGCACTGCCACACCTCCACGGCTCGAAACTTTCAGGACTTCTCCAGTCATCGTTGAGCCGCTGCCCTGCACACAGACCACCATGCTCTCTTTCAGCTCTGCATGCCCTGCCAGAAGCGGTGTACAGTTATTTCTTGCATTTCTTGCCTCAAGGGCTTTGCCACCGGGGCGAGCGGCATGCGCAACGGCAGCTGGCGCTGTCTGCTGTGGCTGATGTTCTGGACTTTCAGAGTGCTGACCCATGGGTAGCTTGGGATCGTGTAACATCAGTGACTTCTCTGGCAAAACCCCCGCAGGATGATCAGATGCACAGCCATCCAGACATTTGCGAGGGGCCCCTGGTAGACTTCCCTGCATGTCCTGTTTCATCTTGCAAGAGTCAGGAAGGTTATCCCCTTGAACGCGAGAGAATCCCGGAACATCTCCAGACATCATCCTTGAGCAACTGCCTTCCACACCACCCACCGTGCCATCAGTCTGCTCTGCATGTTCAGCAAAAGAGCCATTTCTTGTCTCATAATGTTTGTATTTGCAACTTCTCTTCATACCAGATTGCAATTCCGGGATATCGTGATGCAAGAAAAGTCTCTTCCCAACGGAGTGGTGCCCTTTCAGCGAGCACTTTCCAGCTAACCACAGGCAGCACACGGACTTTGATCCTGTGCTGCCATCCTTCGATTCTGGCGCTGATTCATCAGATCCGGCAGAACCAGCTGCAGCAGGCTCTGTCTGTCTTTCAGGATCTAGATCCAAAGTCCCCAAATGCAAAGCATGTACCACGCTGGTCCTCAAAAGTTCGCTTCTCCGAGGATTTTGAAAGTTTGACTTGTTGACCTGGTTGACCTGGTTGACCTGTTCTTGATGGATTTCTGTCTTTCTGTGAGAGCCGTGTCCAGGAATATCAGCTGTGGAATCGCACCATTCTTGCGGAGTGCGAAAGAGAGGCTTACCCATGTGCCAGGCTTCAGGACATTTCCCATGCAGTTGCATCGCAAGTCCATCCACCAGAGTATCCTTGTTTGCAAACTGACTGGTGACCTCAGAGTCCTGTGCGTTATACAGAAGACATGGTGCCAGCACAGTTCGATCTCTCCAAATGCCTTGAAGGGCACATAGGGCAAGACCGCGGCGATGTCCTCTCACAATGTGCAGCCCTCGGTCATCCACTACGACCTGAAGTGGTTGAACATCCTCTGGACGTTGTCTACCACTTAACATATCATGAATGAGCTCATAGACAGAAGCATCCTGCAACACAAACAGGTGACACAGCCATCCCAGTCACAGTGTTTGTCATCCAATCAACCGCACTAAAAGCACATGAAGTACTGTTTCTTCAGAACCAAGGCAGCAGCTCTGTTGCCAACAAGGAAACAAACCTTGAAGTAAACCATCCTGTCAATGGTTCCTCAGCTCAGTTTAAGTCTACCAAAACTCAAACCAACACATGCCAGGAGGAAAACAAAAGCGATTTGTGTCCTTGTGTTTTCCCGATGTAAATGTCATCTGCGAGTGCACCTTCCCTTGGATCGAGCGCAGGCACCAAATTGGTATCAACACCGAGAAGCCACTGCGAATGCTTCGTGGATCCAGCCTGCAGCGGCTCACCAATGAAAAATTGATTCACAAAAAAAACTATGGGCCAGCCCAAAAACCCTCTTTGCCAGAAAGTACTACTTTACACTTTACAAGGATTTGATTTCTCGTGGAAAGTAACGAAAATGTGGATCACACACACAAATTGTCACACAAATTTTGGAAAAAACAATGTTGATTGTCGTTAGAAACGACAGCGGGGCAGGGACACCGGCGAGAAAAACAACAAAAGTATTGGAGTTTTGATGGTTTCACGGTCCAAGATGCTGAAATGTCATGACACCTTTCGCGCACGGTATCAAATGGAGCACCGAAGATTCGATTGATGTCATGGATGCCTGAGTTTGTCTTGGAGGTGTTCGACCTGCTGCCGGTTCGGAAAACTTCAGCATCTTCAGCTTTGCATGTCTTTGCAGGATTACCCGAAGATGAACTTTCTTTACTACACCTTGCAGATCTTGTTCGAGATCTTTGCTGTCCTGAGTTGGCCATGACACTTTACAAAAAGAGATGGACATTGAGTTGGATCCAAGGCGTGCAAACTGCATCAAATGGTCACAAATTTACATATACGTTCAACAAACCAGTGGTTTGTTTCCATCAAGAATTGTAGATTGTACCCAAGTTCTTCGAACACTGGCATGTAAACCTCCAAGTCTGCGTGGATGTCTCGCAGCCATTCTCGGATGGAATGGTTCGATGAATGAACCGCCATGCAGATTGATACTGATTTGTCAAAATTACTAAGCCAAAAAAAATGGTAGCTGCGTTTGCTTTCATAAATGAAAAATGTTATTGAAAAGTCCCTAAAAGAGGTGTCATAGGATCCTCATGACTTGTTTTCTTGGATATTTGTACTTTCGGCCCCCTTGAATCTCTAGCGTCTGCATCTTTGGCAGCTAGAGCCAATATTGTTACGGTCGATTTTTTTTCAGAAACGAACATTGATAATCTCTATTTGAATGACTAGCGACCAGCACTGATTTCAGTATATGTTGATCAAACAAAAGCCACAAAAATTCCAAAACCATGCATTTACTTCAATGTTATGCCCTGCATTTCAATTTTCATTACCAATTACCATTAAGATGTTTTTTTGAAAATAAAATCGGCAAACACAACATAGTTGTTGATTCAAAATTGCAATAAATAAAACAAGACTTCGTCGGAATGATATTTTGTACGCATACAATGAAAAAAATGGGAATCGACAAACTGAAAAATGTCAACAACCAAACCTTCATGATAATTTCTTTGGCACCGTTGAACGATGCAATCACATACATCTATTGCATTTCTGCAAACACTTTATTTGAAGGATGAATTTATCCGCCTGGTGGCAAATGCAAAAACCACCAATCAAACAACGGCGATCGGGAACCCAGGCACTTACCAGGATTGGAATCAATGATCTTTGAACCAAAAATTAGGTGCACTGTTGTACACGTGATGCGTGAACCGGATACGATCAAAAGAATCAAAACCATGAATCAGTTTGTCACAAACGTTTCCATGGCGAGAATGTTATGGTTGGGGCGCGGTTCTAAGCGAATGAAAATCAAAATAACCGTCAATTTGGGATGCATTTTTGCCAACGAAATCAGATTGACAAAAAGAAAAAAAAATCCTGGAAATGTCCAGGTTTTGAATTTGGCGTTCTTTTTATGGCGTTTTTTGGTCAATCTGGGCAAGTTTCCCTGCTATTTGTTGCATTTTGGAACTAAAATCTATCATCTGCATATTTCATCGAATTTTCCCTGGTTTTCATTCGTTTTTCCATATTTTTGGCCGATGTCTCGATTGCCTTTGCGAATAGCATGGATCCCATAGAGATGTTTCAATTTTTCAAACCGCTGCATCCAACAACAGCCCTTTTCGATGCCTTCAAGCAGAAGGAAAAAACTGGCAACAAACCAGTTGGTGAAGTTTGGGTTTTTTTTTCGTGGTTGAAAGTTCAAGGGGGTTGTTTTGGGGATTTGGTTGGAAAGTTTCTGGACTGGTTTTGTTTTCAGGGCGATCTTGAAATCCATAGGTTGGGAGCCCAAGCAATAGACCCAAAAAACAACTTCAACCAACACCCCAAAACGTCCATGGAGCCGATGGATTGGCGCCGTCGAGGCATGGCGGCTGGTTCACCGGCGGCTGATGAAAGCACGGTTGGTGCTGCAGCTGTGGTGAGCAATGCAGCTGTGGTGAGCGACGCAGCTGTGGTGAGCGGCGCTGCTGGGGCGAGCACTGCTGTGGCGTGCGCTGCAGATGGCGCTGATGGCAGCCGAGCTGCTGAGGAGCGAGAGGAGAAGACTGAGCTGGCAATAGTTGGCCAGGAACTTGTTCCAATGGATGTCAAACAAAGGGTTAGTAGCCTAGAAGATGACTCTCCAGAGAAAGAGGCAAATCCAGAGAGGTTTCAAACTCCAGGTGGACAAAAACCACTAGGAACACCTGACCAGCTGCAACTCAACACGATGTCTTTGAAAACGAATGAAGATAGCGAGAAGAAAGATGAATATGATGGAAAGGGTCACTTCAAGGTGAACATTCATTACATTAATAAATTATATCACATACAGGTTGACATAATTTTCAAACGCGATTTACTAAAAACCGCTACAAACGTTCGAAGTTAAAACACGCCAAAAAACGCAAAACCAAATAATGGTTTCAGTCCCCTTCCCCCACAGTTTCAGCTCGAATTTATTAATGGTTTCTTTTGTCATTGCTGGATATATTGAAACGCGATGGATCTGTGCATCCAGGGGCTGTTGCCACAAATGTCAATGGCATTTGATACCCCCCATGTGTCGAACATGGAGAGAAATAGGAACGAATTCATTGAATTCGAAAGCCAATTCAAAATCGCCAGAATGAATTGTATAGGATGGACAAAGAATCGCCATCATGCTGTATAACGTTGAGAAATCACGCGAGTTCAGAAAGTCTTCAATCGGTTGCTCCATGCCAAATCCAGTTGCCGGTAATCCCAGAGTCAAAGTCGAAATGGTGGAAAGCAAAAGTCAGATTGACAAATCGCCAAATGCAGGACACTTCCAAATCCAGTACAGAAACTTCGAAATCCCAGTGTCTATAAATACACTGAGAGACAACATTAAACATTCATCTGCATGAAGCTGAAACAGGTGTGGAGGGGGGTTTTAAATTGGAAAAACAACTAAGTTAAATGTAATGAATGCCACCTTGAGCCAAAATGTAGTAGTTATTTCATATAATGAAGTACCCCCTACAAACATCACTGAACAAGTACAGTTAAAGTTGTCAAGTGTTCCAAATGGGCCGCCTGTCTCCTTTGGTCCAGCCAGTGGGATGTCAGCTCCTTTGTTCACTCCTGAACAGACAGCTCAAGCAACTGATCCCCGGAGTTCATCATCGCTTTTGCCTTTGACGAAGGAATCAAATGTTGGAGGTGATGTGTCCCTGCAAATGGAGCGGCAGCAATGCGGACCTTTTCCACTTTGAACCACAGGCCTAGTAATGCAATGTGATTTCACATACAAGGTCCAAGAGTTCTGTCTATGACTGCAGTCTCGTTTTGTGCGTTTCATCCTTGTGCAGTGGCCATGACATGTCCATGAGTGCTGTCTGAAATGTTTCCATTCCTCCTTGCCAATGGGCAAAAGAGCTTTGACCTTTGGCACTCCAAACATTTTCCACCGCCAATGCACAGAATCTGTTGCGCACAACTGCAGCCACATTGTATACATGTTGACGTTGTTGAGGATTGAACTCTGAATGATTACTGTACCCTCCGAGCATCACCAAGCCGTAGTGAACTCCCTCCAATTGATCCGAAAGCATCTCTTGGTTTCCTTCGAGTTCATGTAATGCCCTTCGAAGGATGTTGACCAAATCGTTGAGGTCATCATGTCTCTTTTTCAAAGTTTCATATTGATTCTGAACTTGATTGTATGCGCTATCCAGGATTGCATGTTGGGTATAGAGATTTCATAGCTCTCAAAGGCGTCACGTGCTCTTCGATACGTGTTCCAAAGAAAAGCACGCAAAACTGTCAAACAAATGAATCCAAAAATCATCCACCATGAAAATCCATCGCTCTGCTGAATTGCGTCATTGGGCTCCTTAAGACAATGTTCTCGCATGCCAGAAAAATCATCGTCATCCAGCACTGTCACCGCGTCAACACCTCGTGATGAAGTGCCTGACTCAAGGCCTGCCACCAGCAGAATGCGTGCAATGGACTTTGCAAGTTTCTCCAGAATGCCTGTTGCATTGTTGAGCATGCTCCTCCTGCCCAACCAGTTTTGATCCATCACCATGCGCAACGTTCAGCTCATGTAGCAAAAGTTTGATGCGCTGTCCTCACAAGGACTTAGTTCCCAGATCTGCCAGATTCCAAAGTGTAGGGATCTGGATGAGCACAATTTTTCCTTCCATGACCCACTGCTGCACCCAAAGAATCTTCCCTGATAAGCGTTTGACTTTTCCAGTTCCTCGCCTCATCGCCAACTGCCTGACCGAGGATGAATCTGTGAAAAGAAAATGATCAATCACAGCACCAGTCAAAAACTGCAAACACCTTCTGAGAAAATTTCCATCGCAAAGGGTGGACACCAGAGCATGCAGCTCTGCTTCACAACTGCTGAGGCTCACCACACGTTGGCTCCTTGAGCTTCCAAATAGATATGCACCATTCAACATGTGTATGCTGGAGCTCGTTGAACGTCTGTGGGTTTGGTTACTGCTCCAGTCTGAGTCAGAAAAAGATTCCAGCACCCAAAATTTGTCACTGTTCTTCCACTTTCCTTGTCCAGGTTCTGGGGCATCAAGAACAACGCAAACATCTGATGTCAGTTTGAGGTACCCCACAAGTTTTCGAAGTCTCTGTAGGGATGTCAACGTTGGTTTGCTCATGGCACCACTCAACTCCTTTACCACGAAAAGTAAATTTGGCCTGTCTCTGGCCAAATAAAGACATGTGCCTATGACAGCTCTGTATGCATAAGCTTCGTGGCTCCCCAGAGGCTCTGACACATCTTCCACCTGGATTGACTGATCACACGGGATAGTCTGAGCTCTTGCTTTACCAAAGTGGCTTTCAAAGAGCGCGATCACCTTGGTTGCACTTGTTCCAGGGATAAGCGCCAATCCATTGTCCAGGCGCTTGATGGTCCTCTTGAGGAAAGAAATCTCGGTGCCAACATCACCCAACTGAGAATGGCTGATTTTGAAAGTTTCTGCAAACTTCTTGAGAAATACGTTGTTCCAGTAATCAGCATCACCGCAAAACAAAATGTCATCCACGTGCACCATGATTGCACAGTGATCATTCTTTGCAATGCAGGGCGTTCAATGCAAAACCTGAAGTCCATGCTTTGAGATAGAAATTGTCTCAAATGCCAATACCAGCTCTTAGCACCCAAGCGTTGCCCTGGTAGGTTCTTTCGAACCCAATACTTCTTGCCCAAAAGCGTCACCACCATTGGAGATGGTTGCTCCACCATGAGAAATGCGTCCTTGACATCAATGGTTCCCAGAATGACCTTTGACTTCTGGGCATCATCTTCCAAGGCTGACAAATCACTGAGTTTCTGAAGATAGAGCACTGGCACAAAAGATTCAGGATGTGTGTTGATGTAGCAGGTGCATAAGTGTCACTTCGTTTCTCCAGAAATGCAAATTCACGCGCCACAAGCCTTGATCGTCTCAGCCATCGCTTTGAAATTGCACCAGATTGGTCCT